GTAAAAACGTTTCTGAAGCAGACATCACAAAAATACCTTCTTTTTTTTTAATAACAACGCAGTTCGTTTGTGTGTGTGTTACATTTTAATGTTGTGTTTCTGTTGTGTCGTAGTTATCTTCTTATATTTGATGTGTTTCCCTCAGTTTTTGTTTGTAACCAGGATTTGTTTTTTTTCTCAATCGATTTATGAATTTCGAACAGCGGTATACTACTGTTGCCTTTATTAATTACGTTCATTGGACATGTTTTCAATAACCTCATCATAGATACATGAATTAAAATTTTGTAGGACAGGCTGTCGTTTTGTTAACAAAAGACTCATCAACGCCACTCAAATAAAAAAATGTTGAAAAGGTCAAATAAAGGACGAAGTTGAAGTGCATTCAAAGGGTTCAACAGACAATTGTCATCTTAATGGGAATCAATTGTGCCTCCCTCCATACAAAATTGTTCCTTTATTTCCATGAGACAGACTTCATTAACAAATAATGTAAAGAACCTAGCAACATACTTTACCTAATGTTCTATTATTAAGATAATGCCAATTCACTGATTAAGTTTGAGTTATCTTCATTTGTCTATAATTGTAGGTAAGACTTATAGATTCATAAAAAATGCACTTCTTTTTGCAACATATGTGTTTTTCTTAATAACACTTTTTTCTTGACAAAGATTGTTAAATAAGTAGGAAGAATTTTAGGTTACCTGTGGCTGCAGTTGAGGACTGTGTTAGAAAACGTGATAAAAGCGAACCAGGTGACCCTCAACTGAACATAACGTTAGAACGTAAAAAAGCTGTTCGATCATGCATTCAGAGACGCAATAAAAACAAAGATGTACCATAAACTCATGGGTTTCCGTACCAATTCGAGAAGCTCATGGTTTATCTATTCTTTCGTCAAATTATGTGTTGTTCCAGTTTACAAATGCAAAAATCATTAATTGGAATGTCTAACTAAAGACCTTGGAACTAACAGCAATTCTTGGAATCCAACAAAAGATTTTAAAAAATCACAAATCCTTTCTCCTCTCTTTGGTATCTTAGAACATAAAAATGACGATGAAAATTTCCAGTCTTTATACTAAATAACAAAAATCTTCACAAAAACTTTATAAAGAGCGATATATAGCCTGGTCGTCCAATTGTTCGAATAATCATCTTTCTATAATTCTTACTACCATATTTGTTTTACAGTAAAAGATGGCTTATAGGAAATATTGTGATGGGTTATATTCAACAACTGGTGTCAATCAGATTAGAATCTTAAAAGTTCTAAAGAAATACTCTTTAATCACAATCTTTGCAAAATTGCAGTAGTATAAAAAAATGGATTTTTCTACGCTCTACACTAATGTTTTATATGCTCAATTGAAAATCGACTACAGTGTCTCATTAAACAGAGCTTTTCTACAAAAATGAGAATCGTACATACAAACTCGTTGTTTTATGTTATGATATCGTTAAGATGCTTGACTTTTTTATCGACAACATATCTGTTGAGTTTTGATAGCTTGGTATTTAAACAGGTATACTAATTGTATACTCTACTGGTCGACTTGTTTATGTAGTCTTATGAAGCAGAATTCATACAGACGAATCCTTCCAAAAGACAAAAAGAAAAAGCATCTTGTAAAGTTCTTTAAAATCACATTAAGATGCATGTATTGACGATGTCCTGTCACTCAATAACACACATTTCAGTGCGTGTTTACACCTCATATATCCCAGTAAACTTGAGACCATTAAGGGAGCTACCATTTGATTTTTATGGGGCTAGCGATGAAATTTAAAAAAAAAGGCAGGGCAGGAGTTTTGAGTAAAAAAAAAAGAGGCAGGATGAGCAACTTGGCAAAAAAAAAGACAGGATGACAATTTATGTAAAAAGTCAGGATAAACTAACAAAAAAAAAAATGCAGGACCGAATAGAGTGAAAAATAAAAAGGCAGGACAGAGATTACAACTAAAAAAAATGCAGGACAAATTTTTTCATCCTAGCCCCTCCCCCCACATAAAAATCAAATGGTAGCTCCCTTTAGAATACTACTAAAACAAGAAAGTCTGCTTCATATCTTGATCTTTTCCTCAAAATTGATACAGATTGTCGATTCAAACAAGAATCAATAACAAACGTGATTTCAACTTTCCAATCGTAAATCCCAAACTCATGAGTAACATACCCTCTGTTCCCATCGTATCTTATTCAATACGTTACGCTTGTGTGTGATCACGCTTTATGGACTTCATAAATTTATATAGGTGTGCTCCTGCCACAAAACATGCTCGACACTTCATAAGTTTAATAGGGCACCATCACGAACTGGTTGACCGATACGATGTGTCTGTGTGTCAAATCCCTACTGGCATGTTTTCGCGATCATCTTCGGAAAAGTCGTCTGATGTGTAAATTTGCCGATTTACGCTATTCCAGATTGTGACATTTTGAGGAAGTGTAGGTTCGCATGATGGTGCGACATGCATAGGAGGATACCTTTATCCCGTCGACGCACACGCTATCGCTCTTTTTGAGGTTGATTCGAATACCTCACATTTTATTTTTTATCTAGATTTGTATCTTCATTCTTAACATCGGTTAACTATTGTTGCCCTAATTTTCGTCAATGACAAATATTTTATTGTCCATTTAGAGAGAGCTAATGAATAAAATTGTTTTATGTGTAAATCTCTTTACATAATTTGGTTGATCAAGGTATTTATAGGTAGTGAGATTTCATTTGGAACCCAATATTCACCCCGATCGATATCACTTTTATAATAAAAGTATTCTCAGCTATACATAAACACATTTTTACTTGTACCTACAGGATTCCGTTTAGAATTTTGATCAAACATGACAAATGAATCATCCTTCACTTTATTGGTAAAAATAATAACACAAATATCCTTACAAACAACTTTATATTGCTCAGTCTGCATATTGTTCCACACAAATTTTTTTCTATCCTTTACATCTTTTCTAAAGGCATTCAAAATCAGACTACGGGTAACAGTGAAATGATATACTTAATAGCAGAATAAATCAGATGTGGACTCAAAATAAAAGTCCAAAAGTGTATCCGAGTACATTATTATCAAGGTCCTTCTCATTCAGTAGTATTAAAATTTGACTTCTCCATCCTATACCCAAGTGTAACTTGTTTTACATATAAAGAGACTGAATAAAGTCGTCCATCTTTGATATATTAAAATGAAAGGCCAGCATGGATAGAGATATTTCGCCGTAAAGGGCAGATCAAATTTGAAAAAAATACCTGTATAAATCAAGTAAAAACGTTTCTGAAGCAGACATCACAAAAATACCTTCTTTTTTTTTAATAACAACGCAGTTCGTTTGTGTGTGTGTTACATTTTAATGTTGTGTTTCTGTTGTGTCGTAGTTATCTTCTTATATTTGATGTGTTTTCCTCAGTTTTTGTTTGTAACCCGGATTTGTTTTTTTCTCAATCGATTTATGAATTTCGAACAGCGGTATACTACTGTTGCCTTTATTAATTACGTTCATTGGACATGTTTTCAATAACCTCATCATAGATACATGAATTAAAATTTTGTAGGACAGACTGTCGTTTTGTTAACAAAAGACTCATCAACGCCACTCAAATAAAAAAATGTTGAAAAGGTCAAATAAAGGACGAAGTTGAAGTGCATTCAAAGGGTTCAACAGACAATTGTCATCCTAATGGGAATCAATTGTGCCTCCCTCCATGCAAAATTGTTCCTTTATTTCCATGAGACAGACTTCATTAACAAATAATGTTAAGAACCTAGCAACATACTTTACCTAATGTTCTATTATTAAGATAATGCCAATTCACTGATTAACTCAGAAGTTTGAAGGATCTGTAGATTGCATCTAGTAATAAAAATACCATAGATACAGCTAGATCTACTTCATATCTGCCCTTACACATACCAATTGACAATGAGGATCTGTCGAGAAATTAACTTTTTGAAAAAAAATAGAAGACGTAAAATTTTCCATAGGGAACTTTTCATTTACTAGCAACATTCCCTTGCCACCTGTATATAGGGTACATATCTCCCTAAGTACCAGTTGAGATATTTCAGAACTTGTGATACCAACGAGGATTTTCAAAAGGTTTATGTACATTGCAGCACAAAATGATAGCAATAGCTCATATGGTAATAAGTGTCAACAGAGCTTAAATGTTATTGACTGACATGAAAAGAAAGTATAGCACAGAACAACAAATCTCATGGTTAACCATTTTTATTAACAGTAAAATATATCACAATATTGAATATGAAACATGTAAATAACAATAAGATGAAAACAGATAGTTTAAACTAGTGGTACTGTGTATTATACTGAAGCAGCAGAGTTCTGATGGAAGATAATTTATAGACATTCAAAATTATTTACTTTTTTTTTAATTTGTATTGTGCAATTCAGTGACTCTACCTTTTTTTAACTTTAGATTCCAAAATCTAGCAATAAGTTGGGTTTTGTAAATTGCCTTAAATTTGTGTGTTTAGGAGGGAGAGAAAGAATGCAAATTTAATATTTGTCCCCACCTTCATGAGTGCATTCTCCTCCCTTTCAGTTGTCCATTGAATTGTTGAATTCTTAGGGAGCTACAATTTGATTTTTATGGGGAAGGGGGGGGGGGGGGGGGGGGGGGGGGGGGGGGCTAGGATGAAAAATTTTGTCCTGCCTTTTTATTTTTCCCTCTATTCGGTCCTGCCTTTTTATTTTTCACTCTATTCGGTCCTGCCTTTTTTTTTTTAGTTTATCCTGAGTTTATTTTTACATAAATTGTCTTTTTTTTTGCAAATAATCTCATCCTGCCAACTCCTGTCCTGTCTATTTTTTTCAAATTTCATCCTAGCCCCCCCCCCATAAAAATCAAATGGTAGCTCCCTTAGGTGATACAGGTACATGTTTGTTAATCTAAGTAATATCATATAGAGATACAGTGATTTTTTTTTTGTTCAATCATTAATAAAAATGAAATAGATAAATAACAATTCGCTTCTAGCAGCCAGTTTGGTTCAGTTTTGTCAAAATAAGCTTAGAAACATTGTTGATGAATTATTCAATTGCAAGTGAATAATACGATCTCATTGAATCCGTATTCAAGTGACCTTCAATTTAACCCCTTCGCTGGAGATGGGTCACACATGTATTCAGGTATTAAAAGGAAAAGAATGTCAACATTGAAAGTGAAACAAGGATGAACCATTTGGTTGACTGATTCGATCCACAAAAAATCATTCTTATACAGGTAAAAACGATGAAAAACATACTTTTTAACCTACAATATGAAATCAAACAGACCTAGAAAAATCCAATTGCATGTGGTCGCTTTTTGTTTATATTTATGTTTTTATTTGGTTAAATGACCATCGGCAGTCTTCGGAGGTCATCTCGATGGTAAATTAGATGACGTCTAGTCAAAAATACACACAAAATATTATCAAGTTCATGTATGGTTAATCTTTATATAAGACTTTTTTGTATTTTGGATATATGCTTTGTATGTTATTAATCAAATACGAGAATTTGAGTCAAATTGGCAAACATGAATTTGCCCTTTTAAAGGAGCTATGACAAATATTTTCCTACAAACTTTAACCAAAATTGAAGAAAAAAATCCTATCTTCAATAAATATTTCATTTTTTATTTCTAATTAAATTTAATTACAAAATTAATAAAGAATATATTGTAGAATTATTCATCACTTTATTTCTTCTTTTGCATCAATGACATCTATCCCAGATCTTTCATTTATATGAGTATTTCCGCACATTTATAAATTGGAAAATAAAGTGTCTACTTTTTTCACCTTATTGATATCTTATATAAATATATAGAACACTTCTGTTGATGTAACAGGGGGACCTAATGCTCTGGAAAAAAAGAAGTAAATTTTGCTTCAACAACAAAAACCACTTTTACATCATTAAAAATGTTTATAAAACAAAAAGATAATTTTATATGTATGACAGATTTTTCACTGTAACATCCCGTTAACAATTGTATAAATCCTAGTGATATTCAACATGGGGAAATGATTGAGGTGTTGGGGATGAAATGAATTAAAGCTGGTAAAATATTTAAAATGAATGAATAATTCTCAACTCCTTCATCATATCTGAGCTTCCGAAATAGCTCATCTTGCATCAAATCTAAAATCTATTAAACTTAAAAAAAAAAACATTCTTCAAAATTCTTTTATAGCAACAATAAATAAAATGTTATTTTCAATAATTTACATTTTCTCTTCATCAACACCACTATCAGAATTCTAGTGTGGAGTTTTATCTGAAACTTTGAACAGGGTATGCAAGACACAAATCTATTTTTAAATGATTGTAACCAACATTATCACAAGTTATGTCCCTTTGTTCCTGATAATGAAATCCTTCCTAACACTAATACTGCACATTGCTGCTATACTGGCAGTGTTTTAGAAGCTGTCTTTGATGCTGCAGCATAAAATATTTTTGAGAAAAATTTCAGTCCTGTCTGTCCTCCAGGTATGTAGCTCACAATGTACCTGTAGTAAAAAAAACGGTGAAAAAATAAATTCAATGATAGAAATCCAATGCAAAGGGTAAAGAAATTTATAATACATTATGTGAAAATGTCAGATTTTGATTGGTTAATACAAGGGAGATAACTTACTCTATTCCATGGCTTATACTCTATTACCCTTCACAAGACTTAGAGATGCTTTATCAATTGTGTGCTTTATTAAATACAGATGGTTGTTATGTACAAGACGTCATAGTTTATTTATTTGAAGTTGAAATTTAAAAGACATTAATCATTGTTAATACCAGAACATTTATTATAATACTTTAATAATACAAGCTGAGAGGGTGATAGAGCAGATTGTTTCCCCTAAAAAAAACTTGGCTTTCCCAACAGTTCTGGAATGTAGACCCATGTTGAAAGGGTATCCATTTGGCTGCACAGGATGTATAAATATGCTGCCATGTCTAGTTGGAATTGAAATCTTAAATCAGACTCTTTGAGGGGTCTAGAAGTTGTAAGTGGCCAAAATCTGTCCCTAAGCAATATATCCTTTTCCAAAGGCAGTAGACCCCTCTCTTTGTCTCAGTCTAAAAACTTTGGAAACCTACCTAACTGATTTATTGGTCAACGTGTACTTTATATACAAGATCAATTAGGCATTAGATATTATCAACAATTAATCAATAAAATTCTATAGTAAAACTCTTTTATATCATTATAGCAGTCAAACGAGTATTTGAACCCAATATTTTGTCATAAAATAAATGGGAGTTCATTTTTCATTATTTCATTGCACAGTTGAAATATTAAAAATCTATGAGATAAAATTTATTTCAATATTGATTTAGAATTAAATTTAATGCATTTATCTTTTTTATTCTCTTAAATATTACTGATTAATAATTCTTTCAAAACTAGAACATTTGTTTAGAAAGCACATAAAATTGGCGAAAAACATTCTTAAATTTGTCTTATAATCATCAAATCACCAATTTCAAATCAATAGATTTCTCCCAAAATCTATATGCTGCTGATACACAAATTTCCATTCCAATAGTGATTTTTTTTGTGTTTTATTGCCACCTTTAAGCACCGCTTTTGGGCTATTTCGTGGTGGCCAATTTTTTATTGGTGGAGGAAGCCGGAGTGCCCAGAGAAAACCACGACCTTCGATAGGAAAACTGACAATCCTAGTCAATTAAGATTGGAGTCGAGTGCACCTGCACTAGCGGGGTTCGAACTCACAACCTCAGTGTTGACCCGCTAGTGATTACAGTAGTAACTACTTAGACCACTCGGCCACCGAGGCCCCCCTCATTCCAATAGTGTAAAACAATTATAAAAAATATTTTCTTTAATTGCAACGTCAATTTCTTAACCCTTTAAAATAAATTATTTGTTAAACAATATTTGTATTTCAGAAATCATAAAATAAATTAAGAATTTGCATTGATAAAAATATTAACTTACCAAACTAATGCTAATATCTGTATAACAGCAAATATTACTGTCAACACTGTACTCCTTAACTACAATCATCAAATAATAAACCATGTTAACATGAGTGTAAAATTCACAATGCTACTTATATTTTTAACAATAGTTCAAATCCAACATTATCTCTCTCTTTACACTGCACAATCTGATTCAAATACTAATCCTGTGTCCATGCTTTGCCTATCATACCTGTTGACAATAGCTGAACCAACTGACATGTACAATAGAATTGGTATTGGTCTGAATACTTGGTTAAAAGTTCTATAAAGCAAAATGTTATTGTTTTCATAAAATCATACATTTTGTTTTTAGTTGTACCTTGGCATTAATAAAAAAAATCATCTACCATGACATAAATGACATGAGACTTTCAGCTTTCTTCCTTAGGGAAGCGCTATATCCCTGCCTTTTTACAGGTATTTGGAAAACCTTAGTTTTTTCCATTTCTGTGAAAGTTTAAAATAAAATTTGCATTGTGTCTTGCTCACATTCACTTGCTTTCATATTTTATCATAAATTATATAGATTTTGATAATTTATTGAATATCTGATGTAGATGATTCTTGGAAACTTACAACAGATACTTTGTATACAATTCTTTTCTATTTGATATGGTTTCTGTAAAATTCATGCACCTTAAGGCCTTAACCTGCAACAGATTATTTAATCAACACTTACCCAAAGTGAAAAATATAATGTTGCCAACATGGATCCAAAATATGCTGTTGTAAATGGTAATCTCTCAACAGAGAATAAATGTTTTACATGATTCATTGGTCCCCATAACAACGAAAAACTGAAAACCAGCATAGATATGTTTTAATACAAAATCTATACATAAATAAACACATTTTTCTCTATATATATATATATTTGTATTTTTCTTTTTTATACATTAACTACCCTTCCATATATGATATGTAGAAAATGGATATACATTTTATTTCAAGTGAGGCTTAGGGATTAAAAAGTTCACAGTTTTATCCCTTATCAAAATAAATGGAGATTACAAAAAAGTCTTTCAGCCATCAGAGTAATCTCAGACCAGGTTCACTTATCTGGTCATTGGCATGAAAATTATATGACCTGAGAAAGATTGATGCTGTAATTTGTTTTCCTTGTCATAATCATAACAAATTGATTGAGAATTTTGAATTTTCCAATATAAACTCAATACCTCAAAACAGGCAATCAGAGGAGCTAAGCACATATATACTCATTCATAGGAATAGTCCTCTGAACTGTAAATTTTCCTATTATGTCCTTTTCCAAGTTGTAGCATTTTTACAGAGTGTGAATTTATATGGCAGGTGACGCAGGGATTAGATTAGTTTCATTGATATTAAAGAAATTTCTTGGTATTCCTAATCAGAAGATTTTATACACACAAAAGAAGAAGTATACTTAACAACAAAATTATTTTCATTTACCTGTGTATAATATGATGCAGGTTTCTTCAAAAGTGATGATTTTCTAAAAATTGTTTGACATTTCACAGTGATATCATACTTTAACTTTGTTTAAACCTGTTTATTTACTTTTGACTTTAATTATTCATCCCTTGTAATTTTTTATTAACTGTGTATTTGCATTCAGGTTATTTGCATTCAGGTGTCACAGGTCAAATTTATTCGTTCATTGTGTGTTAATTTACGTTTTTTGATGGAGTTAAGCCTTCCAATTGATATTTCATAGTGTGTTTTTCTATGTTGTGATGTTATACTATTGTTTCAGAAAAGGGAGAAGGTTTGGCACCATTAAAACGTTTAATCCCGCTGCAAATGTTTGCACCTGTCCTAAGTCAGGAATCTGATTACAGTAGTTGTCGTCTGTTTATGTAGTTCATACGTGTTTCTCTTTTCTCGTTTTTATATAGATTAGACCGTTGGTTTTTCCGTTTGAATGGTTTTACACTAGTAATTTTTTGGAGCCCTTTATAGCTTGCTGTTCGGTGTGAGCCAATGCTCCGTGTTGAAGGCCGTACCTTGAACTATAATGGTTTACTTTTATAAATTGTAACTTGGATGGAGAGTTGTCTCATTGGCACTCATACCACATCTTCCTATATCTATAGCAGTTGACTTTTAACCTGTCGATGCACCCGATCTTGCTCCTATTAGAGTTTATGTGATTTCCTTAGTTTTTTTTTTACCTTGATTAGTTTCTTCTTAATACATGAAATAGAATTATGGGATTTGAACATCGGCGAACTCCTATTGCTTTGAATTCAAAACTATAGTATATTAGACTAATAACACTTTCTAAAATGTATTAGGCCAGTTGTTTCTTAAAATTACCCAAAGAGATTTTTAGAGGTTTTAGAAGGTATGATATATCATGATATATATGATACATGTATATAAACTCCTAAGTAGGTACAGAACTTTAATGTTACCTAGATATAATGAATAAACTGCCTAATGTGTATAGAACTGCAAACTTCCTGGCTTTCAGTATCAGTAATGGAATGTATAAACTTGCCTGGAAAAAAGATAAAAAGTCATGTTGGCTACTCTTAAAGATTTATAACTATACCTTTAAATTCTAATACTGTGGATTCATCTATTTTCATGGATACAAATTTTCGTGGATTGAGAAACACATGTATTATCATGGATATTTGATTGATTGATTGGTGTTAAATGCCACTTTCAACACTTTTGTGCTATTTCGTGGCGGTCAGTTTTTATTGGTTGAGGAAGCCGTAGTGCCCCGAGAGAGCCACCAACCTTGGTGGGAAAATTGACAATCCTAGTCAATTAAGATTGGAGTTGAGTGCACCTTCCCCGTGCGGTATTCGAACTTACAACATCAGTGTTGACAGGCTATTGATACAGTAGTTCGACTACTTAGACCACTCGGCCACCGAGGCCCCTGGATATATGAAAGCGTGGTTTTGTCTAAGTCTGTGTTTAAAGTCTACAGAAAATTTGTACTTTGTTGAACATTTAAATTCATGGTTTACCTATACCCATGAAGTCCACGAAAATTGGTATCCCACGAATAATAATAAACAGTATATTTAAAACACTAGATATTACATAACTTCTCTGACTATAACCTTTTTATTATACTAAAACACACCTACAACATCGTGGGTCCATGACTGAAATAAATTACCTACGCCTTATATTTAGCGCGGACTTTTAGTATTCATATTGTCATTTGAAAAAGTCATGCTGATTATAAGGTGCAGAGTTTTCTCTGCTTTCAGAATTTTTCTGTTTTAACCCGTCCTGGTTTTCCATCTACAATATAGTAGTGGTACTCCAGATAGTGGAGGGAAGAATAAAGAAAAACAACTACAACCGGAAACTACATGTGACATATACTTTTGGTATCGGTATCGGATTCGACCCAGAACTGGTTAATTATTGGTAATATTATGTGGAAAACAAAAGGGTCTGGAATGGTGTAATTTTTAATCAATACCATTGTCCTATATTAGTTTTATAGAAAATTGAAATCTCTGATTCATCGTTTTTACGTCATGCCAGCTAACAAATTGGACTCCTTATTTTAATAGTAAAGATATAAAGTAAGTCATGAATCCAAAAACATGCATAAAGTCTTTTACATGAAAAATAATGACACTATTTTTTATATTCAAATATTCTAGAAAATATTATCATGTACTTAGGAAAATATACTGTGTATAATTCTGTTTTATCTAACTGTAATATTGGTCATTAGTTAAGATTGAAGAGAAGTATTGATAGGCATGTATATGTAGTAAAAAAAATTCCAAAAGTACATTTACTTTTTAAAAAATTTTAAAAAGGGGAAGAAAGCGTAGGTCAAAATTAATTATCTGTTAGTAATTCTTGTTATAATTCCGGTGGGGAAAAAACACAAAATTCTGTATATTTGCCTGGGAGGAAAAAATGTCTGTTTCAAACTTTGAAGTGATGACCTCATCCTAATGGGAATTGGTAGGTAAAAATACTGATTTTGTTCTGCTTTAAGCATGTTTAATGACAATGTAATGAATTTTTTTTTTAAATTTAATCATTTCTTTCTTTGACTTTTAAGGATATGCCCAAAATATCTTCAAAAAATTGTGTTTGCTGTTAGTTTTAAATTTAATAGCATTAGTACGCAAATTACTTTGAAAATGCAGCTGATCTTGGTCTGCACTGTACTATTTTTGTCATTCATACATGACATACCCTGCAACCTGTACCAATCTTAAATACAGACATATAATAAAATGCTTCGCTGAGCGCAGCCCCTGAGGTCGAACCCTGAACAGTTGGGGCAAGTTTGGACACAATATTCAAGCTTGATACTGTCTGAATTTGGATTGTGATCAAATTTTGACATAATATAGGTTTCTGTCACAAAATAAATGTGGTCAAAGATCTTAAAAATTTGAAATTGGACATTTAATTTACCAAGAATGGTCTGATATCCATAATCTAATAACATGGTTGGATTCAGCATATAAAAAAACACCAATAATTTAATTTTAGTTGAAATCAAACAAAGCTTAATTTTGGATCCTTCAAACCTTAATACAAAAATGTAATATGAACTAATTTGAAAACAGGGCCCAAAATAAAAATCTAAATGCACAGTAAGATTCAGCAAATCATACAGCCGCAATAATTCAGTTTTTGATGAAATCAAACAAAGTTTAATTTTAGACCCTTTTGACCTCAATGTAGACCAATTTAAAAATGGGGCCCAATATCCCAAAAAATTAAACAAGGTTAGAACCCACAAAAATTAAAGACTTAATAAATCCCATCGAAATTGGTTAAAACATTTGTATTTGTTTTCAATTGAAAGATTTCTTGCTATTGCACAATACTGTGCAATTGAAGATATTTTGCTATTGTGCAATACTGTGCAATTGAAGATTTTTGCTATTGTGCAATACTGTCCAATTGAAGATTTCTTGCTATTGCGCAAAACTGTGCAATTGAAGATTTCTTGCTATTGCGCAATACTGTGATATTGCACAATACTGAGCTATTGCGCAATACTGTGCAATTGAAGATTTCTTGCTATTGCGCAATACTGTGCTACTGTGCAATACTGAGCTATTGCGCAATACTGTGCAATTGAAGATTTCTTGCTTTTGCCCAATACTGTGCTATTGCGCAATACTGTGCAATAGAAGATTTCAAAAATTTTAGAGAGATCCATACACTTAAACACAAGTTATTGTCTGGAAACTAGAAAAATGTTTTTGGCCCCTTTTTTGTCCCTAATTCCTGAACGTTTGGGGCAATTTACCCCAAACTCAATCCCAGCCTTCCCTTTGTGATATGGAACCTTGTGGTACAATTTCAGAGAGATCCATACACTTACACACAAATTATTGTCCGGAAACTTCAAAAATGCTTGTTTTTGGCCCCTAATTCCTAAACTGTTGGTACCATCACCCCCAAAATCAATCGCAACCTTCTTTTTGTGGTGTTGAACCTTCTGGTAAAAATTCATAGAGAGCCATTCACTTAAACTAAAGTTATTGTCAGGAAACCAAATGTGTCTTCCGACGACAACGACGACGCAGACCATGACGATGACATCATAGCATTATACGACGCCAAATTTTTTTTGCTGTCGTATAAAAAGGCCTTGCTGTACTGCTAAAAACTTACCAATGAAAAACAGAATGTTCCCATCAATAAACATAGTATAAATCCCAAGATTCTTTGTTTCTTTGTCTGAAATAAAAACAATTGTCATACACATGTGTTACCTTGTATTATAATCTCACTGTGAACTTTCAACATAAAAAGGGTTTCCAAAAGTTAGGTTTAGCACCAAAAACTTAGACCTTAATTTTTCTTATAAATAACAAAAAGTAAGTTATTAGTGTGCCAATTTTTGCAGGAAATTTATAGGTACAAAATGTACTATAACCAATTTAAACACTGTCACTTTTGAATCTTGCCACTAGATTATAGAATTTACATTTATTTGGAATATTTTATGTTGTATTTCGCTTTTGTGTAGCAAGAAGAGAAGTCAACTGAAATACACACATCACCATTCTGATCAATAATTTTTGAGATCTCAAAAACACTCTTGACTGTGAATCCTTTTACAGGATTCTGTATCTGTGATGGTACCTTGTAGAATCCATATGGGCTTTATTACTACGCCAGGATAAACAGATTGGAGAATATCTCCCAAAGAATAACCAATTTGGGAATAAATTTTCAATGCAAATAATCTTAATTATTGAATTTAACAAAACTATTGAAAAGTCAAATTGTTGAGGTCAAAAGTAGTAACTTTCAAGAAAATTAATTAAATTGAGAATTGAAATGGGGAATGTGTCAAAGTGACAACAACCCGACCAAAGCGCAGAAAACAGCCCAAGGCCAATAATTTGTTAGATTGATCCCTCTGAAAATCAGCATCTTACAAGGGATCCTACTCATAAACATTCCACGTTGCACCTTTAGCTATTTAGTCCAATTCGGAAAAAAACAGTTACTTTAAAAACAACTTCCTGTTGGGGTCTTAGTGTTTTGAAAACAAAGGTTATCAGTAAGAATGCGGGACAGCTCAGCCCAGACACAACTCAGACTGAGTCAACTTGGAGAGTTTATAAAGTCAAGTCCGACCATCTATAAAGTCAATTCGGACTGTCTATAATAATAAAGTCAACTAAAATAAATGGGGAATGTGTCCTGGGACACAGATGATGTCCCCACTTGCATACATGTATAACGTTATAAAGGGACATAACTCAAGAACTGTAAAAGTGACACTACCCAAATTTGTACTTGATCTCAGTTTTGTGGTATTAAGCATTGTGCATAAGTTTCATAACATTTGGTTGAGGCAAACAAAAGTTAGAGAAAGAAAACAAAAAAATCAGCAATTTTTCCATTTGTAAAGGGACATAACTCTCGAACAGTAAAAGAGATGCAACCAAAATTCAAACTTTATCTGTGTTTTGTGGTAATAAGCATTGAATATAAGTTTCATAATAACTGGTTGAGGCAAACTAAAGTTAGAGAACGGAAACAAAAAAATCAGCAATTTTTCCATTTGTAAAGGGGCATAACTCTAGAACAGTAAAAGTGACGCCAACAAAATTCAAACATTATCTGTGTTTTGTGGTAATAAGCATTGTGTATAAGTGTCATAACATTTGGTTGAGGCAAACTAAAGTTAGAGAACGCAAACCAATTTTGTGACGTATGTACAGAGAGACGGACATACAGACGGACGTACAGACGGACAAGGGTAAAACTTAATGCCCCTCCACTACGGCGGGGCATAAAAACACTCATTTCTTAACAATTTTATTAACCAAACCCTCAATGTGTAATATTTAACCAAGCCAAATCAGTTTTTTGGGGGCAAAATTGTATATATATAATTATACCAATTGCAATATTAAAAAGTAACTTTTAAAGAGTGATGGAATAACATGTAAATGTAAATATAATTTTATTGTTGTCCTATTCACATGATTCAAAGCAATTTATGGCATACACAATACAAGATTTCATTCTGGATTTTAAAACTCAGAATTAAATAAATTGATAGACATCATGGAATGTATTATGTAATTATTAACTTGACAACTAGGTCAAATAATTTAAGTCATGATTCTTGGCAATTTCAATTTCTTGATGTTTCTTTCCCCCTGAAATGTATTTGAATTGAAAACAACTGAAAATCCATAATAGCCCTGTTTTTTCATAATGGCCCTGTTTTTTCATAATGGTTGTGTTTATTCATAATGGCCCTGTATTAATACCCTGTTAGTCTATAATGGACCAGTTTTGCTTTTATTAATAAAAGGGCAGTTTCATACATAATTAATGCACTAAACTGGTTAATGAATAACAGTATCCTTTAAATTTTGCCGACTTTGCAAAACATAATCAAAATACTTTGTTTAATATGAATTAAAATTTTTACTGATCTTTATCAATTTATTTTACATTAAAACTAACTTTAAGTCAAATCGAACCGTCTATAATGCCAATTCTAACAAAGTATAAACATGGAGTTTGGGCTATTTATATGATAAATATAGATTCTACCACTGCATCGAGTGTGATACGATATTTATCCACTCGAGACAGTTAAATTTTCAAATTTAAAACACGAGGCTTGCAGAGCGTTTTAAATATTTAAAATTTAACTGTCGAGAGTGGATAAATATCGTATTACACGAGATTTGGTGGTGGAATCTGTTTCTCTAATGATTTTCAAACAATACGCAGGCAAATTTATTCCTTCTTTTCGAATGATCTGCAAAAAGATGTGTTCTTTCTATGGGACGTCATCAGGCATGGTCGCCTTTTTTCATGCCGTCACAATAGGAAATTCAGAGGAAAGCAAGAAAATTCGACGTCATAATCGGATTTTAACCAATGAAGAACTGAGATCAAACGAACCACACGTTGATTAAATTTTTTTTATACAATGGGTGCAGAAAGGGATAAATTGACGAAGAATTAGAGAAAAGGTTATATCTAACATAAAAGTATTCTTTATACACCTTACTGCATTTGAAATGAAGTCTCATGCAATAATTGATTTAATGTCATTTTCTACTTCATCATGCCATAGTGATTCTATATTTAGAATAAAATCTTCATTAATTCATTAAACAAACTTTATTTATCCGTAAATTGAATTTGTTATTTATCATAATGTTTTCTTATAGTCTCATTTCATTTTAAAATCATAATAATTAAATAGAATTAATTTAATGGTTTGGCTTGTCTTTTTTTCATCATTTTTATTGTCAAAACTGGCTTCAATATTCTCGGAGATTATCTCCCTTTGTTCTTTGCATTAAAGACAGTCCCACTTCTCTTCAGACACAGTCTTTTTCGTCGATATCTGTATCTGTATGGGTAGGTGTAGAAATCCTATTTAGGCTTTTATACACGATAGAGAAGAGTGCCGTTGTTATGGGCGATGTTCCTGTAGCACGGTCTTGAATAGCCCTGCATAATCTGCAAGCACAACTTTATCTATATATATACATGCATGTGACTCGACATTTGTATCGACGTTTTATTGTTCATTTGATTATAAAGCTACATACCCCCCTTTTTTTAAAATAAATATTAATATACTTATAAAAGTAAATTTGTAAGATACTTATACAAGTGTATTCTATTTACTTGTATAGTTTAATCATTTTAATGGCTTATTTATGTCACTTAGACATTCAGATTTTTTACTTATACAAGTAAAAAGGTCATGCTATCTTCTTTTCTTGAATTTCTCAGGACTTCTATGCTCTGATAGAATTTTTAATTGTCTGTCCTTTGTAGATGTCTTTATTAATCATTTAAGTGTAATTTCATGGACAATGAAAATCTCATTTGCCTGTTATCTTAAAAACACTGCTCATTTACAAGCCGCCTTGGGGCAATTTTTGAAGGCCTTGCGCAATTACTTAAGATCTTTGCGCAATTAATTTCTTTTTCTAATTAATGAGACGAAACGTTGAACTCTAATAAAAAATTATGAACTTACCAGAGAAAAATTGTTTAAGGCATGTTTTTACATCCCATAACTTGAGAATTTTAGAGAAAGTAAAAAAAATTATTTATACAAGTTAATTTTTTGAGAAAAATAAGGGGATTATTCAAAACTTATAAGAAAAAATGAATATAACATATTTACTTATACAAGTATATTATTATTTACTTCTTCAAATAAATAATAAATTGCTTTGCTGAGCGCAGCTGGATACGACCGCAGATGTCCTACCCTTAAAAGTTGCGGCCAAAATGGACACATTATTCGCGCTTGATACAGGTCTGTATTTGGATTGTAATTAAATATTTGACACAGAATTAGTCAAAGAACTTAAAATTGGTTATATGATTTGAATTTATATTCAATTTTTTGCTTTTGTGCAATACACTATGCTGTTGTGAATTGCCCCCCCCCCCCCCCCCCCCAAAAAAAAAATTTAATTGTTTTTTTTTGCTTTTGTGCAATACACTATGCTGTTGAATATTAACCCCCCCCCCCAAAAAAAAAAAATATTTGAAGAAATTTTCTTTTTAATTTCTGAAATCTGTAAGGAGAAAAATTGTAGCCCCCCACAAATTCTTATTTACCCCCCCCCCCCCCCCCCCCCCTCTCCCCCAATTTTTTTCAACTCCCCCCGTTCCCTTATTCCAAAAATAATCTCAATTCAAATTTCTAATGGAGTTTGCAACCATAACTACTCATTTAAATACATCATAAAATATTCAAATATTAAATGACATACAGTCATGGTTAAAATAAATTTACAGCTAATCATCTCAAGACAATCATCATTTCTTGATACATAATTTACAAGCAGTATAAGGGAGGTAATCAAACATATATACAACAGTATTCTTTAAATGGATTGAATTACCTCCCTTACACTGCTTTTAAATTGTCTAAATTGTCCTTTAACCATAAAAACCTGTTTTCCCCCTTTTTTGCCGCTAATTGCTAAATGGTTTGAGCCATAACCCCCCATAACCATCCCTTTGTTGTATGGAAACTTGTGGTATAATTTCAGAGAGATTCATACACTTAAACATAAGTTATTGTCTGGAAACTGCAAAAATGCTTATTTGGGCCCCTTTTTTGGCCCCTAATTCCTAAACCTTTGGGACCATAACCCCCAAAATCAATCCCAACCTTCCTTTTGTGGTTATAAACTTTGTGTTAAAATTTTATTGATTTCTATTTACTTATACTAAAGTTATTATCTGGAAACCATCTGTCTTCGGACGACCCTGACGACGACAACGACGACGACAATGGATACCAATATACGACCAAAAAATTTTTAATTTTTGTGGTCATATGAAAATAACTTGTACAAATAGTATCCCTGACTGTCATAAAAGTCAATAAGGCCAACTTAATCTTTGCGGCTCTCAGAACATTTAAATATTTGGGTACAGAGACATTCTTACCATTGTAAAAAACTATGGTAAGAACTCACCTGGACTACGCAAGTTCAGTTTGGTCACCATACAAGAAAAAAGATATTGACAAGATAGAAGGAGTTCAAAGAAGGGTACCTAAACAGCTACCAGGCCTCAAAGATATGAGTTATCCAGAGATTGAAAAAACTAGGTTTACCTACATTTTCATATAGGGAAAATAAGAGAGGATATGATCGAAACATTTAAAATCGTAAATGGCTACTATGATAAGGAAGCAAGCATTTTTTTAAAATTGGCAAAAGACTCACAAAAAAGAATTAGTAGCAGAACAAATAGTAACAAAGTGGTCCACCAAAGGTTTGAATCAAATATCAGAAAACACTCTTTCTCTTAGGACAAAAAATGTAAGAATAGCCAAAACTTGGAACAAACTGCCAGATAATATTACCATTTAGCCCCCTCCCTCAATGTCTTCAAAAACTGGTTAGATTGATTGATTGATTTTTGGTGTTTTAATGCCACTTTTAAGAACTGCTTTTGGGCTATTTCGTGGCGGCCAGTTTTTATTGGTGGAGGAAGCCGGAGTGCCCGGAGGAAACCACCGACCTTCGATAGGAAAACTGACAATCCTAGTCAATTAAGATTGGAGTCGAGTGCACCCCACGAGCGGGGTTCGAACTCACAACCTCAGTGTTGACTGGCTAGTGATTACAGTAGTAACTATATAGACCACTCGGCCACCGAGGCCCCCAAAACTGGTTAGACAAACATTGAATAAATGAAGAGATTTATAACAATGATTATAGGGCAGAAGAAATTATGAAGAGGCTAGACAAAAACTTATACATGAGCTATATTTTAACATGGGATCAGTACATATCGATTAAGAAATTTTTATTGTTGATAGAAAAGAATGACAACTGTTCCCTCTCTAGAGAAACACTAATGCAATTGTTGGGTGATTTTATCCGCTAGTCGAACCAATTTGATTAAATAATTTTTTTATCCTTTTTTTTTTATTATTATTATAATTGTTAGATTTTATTTTTTCCCTTTTGTTTTTAAATATATTAATACAGTTGCCACCTATAATTATAATCAAAGTACAAGTGAGTTGTTTATCTGAGTGAAAAATTGTACACGCGTGACTTTGATATGATACAAGAGAGACAATCCAGTGTCAACAGCGACACCTACAGAATACAGAATAGGGCAGAAATATCTGGAAATCAGGAAACTAATATTAAATTAAGAATATGGTGAAGAGGAACCGTAGGGATCCTGTACTTGAAATCAACTCTACATTGTATTTTTAAATTGTAAGTAACATTCTAAATAGTGCTGTCTACTTTCAAAGACAAGTATATATTTTAGAGCTTCAATCTAGTAATAATTTACATTTTTGTACATAATCAAACAGACATTACCATGAGGAAATAAAAGTCTTATCAATTTCAATTTAAGCAATGAAAAAAGTAAAGATCTCTCAAATATTAATAATATGGGGAAGAAGTCCACAATTACAGTACAAAAATCAATAAAAAAGAAATTAAAAAAAAAAATTTCAATCTACTAATGAACTCAAATCGTTAACTTTTTTTATTTTCCCACATCAGCGCAGAAATCTTTTCCGGTATTGTTTATCTCAGGATTTGAGTAAAATATTATGGGGATGGACCTTATACCATTAAGCAAATCAATAAAACTAAAAATTAATATATAAAAATCAACATACTAATGAAATCATAGTGTTTCTTTGTTTACATTGAAAATGATGTCACAACTAAAGTCCCTTACACCAGGACAAAAATCGGAAACGTTTCCGTATTTCCGTATCTTTTTTAACAGACTTCGTCCCCTTTCACAGGTAACGCCTGCCTCATATTATAACTATATAATATAGCTGACTTAAAGACGGTCTGAGTTGACAGTCCAAGTTGTCTTTATTGTAGACGGTCAGAGTTGTCTTTAGGCAGAATTGTCTTGCACCCATCAGTAATGAAGGGAGGACAAAGTTTAGAAAATGAAATTTTGATATCAAACTAGTATAACATACAAGACTTGGTAAATACGGATCTTTCTGTGCCTGAGAAAACCATCCATTTGCCACGTCATTAGAATCATTTTGAGAGCTTTTATCGGACTTATTGAAAAAATTTAGCCTTCCTAGGCTAAAACCTGTACTGCTTGAGTCATCTGATACTGAGATATTTGTTTCTTTGTTACTTCTCGAGAGGTAATTTTGTAGATCTTGGCCTAAGCCTGTCATTTTCTTTATCTAATGAAAAGTCAAGATAGACTACGGGAAGGTAGTTCCGAGAGGATAAAAGATTATACTAAAAGATACTCTGAATTCCCCGGAGCAGCACATTATGCGTCATTTTGAAAAATATCGAATCTCCTCGTATAAACTTTTATATCTTTGTCAGCAAATTTGAATTAAATTGTATAGACACTAAAAATTGACTTGTGATAGATATTTTCATATCTTTGAACAGATTCTCCGAAAAATAAACGGTATTTTTATAAGTCTACCCGATGATTTTGTTTTGTTTTGTTTTGTTTTGTTTTGTTTTGTTTTGTTTTGTTTTGTTTTGTTTTGTTTTGTTTTGTTTTGTTTTGTTTTGTTTTGTTTTGTGTTTTGTTTTGTTTTGTTTTGTTTTGTTTTGTTTTGTTTTGTTTTGTTTTTATAACGGGCTAGAATAATATATATTAATCTCGCTTGAGTTTTGTTTTTTGTTTTTGTATTTATTTTCAGGGAATCATGAGACTACTAATACAGATATCAGGTGAATCTGGTGTTGAGTCTTTGGTAATCTTTTGTTTCTCTTAATTTTGAATTGTTTCATGTTTTGTCTTTCTTGTGCTCTTTAAAGCTTATTATACGGTATATGTTTTGCTCATTGTTGAAGGCCGTACGTAAACTTTACTTCTTTACGTCTATGTACTTTTTTCACTGGTGGATTGGCAATTATACCACATCTCCTTAGGTCAAGTTGATGTTTGCCAAAGTAAATGTGGGTTACTAGAGCTTGACATATAAAGTATAGACATTTGTTTGTTGTTGAATTAGATTTTGGTCAATGAAACATCAAACCGTATGTTGACCTGTATATGTCCTTTGGAATTTGTGTCGTGGTGTTGCTGTCTCATTACCTATATAGTATATACGTGCTCCATAAGGGGGCCCGGGCCCCCTGACACCCCTCCCCCGGCCTTTAATCTGCCTCTGAGGTTGCTGACTATAGTTCATTACCGTTTGTTACTTGTTTTATATTTACATGTACTGTATGTACGTTTTATATTTACATGTACTGTATGTACGTTTTATATTTACATGTACTGTATGCACGTTTATATTTAATGTATGTACATTTGAAATTTAGTTAAAATACAAGTAGTTTCGAGATATAAGGGGTTCGAAATTCTCTGACACCTTGATGAAACCAGTCTTGTCGAATGAAACAATGGGATATTTGGTGGAAGGCGGACAATCTATCTTTCTAGAATTTGACCAGATATATGCTTTTATTTCTTACTTATTTTTACAAAATATCTGAATTTGATTGATTAGATAAAAAATAATTGACTTGTTTTTCGTTATTTCGTGAAAAAGAAAATATCATGTTTAAATAAATAGTTATGGTTAATATAAAGTCCGAGATTGCTCTGACGTCCGTCGGCCTGTTTTCTCAGACTGCTGTGGTCTTAAAAAAATATCTTATGTGTAAATTTGCTGTTCAGAGTGTGTCTGCTAATTAAATACATGTATATGTTACAGGCATTTTCTAAATTAAGGCATTTTGTAAAATGACTGAATTTTCAGGCAATTTATAAAAGCCTGACCTTGACATGCATTATATAAAATGACTAAAAGTACCTAGTCATTTTGTACCAAATTCAACAAATTGGCTGTTCAGTTTCAGGTTATTTGTTTTAAAAAAGGGATAATTATCGTTGAGATGCATACAAACAAAAACACAATCATATGCAAAGGAAATAACGAATGGTTTGGTAAAATTGAGTTTATTCTTCAAAATGAAATTGGGAAAGTTTGTATAATTTTAAGTGAAACTTCATTAAATATGTAACCACTCTGTATTTTAGATAGTAATTGTGTGATCATAATGACAAAAGCACAAATTGCTCTTACAATAGAACAAATTTTACAAATGAATTTTTAGAAAAATCTTAATTCAAAACAGAAGTGTATAATATGAAGCAGAGAAAAAGAAGCATGTTTATTATTGACTGATTGTTGTTTGTTAGCACTCAGTAGCAATTAAATATTTCATGCAAATTTAAGACGAGAACAAATTGACTATAAATCAAAGAGGTAAGTTCTACAATGGATTTACCTGGATAAAGGACAGGAATTTTGACTGCCGCTTGAAATGAAGGTATGTTTGATAGGGGCAGACAAGTTGCCTCGAATTTATACATCCTGCACAGCCAAACTGATTCTTCTCTATGTATAGCATGAGTTTCGCTATACAAGGCTGTGCCGGTTTGGTTGTACGTAATGCAAAGATATGAGTAAGGGTATTCTTTGGTTTACATTCTGATGAGTTAATGTGACGGTACTTCACCGTTGTTAAAATCTCAAAAATCGACCAGGAAGAGACAAATAAAGGTGCACCGACAGGATAAGCGTCTCCTGCCATGAATGCATCACCCGCCATGCGTAAAGTTGCTTCAGTCTGTTAAATGCTCTGATAAGCAAAAAGATGTCAGTCAACCTAATAATGCTAATGTGACTTTGAATCTGTTCGGAGCACACGAAAAAGAAGATATTCAGGTGTGTGCTTTTTGCTAAACCCACTGTTCGTCGAACGTTAATTTAGTGTTTTATCAGAAACAAAATACATCTCCGAGTCACTATTTTTATCTTTTAAATCAGAGAAAAGAACACTTCTTATTAGAAAAATATCAGACAATCCTGTCATTAAAATAACAGATAACCATGCAGAAATATTGTATTAATTTTAAACTAATCTAGTTTATATGTAACATATCTAAAGTTTTGTTGGATTGCTGTTGATATTGTTTTAACTGACTACATGTAACTGTCTGGTGAATTTTTATTGTACATATTTGAATAAAATTTTATCAAGAGAAAAAGTAGTCCAACTACAGTATCACTAGCCAGTCAACACTGTGGTTGTGAGTTCGAATCCTGCACGGGGCTGGTGCACTCGACTCCAATCTTAATTGACTAGGATTGTCAGTTTTCCTACCGACGGTCGGTGGTTCTCTCTGGGCTCTCCGGCTTCCTCTACCAATAAAAACTGACCGCCACGAAATAACACAATAGTGTTTAAGTGGCGTTAAACACCAATCAATCAATCTTTAAATGTAACCTTAAAATCAGTAATTATGATAGCTAAAACTGCTCTGTTGTTTGATACTTTCAATTGTTTAGGTTGTGAATATTTCATTCTATAAAGTGATTTCAGGCATTTTGTAAAATGTCTAATTCTTATATGCATTTTAGAGAATGCTTAAAGTTTTCAGGCATTTTACAAAATCCCTAAATTTAGAAAATGTCTTTAACATATATATTTATATAAATTGGAACCAGTAGCGCAGGAGTGGTCTGAAAAGAAGGAACAAAAAAGTCGCAAGCAAGCAAAAAAAAAAACTAACTATAGTCTGATGGTCTAGGAGTTAGCCAGTATCTTCTTTCATTTTCATGAAAAAAACTTGCCAAAAAGATGAGGGGAACATAGTTTGAAAGTGGGGGCATTAATTACTCCTGTCTTTTCGACACCCTGGCTCCTACGCCAGTTGGAACAGTGGGAACAAGAATGGTTAATGTCAATGTGAAATCATGCACATAACTAAAATACAAAAAAACTAAAATCTTTGAATATACATATACACCACAAAAGTATATGTTAAAATCTACAGACAAAGCAAAATATATTGGCATTATAATTACCATCACAAATGATCTAACACGGAACTCGCGTATAAATGATATCACAAATAAAGAAAATGCATAACTCAAGTATAAGATTTATCAAAAAGAATATTAATACCAACAGCATACATGACACCTTTTTTCATTTGTTGTTTTTATAACTATCTTATAAAACATATATCAGACTTAAATCAGAATAATGTAGTGTTGTCTGGGTCGATTCCTGGCATAAACAACAAATAATAGAAATGAAATGATCAAGAGAAGAGCAGCCAGGTATACATTAAATCAGAAGTCCATTACTAGAGCTCTAGTAATGGACTTCTGATTAAATCAATACAACTACGAAAGTAGTGTACGTGCCGTGCTTGAACATCTAAGCTGGCAAACATTTCAATAAAGAAGAAAAATTGCGACAGTCACTATGCTCTCCAAAATTCACCATCAACTAGTTTCATCTCAAACACTTTCAAAAGAACATAAGATAAGATAAGAAAATTTTATTTTGATTCGGCATTTATAAAACTGTACAACACAAGCTTAAAAGAGCGTTAATTTGTCTGAATATAAAAATATACAGACAACATAAAAACAATAATAACAACATGCATTACATACACAAAATTTTGCATTTATATGTGAAAGACTTAAGGAAGATTAACAGTATACCACCATGATCTTGGATTGGAAAAAAGCAGTACACGATCGGTCTAGTTTTTTGTTCAAATCTGAAAATTTTGAGGCAAATTGGCAATAAATGTGTAAAATATATATTTAAATAAGTGAAAATACATGATTTATTGCGTTATTTTGACTGTTTGACAAATAATAAATATATGTGTTTGTTCGAATCAGTTTTTCAACGTAGCCATTTAAGGGGAGATAATCCAAACAGTAATTCTTTTATACTGGAATGTTAAAGAAATTCTAATTTTTACTGGTAGCAAGAATACAAGATTGGTGACACAGTTTTTTATTTTTATTTTCTTAAAGCATATTATAAAACCTATCTTCTCATATTTTATTTCAAAACTCTATCTCATAGATTTCTTTTAATTCACAAAAAAGTGGTTTTTTTCATGAATAATCTATGCAAATTTAGGCAATTTTTCACGACTTGTACCATGAAAAATACTTTTTAGTATGGTTTTTAAAAAAGCATGGTAAAATCTACATTTTGGCAAAGTATAAGAATATTTTATCTGAGGAAATCTACACCGATCATCTACCTTAACATGTTTTAGCAAATTTGACGTAAGATAAAAGTGTACCTTCTAAAAAATTTGGAATATATGCACTAAGAAAATATTAAACTGTAAGCAAAGAGTCTGCAGTAAGCAAAGATTAAATATATGTATTAAGCGAAGCCAGACTACAAATTTGTGAACATTGAAAAAAATAGTGAGCTGAACATATATCCAAGCGGGGACCCATGTGGCAATCGCTTCTTTCAATCTCCGCTTAAAAAGCTATACACAGAGAAATCCGATGTTTTACAGTGTGACAGGAAGCAAACAGCAGATTTTAACTTTCTGCAGATTGAGCAACGGCACTTCGAACCATTCCAGGACTGAAGCAAACTCTTGAAATGAGAAAAAGTATGTTCAGTCCTGAAATGGTTTTGCAAGCTATTCCACAATGAAGCGGCTGCATATCTGAATAATCTCTTACCGCATGTATACTAGTTCTTATCGCTGGTATGTCCAGGATGTTACTATATGTAAAATTATATTTTGAGTCCTTTTGATTGACCAAGTCGCTCAAACACACTGGAGCTTTCCCGTTAAGAATTTTGTAAGCCTCAAGTGCTATTATCCTGATTCTTCTCAACTGCAAAGTTATAACCTTTGAAACATCCAGCAGGGTTTTATATGATGAGGTATAATCCTCAAATACAATACGGAGCGCTCTCTCTTGCGCTTTTTTCTAACTACTTAGAGTTAGTGCCCGTGCAGAAGTGACACGCTAGAGGACTAAAATTAAAATTACTTAAAATAGAAATATGGAATATGATCAGTTTACTAGTATTTTAGTCTCGTTAACATATATCCAAATCGTTTCAGTATATGCAGTTGTTGTGACGCCTTTCTGCACAAGCTACTGATTTGGGCATCACATTTCAGTTAATAATGGATATCAATACCAAGAAACTTGACAGTTTCCTCACAAGAAAGAACATTTTCTTAAATTTGAATGCTAGGATTTTTTACAAAGTTTTTTTTTCCGACGGCAATAACGTTAAATTTATCTGGATTGGCTGCATTTTGTTTACATTGAACCAGTCTATAAGCACACGAGACTCAGATTCAAGATGGATATAAGCGAATTGTAATCAGGACTGATGAAAGACAAGGTATTATCATCAGCATAATTATATAAAGAACTTTGTTTCACAAAAAAAAATCGTTTATGAAAACATTAAATAACAGAGAGTCTAAAGTTGAACCTTGATGTACACCTTTCCGGATGTCAGCTCAACTACTCAGAACACCATTGACATTAAAATTGTTGTTTTCTGTTAGAAAGATACGAAAGCAAGAGGGATACTGAATCATGTGAATGAGTAGATACGTCATAATCTAGTAATTTGTCTAGTAAAATATCGTGAGGTAACTCGGCAATCAAATTCCTTTGAAAGGTCCATGCGTACAGCTATAACAAAATGTGTTTTATCTAAAGCTTGGTGCCAGTCTTCTTGTAACTCTGAGCAGTGTAGTCTTACACCCGTGACCCTTCTGAAAGCACATACATATTGATTAAATATTGAATAAAAAATACATACAACTGTATCTCAAAACCTTTTCATACACTTTAGAAAAAAATGGATAAAACACTTACATAGCGATAATTTGATTTTGAAAGAGGACCATTCTTTTTATGCAGCGGTATAACGAGCTTTTTTAGTCTTTCTGTGAAAACACCTGTATCAACAGTCAAGTTTACTATCATAAGCCGTTTGTCAGCTGATTTACAATCTAAAATTTACTCTCCCTGAATATTTTCTCTGGTATACCGTCTGCACCCAATGCCTTTTTAATGTTGACCTTAATCACATTTTTTTTAAATTTATCCGGCGTCACTCTTTAAAAACTGAAGTTTGTATCTAGTATCTCATTACATACATTTGTGCAGCCATTATCTCCCCTAAAACACTATTCGTTTTCACTTTTTCCGAAGGCAAGTGGGATTCTTAGCCAAACCCTGTAGCCAGTAGCCTTATGTTGGTCCATAAAGTTATTGACAAAGAATGAAAATCATTGCACCTTCCGGGTTGGGACGTGTCCGGAACTTTAAGTATACTTTTAGTAAAACCTATTTCTGATAATATAGCTAAAGCCCAACTGTTGAAGATACTTGTAAGTCAGTATAAAGTAAGTAAATTTTGCATAAATTACCTGACAAAAATGTTTAAACTAGAATAAAGTTTGGAAATGAAATGCAACAAAAAATTTATTCTCTTACATAGTGAAAATAAAAATAGGATATTTAAAAAAAAAAAGTATTTGATATTTAACTTGATTTTGGGTAAATAGTCAAACTATTATATTGACTGGTTTATTTACATTTCATTAGTACTATTTTTGCCTTTTCCAATTTTATCGTACCAGAAAGTCAGCTGAGAAACTCAAACATGAAAGGGAAATTACGATGTCAATAACAGTCAATCGTTCTAGCTTTAAAGACAGAATTGTTGAAAATGTAGCAAAGGCAATAAAATCGGTTAGAAACACACACTTTAGATAGATATATCATATTGGTATTCTTTGCTCCAAGCAGCTTTAAATGGTTATGACTGCGGTATGGGTTTTGCTCATTGTTGAAGGCCGTACGGTGACTTGTAGTTGTTAACTTCTATGTCTGTTGGTCTATGGTGGAGAGTTGTTTCATTTGCAATCATACCACATCTTCCTATTCTTATAAATAGACAACTTTCACATATGTGCATTTCTAGTACATTTTCCAATGTTACGATGCTTAGTTTATCATGTCACAGTAAAAGCTGATTGATCAATCACATCATTTTCACACAATGACCTTGTAGGGTTTTCTTTTAGGTGAATAAAATTGAGAATGGAAATGGGGAATGTGTCAAAGAGACAACAACCCGACCAAAGAGCAAAAAACAGCCGAAGGCCACCAATGGGTCTTCAACACAGCGAGAAAATCCTGCATCTGGAGGCGTCCTTCAGCTTGGCCCTAAACAAAAATGTGTTCTAGTTCAGTGATAATGGACGTCATACTAAACTCCAAAACATATTTATGAATGAACTAAAATTCAAAATCATACAAGACTAACAAAGGCCAGAGGCTCCTGACTTGGGACAGGCGCAAAAATGTGGCAGGGTTAAACATGTTTTTTGAGATCTCAACCCTCCCCCTATACCTCTAGCCAATGTAAAAAAAACAAACACACAGCAATAGGCACATTAAAACTCAGTTTAAAAAAAGTCTGAGTCCGATGTCAGAATAGGTACATTTTGTAACAAAAGAAACTAAGCAAAATGACAATGATACATAAATTAACAAAGGACTACTAGCAGTTACTGACATGCCAGCTCCAGACCTCAATTAAATTGATTGAAAAGTTATGTCTTCATCATATGAAAATCAAGCACAATCCCTCACGTTAGGGGTTTAGTATCATACCATCATTAAATATATGAGAAGAACATAACCCGTATCATGCCAACAACTGGTTTTAGAATAAATGTGTTTATTTCCGATGCAAAGACCCTATGAGTGAATCAATATTAATACCAAACATGCCATCTTTAATGACCTGACAACAGTATCGTAACTATATCCCTTCTTAATAAGTCTGTTTAAAGGTTTGGTTAGCTTTTGAGGTGAATGCCGACATTTTTGTGCTTTATAAAGTATAATACCATAAAAGATTGGATGTGAAATACCTGAACATTTAAGAATACATGTTTCCTAGGCACATGATTTTTATTCTGGATGTGCCATTTTGTAAACCCCTGCATCAGCGTCGGAGATCCCTCGTCATTTATGCATGCTGAGCCTGTCATCATCAGAATTATCTCTCCACTATCAAAAAGTATTTGTAAACCTGATTCTGCTTTATGATAAATCCGAAGAGTCCAAATATAATTATAACTGAAGCTAGTGGGATAAAACATGTAAAAGCCAGGAAATATCTAAATCTGTGTACAAAAACACATCGTCAATCTGTTTACAGACAATAGGTGACAAAGAAGGCAATTAATTAACAAATAATTACAAACCAATATATTTAGATTGATAATCATTATGTAACACCAATGTTGTAGACGAAGAAGGGGATTAGGTCTAGTTTAATGCATATGACAGAAGAAATGTTTATAACAAGGGTAAACTACAAGATATTATGAAGTGAAAAAAATAATAAGTGCAATATATGCACTGACCTTGGTCAACTGGTGTAACTCATTCATGAAGCAAGATTTGAAAATTGAACTCTTATTTATCTGTCAATTTTTAACTTGTTTAGTTATATCATTGTAAAAAGAAAAAAGTATGGCCTCCTGAATTTGAAACTTTTATTTTTCATAATTTCTTTAATTACATATGTATATTTTTCAGATTCAAGAGATTCAGATTTACCATACATCAGATGAACCAGTGGTACTAACAAGCGACGACAGACCAGCCAGAAAACTATTAGAACATCTTGATCATGTTTTCTTACATGGGTAATATAATGTGGATTTAATGTACACTAAAAGAAACATAAATGATATTTTAAGTATGGGAAGAATGAAAAAAATAATTTCAAGTCTAATGAAGGTCTTGAAATTATCAAACATAACCCCATGCTGTAATAAATTGTTAAAATTGAGAATGGAAATGGGGAATGTGTCAAAGAGACAACAACCCGAACATAGAGCAGACAACAGCCGATCTACTTTACATGACCATATAAAGTTGTTTTTTCTTGAGCATACTTCATCAGGGTAGTTCCAGTTACACATGCCTTGTGAACTAAAGTTGAAAACACTAAACTCTTAAATACAAATTCAAACAACAGTTAGAAACACTGACAAGATTTAATGGACAGGAACATAATAATGATTAGATTATCTAAAGTTTTGTGGGTTCTCAACCATCCCCCTTTTTTCTTTTACTTTTTAGGTTGAGGCATATCACAAATGGATATTTGAAAATTGTATCAGAATTTAGTACTAAAAGTACAGTGAAAGATATTAAAAGATTGACTAATGTAGCCACTGATTTAGGGAGAGGTAAGATCTAGTATAAACATTATTTAGTTACTGTGACTTGATTGTAAATATATTTTTCATTGTCTTAAAGTTTATTTAATATTTTGTATGGGTCAATGATGTATGATTTGATAGGTCAGGTGACCTAATGTTTTGTTATGCTAATTTGTTTTTCGCGGGTTCGTGAAAAATAAAATTGTCTAGGTGGTTATTCTAGCCGTAGACATCGTACACTTAAAACTTCCTTTTTTGTATAAAAAATTGTTTTTTTATATAATCATGATCATGATGAAGTACGGCATCATTACCCAGAAACGGTTCTTGCATTGCTCCGTGACGCAGGTTTCCAAACTATATAAGTTGTTTTCATAATATGATATTTAACATTTGGAATGTTCTTGGAAGTTAATAGATATTTATTACTATTGTTACCGGAAGTATATTTTTTGGTTCACAAAGTTGTGTGTTAAATTACTTAGTATAGATACTATAACTGTGTTATCTATGATGTTTGCATATGTATATGAGATTATTGTATTGTATTGAATTACAAATTTGATTAAATGCTGGCTCCAGTCTGTCTGCACTGCAAAATGCATATTTGAGTTGAGTCTAATTTAGTTGGCCAAAATTATTGTGTAGTTAGGACATGTTTTTCTCCACATATTGCAGGTCATTCAAAATTCTGACCTAATTGCAATTTGTTTCTTTAAATCAATCTGTCCATCTGTCTGTATGTCCGTCCGTCGTCAACATGTCAGCCATTAATTCAAAAACGCTTTAACCAATATGCATGAAACTTTGGTGAATTGTTTATATTTATTGATGTGAGTTCCCTTTCGTTTTTTATAAATTTCAGATTTACCATTTCCGAGTTTTGGGGTTTTATTCATAAAAAAAAGGGGGGATTTTCCAGTTTTTGGACATTAACTCAAAAACAGTTTCACCAATTGCATGAAACTTTTGTGAATTGTTCATATCTATTGATGTGATCTCTTTTTTGTTTTTTATAAATTTAGGATTTTCTGTTTCCGAGTTTTGGGGTTTTATTCATTAAAAAAGGGGGGATTTTCCAGTTTTCGGACAATAACTCAAAAAAAATTTCACCAATTTGCAAGAGAAACTTTTGTGAGTTGTTCATATCTATTGATGTGAGCTCCCTTTCGTTTTTTATAAATTTCGGATTTACCGTTTTCGAGTTTTGGGTTTTTATTTATTAAAAAAGGGGGGATTTTCCACTTTTCAGACAATAACTCTAAAACAATTTCACCAATTTGCAAGAAAGTTTGGTGAATTGTTTATTTCTATCTTCATGAGCTCCCTTTTGATTTTTATAAATTTCGGACAATACGTTTCCGATTTATGGGGTTTTATTCATTACAAAAAAGGTGATTTTCCAGTTTTCGGACAATAACTCAAAAATGCTTTCAGCATTTTTTATGAAATTTTGGTAAATTGTTTATATCTATTTTTGTAAGCTCCCTTTTGATTTTTATAAATTTTAGATTTTTTGTTTCCGAGTTATAAGATTTTATTTGTTTAAAGTCTGACAACAGATTTTCTAAGTATTACGCAACAGCACAACAGCAAGAAATCTTTCATATAACCAATTTCAAGTTCTTTGACTACATTTATTCAGAAACCTATCATATATCAAATATTTAATTACAATCCAAATTCAGACCTGTATCAAACTTGAATATTGTGTCCATTTTTGCCCCAACTGTTCAGGGTTGGACCTTTGCGGGAGTATCCAGCTGCACTCAGCGAAGCAGTTTATTTCTCTTTTTTTTCTTTAAAATTTTCCATTTAAGTTGGTTATTTTTTATTTATATATAAAAGCAAATAATAATGATATGGTTTGATTTCATCAAAAATTGAAATATTGGGGTTCTTTGATATGCTGAATCTAACCGTGTATTTTGATTCTTAATTTTTGGTCCCGTTTTCAAATTGGTCTACATTAAGGTCTAAAGGGTCCAAAATTAAACTTAGTTTGATTTCAACAAAAATTGAATTCTTGGGGTTTTTTGATATGCTGAATCTAACTCTGTATGTATTTAGATTTTGGATATTGGACCATAATAGGTAAATTAAAAATTTTTAAGTTCTTAGACCACATTCATTCTGTGTCAGAAACCTATGCTGTGTCAAATATTTAATCACAATCCAAATTCAGAGCTGTATCAAGCTCGAATGTTGTGTCCATACTTGCCCCAACTGTTCAGGGTTTGACCTCTGCGGTCGTATCAAGCTGCTCCCAGCGAAGCAGTTTATTTTAACCCTTGTAGTAAAAATGTTTAATCTTAATAAATGTCCAGATGGGGGAGCATCAGTTGGCAGTGACAGCTTTATACTTGTTTTATGTTACAGGTAGAGCATGGCTGTCCATAGCTTTGAACGAAGGTCTGATGGAAAGTTATTTCAGATGCTTTGAAGGAAATATAAAACTAGTAAAGAGATCCTATGTGAGAGATGCCTTAGTTTTAGACCAACAGGTAAGTCAAGTAGTATAGGGCATTGTCATTCATTATCATATATAAATCTTGAAAAAATATACAAATAAGAATTAGAAGAAATTAATTCATTTGTTCTATTTCTTAGTGCATTTAAACCTGTTCTGACCAGTTTGACTACACATTAATGAAATCGTCTTTGTTTGATTACCCACCAAATCTTCTTTCAATATTATATATCATGTTTGCAGTTATTTATTTAATCATAAGAGAAACACATTCTACTAATGTAATCTATGATTAAGATTATTTTTAATTTTCGAATTATAGATTGTTTAGCAAGTATTACATTTTAAATTTTGAAATCTTACAAACATAGTGGATACAAATGAAATAAAATCAAGAATTGTGGTAGAATCTATAAACTGTTTTCATTTTCCTTAAATAATTTTTATTTAAACACATATTTAATAAAAAAAAAATCTTTTCCAAGCAAATGGTTCTGATACTTCACTTATAAAAAGTTGACAGTTCATTCAACTAATTGTATAACATGTTTTGGGCCAAAAATAAAAAGAAAAGCATTCGAAAAATGATATTATGAAGTTGTTCATCACTTATTTTCTTGGTTTACCAGCAGGTGTTCAAATTAGTGCGGGTCCAAGGTCCAGGACCTGTCTTTTCTAGGAGAGAACTTTTCATGGACCTACCATTCTTTACACTGATGCTTTATACATGACCATTGATTTCATATGGAGGACCTTTCACTCAAAATTTCAAATGGTCCTGGACCTTTCATTATTTAAAGCAAATTTGAACCCCTGTTACCAGTTTGTTTCCTCCGTACCTTGGTTGGAAGTTATATTTAACATGAATAACGCTGATTGTTTTAAATTCTCATCTTTCAGAGACTAAATGTGTTGATAACACTTATATCTGGTATTGAATTGGTAGTCTTCCAGTTAGATTATGTAAGTTTATCTGCAGTATAAATGATGTTAGAATTAAAATCTATATAAAGCTGTTTAAAAAAATGTCCAATTTTTAAGGAGAAAGGGAGAAAACTTTATTCATGTACTGGTATGTGTCCACTACTTTAATTCAACTGTGAGAGAGAAAGTTCTCAATATACAATTAAAAACCAATTGTTCAAAGAACAATTGAAGGTCTTTCCACATCAATTTTCTAAATAATTGATGAAAAGATAATTCTGGTTTACTCAAAGCTACTATTGGCGTCCAATCATAGGTTTCTTCATACTGATTCAATAAACATGGTTTCTATATACTTTTGCCTGAAATAAGGGAGATAATTGTCAACATCCGGTTTAGAAAATGTCACTTCCGGTCTCATATGATAGCTTTATTTACACTGATTCCAAAAATATATGGTTTATATATACTTTTGCCTGTAAAAAGGGAGATAATTGGCTACTTCTGGTTTAGAAAATGTCACTTCCGGTCTCATATGATAGATTTATTTACACTGATTCCAAAAATATATGGTTTATATATACTTTTGCCTGTAAAAAGGGAGATAATTGGCTACTTCCGGTTTAGAAAATGTCATTTTCGGTCTCATATGATAGCTTTATTTACACTGATTCCAAAAATATATGGTTTATATATACTTTTGCCTGTAAAAAGGGAGATAATATGCTACTTCCGGTTTAAAAAAATATCACTTCCGGTCTCAAATGATAGATTAATGTATGACCATTCAAAAAATATATGGTTTCTATGTACTTCTACATGAAATAAGTGCAAAAATAACTACTTCCAGTTCACTCAAGGTCACTTCCGGTTGACATTTTTCAAGGTCACATGTCACTTAACATTTCTAAAAGACCGTATTGCTTTATCATGTACCAATCTGAAGTAATAATCAATTTACCTAAAAATAAAACATTTCAGGGGCAATAACTCCAATAAGATGTCGCTGGATTGTCTCAGACCAAATGTATCATATCTTCATCACAATATAACAAACATTTTGCACTTGTTCTTTAATATATAACATTAAAAATATCGGAGAAAATGCAAAAACAAGCAAAAGACAAAATTCAGAGTATGACCTTGACCTTTGACCTTGACCTTATTTTCGAAGTTAGGATCCAAGGACCTTAAATAAAAAGACTATAGGTTTATACGGCTTACAGTTTATGAGTAACAAAAACATAACGACAAATTTATTTGATAAAGGTAGATAACTCCTATAAAATTTCATCGAATCGCTTCGATCCAAATTAGCCAAAAATTCCTGAGGATGTAACGAACAATTTGTAAAAAGAATTTTGTCGATATCTTTTTTTGTTACGAAGGAGATGCACACAGATGATAAACAGTGAATAGGGAGATAACTCTTACAAAGAAAATGGTTCGGCTTAGCAGGGTGAAATTTAAAAGCGCATAAACTATACGATACAATATGAGAAATATCTAAGCGACATATTGCGAAACAAACATTTATCGCAAGAACAAAATTTGGCGGAAGAAAAAAAAAAAAAATAATAATAATAATAATAATCAGAACAAATACGATAGGTCTTTCCACAGAAAAGTGGAAAGACCTAATAATTTTAGATATATAAGATACACAAAAAATTAATAAACGCTTGTAACATTTTTATACATGCTTTATAATTTTTCTATAGGATGTGCCATATCTTGACCTTGGAACAGCACCCCCTCAAAGTAGAAGTAGGGCAGACTCAGAGGAGTCTGAAAGTGACAGGTTATCACTTTGTAGTATGGACAGTGTTGCTTCCAATGCTAGTAAAAATATGGTAGGTACAAATGAATTATTTGTACTTTAATTATATATTCATTTAATATTCATGTCAGACATTCTGTTATATTTTGTCAAAGCTGTTTTTGCATTGATTGATTCGTATGACAATTAGTTTTATCATGATTTGTTGAGACATATGTATGCTATTCCAGTGTTGGTAACAGCAGAAACTATTTGCATAACGCTTTATATTTCATTTTCATGGAACACTGACATAAAAAAATCAATACTAAGTGTTTTTGTTTGGTTTGATAATAATTGGCAGTTAATATTGGTCAACTGTATTCAGTTTGGAGAATCTTTGAAAAATGTACATATTCATTTGACAGGGTTTACCTGACCTTGACTTTCAGGTTCAATCAATGATGTTAAGTTTTTATGTTTAGGTTTTCTTTTAGTTGCTATAAGATAAAGGTCCCTTATTGATGGTCTATTGAATCATTCTGACGTGTATTTATTAAAATAAGGAGATGTGGTATGATTGCCAATGAGACAACAATCTACCAGTGTCGTTATTACATAGATGTATGCATCTATAGGTCACTGTACAGCCTTCAACAATGAGCATATAGTCAGCTATTAAAGGATTAGACATGAAAAACCAGAAACAAAAAAACCAGCACCCTGATTTATGTACAAAACAAAAAGGAAAAAGTAAATAGGATAGACAGTAACCAGCTATAACCACTGAATTACAAGCTCCTTACGTGGGACAGGAACGTGCAGAATGTGGCAGGGGTTTACATGTTTGAGAGTACTCAACCCTCCTCCTTGCATGGGACAATGGTGTAACAGCACAATATAAGAACTAACTGTAAAAATCAGTTGAAAAAGTCTTGGCTCATCAGATCATTCATGTATTTGCAACAGTGGACACTTATACATAACCTCATATTCACGGTCCTCTGATCAAAGTATATTCGTCATGATTAGAACAGTTTCTTACTTGATAAGTAATATTTCAGCTATATTTGATGTATAGAAACATTTAAAGGGGAAGATGCTAATTTGATAAATCAAATGACCATGCACTTATTATAATGGTCAATTTATCAATGTTACATTGTAAGTTTTATGATTAGGTCTGTGTTTCAGTTAATTTTGAGTAACAATTGAACTTTATTTGGGTTTAGATTAGCTGTAAGATGGTGGTTTTGCAGGCTGGAGGGGGAGGGATACTTGTGATTACAAAATTCTTGTTTTGTTTTTTTATAATTACCAGTTATTTAACATTAGTGTTTACATTTTCAAGATGGCCAAGATTTATTACTAATATATTACTTGAAAGAAATTTATTTCTTAGATAATATCTCGAGACAGTCCCATCACAGTTGATGATGATAGAAGTTATAGCACACACATGAATGGGTATCTAGGACAGATCGATGAAAATATTGAGACCAAATTTGATAGATTGGACAGTGTAATAACAGAAGATATTGAACCTGAAGACACCAGTATAGAGGTCATACATGTAAAACGTGGAAGTGGTAAGGCAAAAAAACCAAAAGGTAAGAAAAACAAGAAGGAACCAGTTATAGGAACAGATGAACAAAGTACTACAATTTCAAATGTGAAAAGACCTAATGAGTTAGATTTGACCACTGGCGAAGTTCATGAACAATACCAACAAATTGAAAATTTAGAGAAAGATGTAAAGCCCTTCTACAAATTAGCCCATAGTGTGAAAGAAGATGACTTAGTAACACCGGATGAAACGAATCATTTAAAGTCAAATAGTTTAGTTAATGAAAATCCTCCTTCTGGTTTGCCAGATGAAGAAAAGACCGATTTCTATGATAAATCATTAGATGTTTCGGAAAAATCTGTGAGTGATGATGGTGATCATTTTATAGAAGATGATTACGTTCAGGAATTTACAAATCTAATTAAACCTTGTGATAATGATCAATTTGCAGAAAAAGTTATTAAAAAATTCCAAAATAAACACAATGTTACTCTTTCAATAAATGAGGATTTCTATAATAGTGGTAGTAAATTTGTAAATGAAGCAGACGGCATGAGGAATGATGTCGATGAACTTGATAATTATACTCATAAAAGTGCAATATTTGAACATCCTGGAAATGGAGATGTTCAGACTACATTTAAAGAACATTTAGTCCCACAAAACCAAGATATTAAATCAATCGATAATTATGAAAATGATAATGCAGTCAGTAAAAATGAAGTGCAACCTACCAAAGAGGAAACAGACCATTCAACCAATGAGAAGTCTTCTACTTCCCAAATGCAGGACCTTGTTGACAATATGATTAATAATCAATCAGATACTATGTTAAAGCATCACATGTATGAAGAAGAGCCAGAAGATACCAACCTAAATGACAACATGAACAATAGTAAAAGTTTAAGTGAAGGAGAACTTAAGTAAGTGTTCTTTTGTCATAAGTATAAATCATACAGAATGTGATGTCATGTGAAAGAAAACTTAGGATATAGTTTCTGAGTGCCTAGTGTTCCTAAAATGACCTTCATCAGGTATACTTATTTCCAAAAGTTTACAGGCTAAAAATATAAAAAGTTTTTGGACGTCGAACTGAAAGGCCCATGAAAGTTACGTAATGTAAACTTTTGCTTGAAATCCAGAGGTAACAGCCATATAATAATAAATGTGTAAATGTGGGTTGTGAACAAGGGAAACGTTGAGAGTATATACAGCCCGCTAAAGTTGATACAGTTTTATGATAAAATAATTCTTATTTTATTGAAAATAACAAGGTTTATCTCCCCCTTAATATAGTGATTTTGCTAGCATTGTCATTTTCGTCATTTACGAAAAAGTTTTCAAAATAACGAAAGTTTTTCAAATATTTTGCTAGCACTTGTCATTTTCTTCATTTACGAAAAAGTTTTCAAAATAAAGAAAGTTTTTCAAATCATTTTCGTCACTTAAATTTGAAAAGTGTAAAAATATTTTCGCATGAAAATACTATAATTCTACCAGTCTTCATGTTTTTGAAAAAATTATGACCCTCATCTAATTAACGTTTACAACAGGTGTTAATAGTTGTGATTACAGGTAATCCGCTTATCGCCATCGGCTGGGTATCTAATCCGTTAATTAATAAACCTCATAAATTATTGACCATCATAATTATTTTTCCCAGTAAAATCGGTCAGTTGGCATTTCAATTTCAATATTTCTCAAATGACCACAATTTGCAGTTCGTTTATCATAGTTTCATTATTTGAACAAAATGTTTTCCCCCGCATTTTAATATCAATTTTTCTCAAACGATCACATTTTGCAGTTTGTTTGTCGTAGTTTCGTCATATGTAGGAGTTTCCGTAATATTTTATATAACTTTCCATCAAAAACTTTCAACAATTTCGATTAAAGAGAAAGAACTTTATTCAAAACATTCAGAAATATTTCCACGAGTCAAGCAGGTGCTTCCTTTACTATATACTGCGCATGTGTGAAAGTATTCTTATAAATTAGACATTAAAAGGCAAAATAAGAAATTATTTAGTATATAAATAAACGAAGGAGACAAATATTTTTCTTACTAAGCAACTTGATTAAGAAATATGATAATTTCCTGCCTTTTATTAAAAACAAACCAATCTGTATATGAATCCGGATTCTTCTGAATTTATTATCCTCCAGTCACTTCCAATTTTCATTTCGTTTAAAAATCAAAACTAAATGTGATCTATTCTTGATTAATTTACAATAATGAATATGCAGTCATTAGAATCGTTCCATTAAGGATTTGTACAAATTTCCCAATTTTGAAACTTCAGCAGGAAGACATGTCACCCTTACCATGCTTACTAGACATATTATTCTGACTCAGAGCCAACCAGTTTTTCTCTTCCTCCTAAATGCCATGTGTTTAGCGGAGAAGCAGCAAATTTCAAGTCTTTGGTATCTATTTGCCAAAATCCTATCATACAATGCCTTAATAACATGAGAGAGATGTGCTTAAATATTAAAGAAAAAGTTATTGGCTTTTATTAGCTGCTCTATATTTATAGGCTTATGCATTTTATAATATAATTTTTTTTTCATATATCTATAAATATTTTTTACTTTACATTTAAATGATATCTTGATTTAAGAATGGACAAAAATGTCAATATAAATATGTAAATGAATTGTTATATTTCAGATTAGACAATAATACTCTGTTATATTTGATGTTAGATGTATTTGATACTTCTGAAGAACAGTTTGTCAAGGTATGTCACATATGTATCATATTAAATAAAATGCATGAGATAAGAATATATTATATTCTGTATTGCAAAAAAGAAGTTACTCAATTGAAAAAAAATTAGTAAAATGCAACAAAATAACATTATCAAAGGAATATTACATTTTCTTCATCTTGTATCTTGAACAAACAAGTAAAAGCATTTTTTAATATGTTGAATTCTTTTAAATTTTATCCATAACCTATAGCTATGCTCTTCAGTCTTAAAATTTAAGAAAATAAGAACAAAACACATTACAGAAAAAACTAAAGTTTGAACAATAGAAACTCTATAAAATATGCAGGTGAGCTGGGTTGCTCATGAAGGATAGCCAGTTCCTGCTAGTTTTACTCATATCATTACCAAAACTACATCAAACAAGCACATCATATTAGAACACAACCAGAAGTCTTATACAAAATTGATAAATTTTGGCTACAGATTAAGGAATTATCAGCCTTTCCCTTTATCAGATATCATAGGATTTCATAGAGCACAGTTAAATAGGATTATCCTAAAATCCAGATCTGGAAGAAACAATTTATAAATAGTTTATTTACTGAAAGGCAAATAAGAAAAAAGATTTCTTGAGATGCATGCATATGAAAACAAGACATTCTTTGATGTATCAAAATTTGATTAAAAGCTCATATAGATTTATCAGAGATTTTTTTTCTCAATGTTCTTTGAAATATATTTATCCTTATTTGCATAACAAATATAGTGTGCAGAAAGATTACTTGCTTTGCACATTACTTATAACATTAACATTTATAAAAAAAAATAATGCTCTCATGATAATAATGTTCCCTCTACATGCACTAGTTTTCAGTTGGGTGCACATATTGTTTAAATATAGATTCTACCACTGCATCGAGTGTGATACAATATTTATCCACTCGAGACAGTTAAATTTTCAAATTTAAAACGCGAGGCTCGCCAAGCGTTTTAAATATTTAAAATTTAACTGTCGAGAGTGGATAAATATCGTATTACACGAGATTTGGTGGTGGAATCTGTTTCTCTAATGATTTTCAAACAATACGCAGGCAAATTTATTCCTTCTTTTCGAATGATCTGCAAAAAGATGTGTTCTTTCTGTGTGACGTCATCAGGCATGGTCGCCTTTTTTCATGCCGTCACAATAGGAAATTCAGAGGAAAGCAAGAAAATTCGACGTCATAATGGGATTTTAACCAATGAAGAACTGAGATCAAACAAACCACACGTTGATTAAATTTTTTTTATACAATGGGTGCAGAAAGGGATGAATTGACGAAGAATTAGAGAAAGCTATTTATATCTCTCCCCATGGTCATCCTACAGCAATTGTACGTACCTTATTTAAAAATTTGCAGCAAGCTAAGGTAATGTCAAAAACTCTTGCTTTACTGGAAACAAAAGGCAACTTCTAATTGTGAATGGTGATTAATTACATTTGTTTTATACATGTTAGAATGTATTGTTACTGACCTACCTTTAAATAAAGTATCATGTTTCTGATACAATTTTATATCTTATTTTTCAGATATTTGCCACAACCCAAGGTCACACAGATGGAGAATGTATTCCGGTATTTTTAACACTCACAGACAGATCCATTTACTTTCTCAGTCAAAAACAGAGTGATCATAGATTTTACAAAGACATTTCTATACCATTTTCTTCAGTAGATTTTATCAATGTAAGTAACGATTCAGGGATATGTAACTTAGAATAGACACTGATTATTTTAATTTAATATCATATTTATATAGCATTGATTTTCAGCAAATAACAATCAATCAACCATGTACACATTTATATTATGTCATAAAAGAGAGACGAAAGATACCAAATGACATTCAAACTCATAAGTTGAAAATAAACTGACAACGCCACGGCAAAAGGGAAAAGAAACAAAATTTTTATTCCTGCTACTTAACACAATTGGTTATTAATAATTTAATTTCTAAAGTTCTAAATGAATGAATTTGTAGATTTTAAGGAAACTTGAGGCTCCAACTAAAAATATGGTAGTAAAGATTGTACATGATGTTCTTGTATTTGGAAATTTCTGCTTACATGTATAAATTTCTTTGTTTTTATTTGCAAATGCATTTTTGTTATCATTTTTGAATGCAAAATTCTTCCAACAGTACAATATTCTTCACTTCTGTGATGTCACAAATATTCATTCTAGGTATTTTGATGCAAAACAGATCCAATTGTGTATGAAATAGCAGTGAACAAGTAGATTAAACTTTAATATATTAAACATTATTCCCATAAAAAAAAAAAAAAAATTGATTCTGCTTTTATGAAATAAGTAAATATCATCATGATATTCCAATTCTCTCAAACAGATACATTGTCATGTCATCTGTAAGAATCTGGATAATTTTACCACAAATTCTCTTTCCCTGCTTCAGTCCCCACAACAAAATGTCAGAGGAGGGACCTCAAAGGGTGACTGGGGAATAGAAATATGGTTACTTTAGTCTTCTTCCGACTGGCAGTAAAACCCTCACCGAAGTCGAACATATGTTTGGCTGTTTTTTGGATGTACAAGTATGCAGCCACTTCCGGTCAGAATAAGGGAAGTTAGATCCAGTGTCTTGTGTAAAGAGAGTGCCACTTTATCTGCATTAAGAAACCTTGCAACAACTCTTTTAAGGTTCAATAGGTGACTTGTTGCAAGGAAAAATTTCTGTCCCAATCCAGTATACCTACATTTTCCAGTAGCAGTCCAAATTTCCACGATATTCATCCTGGACGGCCTCTTTTACAGGACCTACCTATTGTATTTATTGTTAATTTGTTTCGTCCTGAACATGCATGAAACATTTGCCACTGGACATAAAGCAATCAATCAAGAGGAGGGATATTTTGATCAATATTGAGGGTACATGATTTATCGGGTATTAAAATCCTCCTACAGTTTTCAAAATTGATCTTCTATATTTTGCAGAATGTTAGTATTTACTAAAGGTTTGGATATTATCTATATTTTTTTGTTGTTAAATTTTCCACAAATGACAGGATGTTGAGCTTTGTCAGTTTTGCTGAAATTATGCATGAAGTTACATGACTTGTCTTGATCAATATATTACAAATAAAGCAAATGACAGGATGAGGAGCTTAGTCATTTATATGCACCCGTGACAAACTAAGGTCCAGTAGTTTACCTTTGTTATTGCACAATGCCATAAAAGTGGATTTATGATGACTTTTCATCTGATGAATAGAATTTTCAGTTAGTGTTTTCACATTAGTCCCACATTTAACAAGAACATTTGGTTACTGGATATTGTGATTACCATGAACATTTTGAATTATTAACATTCACATTTTTATGCCCCACCTACGATAGTAGAGGGGCATTATGTTTTTCGGTCTGTGCATTCGTCCGTCCATCCGTTCGTCTGCTGTCCCGCTTCAGGTTAAAGTTCTTGATAAAGGTAGTTTCTGATGAAGTTGGAGTCCAACTTGAAACTTAGTACACATGTTCCCTATGATATGATCTTTCTAATTTTAATGCCAAATTAGAGTTTTGACCCCAATTTCAGTCCACTGAACATAAAAAATGATAGTGTGAGTGGGGCATCTGTGTACTATGGACTCATTCTTGTTTATCTCCTGTTATTAAAATTTGTTACTATACAAAACTTGAAGTTTTAAAGGACTAACAACAACATTAATTTTTCTTGCTTTACGGAATAAATAACTATGGTCAGAGAATCAAAGGAGTCTTTCAAAGACTTAACCATTTCAAGTTCTTCTTCAATATGATTACTGAATACGGTATGATGTACTCTAAATTCAGATATGATTGCGTGCATTTATTAATGCGATTTTTTTCATTTTAGACTAAAACATTTGTAAAATGCTATTTTAATTTTTGCGATATTGAAAAAAATCCTGTTTAATTCATATAAAAAATTTCAAAATGCGAGTTAAAATTATTGCGATTATAACCCTGTCTCATTTTTCACAATAATAAAAACATCGCAATAATTTTTGAATTTACAGTAATACAACGTAAATTCATGCATATGGCATGGGACATCATATTTGTCTTTTTAAAAAGTGTATGTAACATTTATTCCCCCACAGCTTGGTTTTAATGGTCAAAGTTTTCATGTGGTGTGTACAAATAGAAGAAACCAGTATTGGATTACAACAGGAAACCAGGTATTAACCAGGTAATTTTGTTAAAAAATAGTGTTGTATGAAATAAAATGTAAACACAAATACTAATTATTTGGTTTTAATTCCCTGTGATACCATGAAAAGACTTATTGGATAACTTTCCATCAAAGTCTCAAGGAATGAATCTTTATGACACAGTCAATAGATTTTCTTTTTAAATTATATGACTTTTGTAGAATATCAGTGGTTGACAAGATATTATGGTTTTAAGTCAGCTTATCAAGATTTTTCCAAAGTAACATTCAACATGTATTTTATACTAAACATTATATCTGTCAAATCATCCAGAATCTTCTTTTTTTTCAATGATTTATTTATACATGATTTGGTTTTTGTAGAGCCATTATAGACTGCATAACAACTATCTGCAACCAGAGTAGAATAACAGCAGTCACAGTTGATGATAATGCTACTACACAGAAAATAGCACTAAAGAAATATATTAACAAAGAGTGTCCAAATGAGGTACATGTAGGTCAATTTAAGCCAAAAAGTAAAGAGAGTTATCTCCCATGAACTTTCTGGTTACAGTTCTTTTAACACAGTTTAGATCTTTAGTTTGCAGGATACAAAAATATTTTTGGTTTGTTTCTTTTTGAAATTTCACCAAATGGGAATAGATATATACAGTGAATTGCTAAGTATGTGGAGGCAATTCCTGAAACAGAGTTTGAATAAAAATGAAAAAATAAGTTTAAGCTTAAATTCCTGAAAATGTTAATTTTAATGATACTTTGTTCCCATTGAAACTCAAGAAATTTGATGTGTACTTTTTGACTCGTTATTGTATTAAAGCCACTTTGGGGTTACATTCTTCAAAATGCTACATGTAGAAACTACCTTACTCTTTCAATTCTTTGTTTTGAACAGAAATCCTGACCAGGAAATGAGGGAATTTCACAGCAGTACCGTAAATTTAATGTGTGCATTTATTATTACAAATCCTTGACCTCTGGCAAAAATGTGAAATATAATTAAGGCGATTGCAAACATTTTATGACGGAAAATCACTACTTAAATTATGAATGTGAGTTTTTATTATTGCATCCTGATACTGTCGCATTTTTCGTATTAATAAAATCATTGCAATATTTTCTGAATTTACAGTTTATTAAAATCTTTTTTTTTTGTTAAAGTGGCGTTTTTAAACTGTCACCCTGGCTGTTGTGTCTAAATAAAATGATGATATTTTGCTCCAACAGGAAGCTACTATATGTTGCTATTCACTGGTCCATTGGGACACTCCTTCAACAAAGGGAAGTAACTCAGAGAAGTTACACAGAGAAGGACATTTATTGTACAAATTACATGAACCACCTGGAGGTTTTATGGCTATGGGTAGTCAGTATTTACAGAATCCAGTCTCACTTATCTATGGTCAGTCATGGAAACCAGCTTATGTTGAACTCAAGTTAGTATACATTTGCACCAAAACAGTTACTTAATTTATTAAATTTCTTAAATATATCATACGTATATGTAAACTTCATTTTTATAACTGAAAAAATCTACTATATGGCAGATAATTTGGGTAAGTAAAATTTTAGTTGTAAAACGTCAGAAAGTGGGAGCTAAAAATCCCAACCGTTTAGGAATAAGGGGCCAAAAATAGCATTTTTCTAGTTTCAGGACAATAACTTGTGTACAAGTATTTTGATTGCTCTGAAATTGTACCACAAGGTCCAATACCGCAAGTAGAAGGATGGGATTCATTTTGGGGGTAATTGCCTAAACTGTTCAGGAATTAGTGGCCAATAAGGGTCTAAAACAAGCATTTTTCTAGTTTTCAGACAATAACTTGTGTTTAAGTGTATGGATGTCTCTTAATTTGTACCACATTTTACAAAAAGAAAATTTCTTCAAAATTAATTTTTTGGAAATGGGGAGTAAATTTTTTTATTTTTTTTTGGGGGGGGGGGGGGGGGGTCAATTTTTTTCCTCAAAAGAAAATTCTCTTCAAATATTTTTTTTGGAGGGGGGTAAAAAAAAAATTTTTGTGGGGGGGGGGGGGGCAATTTTTTTTCCCTCAAGATTTAAGAAATTGTCAATTTTACAAAGATAAAATTGGGGGTCACAATTTATTTTGCTAATTCTTTGTATATAGTCTGAAAACAGATTTACTAAGTATTGCACAACAGCAAGAAATCTTCAATTGAATATAAATCATACAACCAATTTCAAGTTCTTTGACTACATTTATTCTGTGTCAGAAACCTATAATGTGTCAAATATTTAATTACAATCCAAATTCAGACCTGTATCAAGCGCGAATATTGTGTCCATTTTTGCCCCAACTGTTCAGGGTTGGACCTCTGCGGTGGTATCCAGCTGCGCTCGGCGAAGCAGTTTATTTCTTTATGAACAAGCACTATAAAGTTAATAATCATTCATTTGAGTATCTTAAGTATCAACAAATGTTACGTATTTTTGTAAGTCAAGAACTTCTTTAATATTGGCAGTAGAGAAATTTTTAATAAAGGTCACTGTAACTTAACTAAAATTTAATCAAACCACTCAAAAATCAGCTTATACTGTGGATTCATTCTTATTCACCACATTTTCGTGGATTTGATGGGATTGGTACACCACTAATTTTAATATTGAAGAAGTACAAATTTCTAATGGCTTGAATGCAGACTTGGCCAAAACCTTGAAAGCAAATATCAATGAAAATAATTTAGAAAATGGTATCCACAAAAATAAATAATTCCCCAGTACAAAATAACCAATTTTTTATGCCCCCGCTGCAGTGGAGGGGGCATTAAGTGTTACCCTTGTCTGTCTTGTCCGTACGTACGTCCTGAAATTGGTTTCCGTTCTCTAACTTTAGATTGCCTCAACCCAATATTATGAAATTATACACAATGTTAATCACCACAAAACACAGATTAAGTTTGAATTTGGGTGGTGTCACTTTTACCGTTCTTGAGTTATGCCCCTTTACAAATGGAAAATTTCTGAATTTTTTTATTCCATTCTCTTACAAGTTTGCCTCAACCATTTGTTATGAAACTTATGCACAATGCTTATTACCACAAAACTCAGATCAAGGACGAATTTGGATGGCATCACTTTTACTGTTCTTGAGTTATTCCCTTTATAATGTTATATACAAGCAGGGGCATCATCCATGGACACATTCTCCATTTATTTTACTTTATTCTAGGGATGGACTACTGTGTATTTACAATGACAAAAACGACAGTAAACCATTACTATTTGTACAAATCGGTGGGGAGGAATGTAGTGGATGTCGGAGAGCTACAGATACAGACAGGGATCATTGTATACAGGTCATCAAATCTGATGGATCATCCATACAGCTAGCTCTAGCATCAGGTCTAGAAGCCAGTGATTGGTTAATGAGCTTGTGTCAGGCAGTTGCTGAGGGCATTGATTCAGTTAGTTTTTTGGTATAATTTAATTTACATTGTATCATGATGAAGAATTCTCAACAGGTCTTGAAACCAGTGGTTGCTTAGAATGTTTCAGACATTATCTAACTTGTCTGATTGGATTATTCATGGCTTGTGTTTCAGCCCATTAACTACATTGGTTGCAATGAAATACTGTGTCTTCCGAGTTAAATAAAAACTGATAATTTCACATGTGAAATAAATCAGATAAATCACTCATCCAACAATGAGTGTTGTCAAGACATTGATGATGATGTTGCATCAAAACAAATTGGGATTCGTTGATTATTTATTCTATAATTAGTCCCCTACCGACAAAGTCAAAGGGGACTTTAGGTTTGCACTCTGTCTGTCTGTCTGTCTGTCTGTCTGTCTGTCTGTCTGTCTGTCTGTCTGTCTGTCTGTCTGTCCATCCATCCGTCAGTCTGGCAAATCAGTTTTCCACACTTTTTTTCTTCGTCCTTGAAGATATTGATTTGATATTTGGTCTACTGTTTTATCATGACAAGTTACAGATCAAGTTCGAATTTTGTTCCGGTCTGATGATTATGTGCAGAGTTATGGTTCTTTGACTTATTATTGTATAATTATGATATTTATATATATATAATTATATCAATGATATTTCACCATTACAGTAAACAACAATAGGTATATGTGGGTTCTACCATAATCAGCCTTGTAAAGTCCTCACTGGTACATTGTCCGCATCCCCCTTTTCGCCATGAGAATTCAGGAAAAAAACATTTTGCAACTGCTTGAAAACATCTAATGAATCTCTGGTAATTTCAAATCGTGTGTGATCATTTGAGGTATTTTCATGGTAAACCCTGTTTTCCATCAGAAAGTAGAAATTGAAAATGCTTGTAAATGATTCTAGACCACTCTACTATAAGTCAAAATCACGAATAAATAATTGGGAAAGTTGTGTTTCATATTAACTGGATGTTTGTATAACATGTGGGAAAAATAATTACGGTGAGAGTGTGCGGATAATCAGTACTTCATAGTTACTACTAGAATACGACTTTGAAACTAAAACTGTTCTGTTCTTTAGTTTAATACTATTTTAATATATCAATAAAATGAATGTTTAAATACTCTTCAGCTAAAATAAAACGCATGCGTCATTATGAAACACCAACATGGAACAAATAACCTATTACGTTTTGTAGTTTTTATCCTGCAATTGGGTATCGTATTATACAGATAAAGCCCAGCAGATATCGCTACGCTGTATCTGTATACTATAGAGATATCGCTTTATAGCTCTGCCCACTGCCGGACTACGTTTGTGTATTGCTGTGTTGTATGAACCTTCGTCACCTCAGAATGTGTATTGCAGTCGCATTCCAATGAAGTATGGCTTGACCTTATGTGAACTATAGATTAATTTACGTTCTGTCTGTTTTCAAGTGTTTTTTAGAGCAATATGAAATAAATACATTTTCTGCTAACAGACAAACATGAACAGCAGGATTAATTAGATATAAGAAGATGTGGTATGAGTGCCAATGAGACAACTCTCCATCCAAGTCAAAATTTAAAAAAGTAAACCTTTATAGGTCACTCCATTTTCTACGGTGCCAATCATCGAGTGAAACAATTGAATGTGTACATGTGTAACAGACAAAAAACCATGTGCAACAATGTCAATTTCAGCATGTTCAGTGAATGTCATGTTCAGTTAAAAATTTTGAAGCGTAGAACAAATCATACTCTTTTGTTTTAAATCGGACAATGTTTTGTTATTTATTTTAACTGTTGGAAGTAGTTGTTATGTTATGATAAGTAATTATTTACTTTGAGCGATGTATTATTGTTGACCATACAAGATTCTTTTCTGCGAACCCATCTTCAGCTGAATGTGTGATTTTAATATTACTAGGCGGGCCTCAAGGGATTTTAAATCGAAAATAAAGACAATAAATGTGAGTTTTCTGTCTTTCAAAGCAAAAACAAAATACTATATTAATTGCAGGATAAAGACAATAACTGTTTAGTGTCTTTAAATATCAGCTCGAAACAGGAGTAATAGCTCGCTAAAGCTCGCATTACACACGTTTCTCAGCCTCGTACTAATACAGCTGATATTTAAAGACAATAAACAGTTATTGTCTATATATATTGTAAAGCATAAGCTGGTTTCTGGCTGATTTATATACTTTTTATACGCCTGTTTATGGGACGTATTATGGTATACCTCTGTCCGTCAGTCTGTCCGTCCGTCGTCAACATGTCGGACATTAACTCAAAAACACTGTAACCAATTTGCATGAAACTTTGGCGAATTGTTTATATCTATTGACCAGAGCTCCCTTTTGTTTTTTATAAATTTTAGATTTGACATTTCCGAATTTGGGGTTTTATTCATTACAAAAAGGGGGATTGTCCAGCTTTTGGACAATAACTCAAAAACGCTTTCACCAATTTGCAAGAAACTTTAGTGAATTGTTTATATATACTGACATGAGCTCCCTTTTGGTTTTTATAAATTTTAGATTTTACCTTTTCGAGTTATGGGGTTTTATTCATTACAAAAAGGGGGATTTTCCAGTTATCTTATAATAACTCAAAAATGCTTTGAGCAGTTTTCCTTAAACTTTGGTGAATTGTTTATATCTATTGACTTAAGCTCCCATTTGATTTTTATAAATTTCAGATTTTACATTTACTAGTTATGGGGTTTTATTCATTAAAAAAAGGGGGATTTTCCAGGTTTTGAACAATAACTCAAAAATGCTTTCAGCAGTTTTCATGAAACTTTGGTAAATTGTTTATATCTATTGATGTAAGCTCCTTTTTGATTTTTATAAATTTCAGATGTTACGTTTACTAATTATGGGTTTTTATTCATTAAAAAAAGAGGGATTTTCCAGTTTTTGGACAATATCCTGCAAGTGCTTTGAGCTGTTTTCATTAAACATTGGTGACTGATTTATAACTATTAAGATAACCTCCCTTTAGTTTTTTTATAAATTTCTGATATGACATTGAGAAGTTATTGAACTTTATTCTTTGAAAATGTGACGGGCGTATCATGCTCTCATGGCGCAGCAGTTTATTTCATTCTGGTAAATACCAGCAGATTCCAGTTTATGTTATGCAATGCTAGGAAAAGAAACTAGTAATTTGTAATGAAACATTTAATTTTGACATTTATTGGTTAATATTGGATTTAGAATTAAATTACATATTAATATGGATTAGATAAATTATTAGTTTTGAAAATTAAATGGGCACCCTCTACATTTTCAGTGTTCCCGCCTGCCCTAAATAGAAGGGCAGCCCGCCCTTGGTGCCCTTACCCCCACCCTTCTGCCCTCCAAAGTAAAAGAATGCCCCCCTCTGCCTTTTCAAAAAAATAAAATTTCCAAATTTCATGCCTACCGGTAAAATTGTTACCGGATTGTGTAACACTAATTAACTGACAATGGGATTAAGTTAAATACCTAATACTTTGGCAGTTTTATCAACTTTGTTAATGATTGTTTACTGCTAATTAGTGGATTTAAGATAATTGAACAAATACTAGATATTTAATACAGAATGAAATGTCCACATGTTATCCATTTGTAATGTTTATGTTCAGCATGTGCACCTAAAAAAATTTATTTGAGTAGGCATAACATAAAAAAAAAATCTTAAACAATTTCAAAGGCATACATAGTTTTGACTTAATTGGTAAAAAAATGTTTTGTTTCATAACCATGAGTATAAAATTTAAAGAAGAATCAAAGAAATTTGTACTTTGAACATAACAAGATTCACTTCCTGTTTTACTTCTTGTATTTTATAATCCTCCTGACATAGGAGCACTCAACAAATTTCTTTTAACAATGATGGAGAAAAAAGTAACTGTTACCATTTTTTTCTTAAAAAGTCCTGTACCAAGTCAGGAAAATGGCCATTGTTATATTATAGTTTGTTTCTGTGTGTTACATTTTAATGTTGTGTTTTTGTTGTGTCGTTCTCCTCTTATATTTGATGCGTTTCCCTCAGTTTTAGTTTGTAACCCGGATTTGTTTTTATCTCTATCGATTTATGAGTTTCGAACAGCGGTATACTACTGTTGCCTTTATTTATACCTTCTGCAATATATTATTGCATCAATATGATATGATCATCTCCTGTCTTGTCACTGAATAGAAGTTCCTTCATAATATAAGTTCCAAATGGAAACAATATTCTGGAATATTATTTCCACTGGAATAAATATTACAGTAAATGTTCCTAACGGAATAAATGGTATAGAATATTTGTTCCAACAGGAACAAATATTATGACATTGTTTATAACAAAGTTTCCACTGGAACTTCTGTTAGGGGGAACAAATATATGTTGACAGTCTCACCTGTTATATTGATAAAACTCCTTACTGAGGAGCACTTTGGTGTGCACTTAAAAGTACTTTTTTGTAACAATTCAAATGATAATAAATAACTCTCAATAACATATATACTATATGTTTGAACAAGTAATTTAAATGTAGATAATTTAATTACATTAAACATTCAATTTTGCATGTATAACTCCATCTTTCAAAACTACTTGTTTATTTTGTATAAGTTATAAAACATTGAAATTTCTGATGATTATTTTCCTTACCAAATGTACAAGTTTGTTTAGATTAACATCAAAATGATATGCTTTGCTTCATGGTATGATAATTTGATAAAAAAACAAATTCTTACTGGAACCAACATAAAGAACACATTAATTTCTGAATATGGTTTAAATACAACTAATGTTCTCCAGCTGAGCCTAGCAATATTCAAGGTAATTTATACACTGTCCAACATTGCCCTTAAAATCTTGGTTATAACGCTAAATTTAGTGCCCTTTCAGACAACTAGCACCCTTCTGCCCTGAGATTCAAGCTGGAACACTGATTTTCAATAACAAACATGGCAGAACGGAAAGTAACCCCACAAAATCAAGTTTTTCTTTTATTTCTTTGCTTATCGTACTTTATAATCGCACCCCTACCTTGCAATTTTAATTTTGGAGAAAAAATGCAGACTATACAAGCCTCAATACGGTACATCAATGAGCCAACAACCCAGATATAACACAAAAAAGGCATTTAACATACAGTGCAACAATAGACAAGCGTCGATACAATATGTCAAGGTCTAAATGACAAATTCTAGAAAAGTTGTGAATGAATTTAACAGAGACAACCAAATATCTACCATAAAGCATTAAGTCAAACACTGACTTACTTGGAATAGGCACATGAACATGTGGCAAGGTTAAGGATGTACTTAGGTGAAATAAAACAAATCTAGAATTTAAAATTGATACTATAAGTCAGAAGAGCATTAGTTAAGGAACAAAATAAGCTAAAAATATTGATAGGTTATGGAGCTCCTTTTCGAGATATTTTATTTTTTTTAAATGGAGGGAAAAGGCTGACTCAGACTTTTACCTTATAGTTGCATTGGTATTATTTGGGTCTCAAATGGAAAGAAAAGAAATCTAGAGTCTGCTTAAATTTTGGTAAATGACCTTTTATGAGCTATTGAAGTCTTATATGAAAAGAAAAATGGGTGTTAAAATATTTTACCCTGTATCATAGGAAAAAAACCAAGGAGTCCAAACATCTGACAAAAATTCCTAAACCTGACCTAAGTACATCCTCAAACTACTTTTTGTGCATCCAAAGCACCCAATGCTATCTTAGTCATTAGAATAAACAAGGTGCAAAATTTAACATTGTTCATTAAGATTTGGGTCCGGCATCATGATTCCCATTTTATTCATCCTAACTCATTGTATAGATTTTATTTGTAACATTATATTGTGATAATTTTTCATCGCCACAGTCCAAATATATCACAATGTAGTTATAGTTTTACAGTGGAGTAACTTCAGTTAAGCCTTGTATTTAGGTCTATTTTTTTCAAAACCATGTTGATAATTAAATAAATCACATTAGAAAGTTCAGCTTGTATTGATAACTATTTCCAAATTTCATTGTTTTTGTAAATATTGCAAAAATCAATCTGTATTTGTTAGGTGGGTCTAGGTTAAAAGTGAAAAGATAGAAAGTCAATTTCCTCTTTAAAAGTTTATTTTACTGCATTAAACATGTGAACTTCAATTTAGGCTTTATGCAACCATTAATTGTATTATGTTTACAGAAAGATACAGAGAAGATGGGATGTATGGCATGTTGTCTAGTTATGTCACAACAAAAGTTACTCATGTGTCAGGAAGATCTACAATCTAGTTTTTACAGAACGCTTGGAAGTGCTAATGTTGTAGATGTAACATCTGTACTACAGGACCCTAATGTTAAAACTTACTGTGTTCTTGTAGGTATTTAAGTTAATGGATCAGCAGACTAATGGATCGGCAGAATAATGTAAACCATCTTAATTTAGCAGATACTTTATTTCGTGTTTAGCCATATTCAGCCCACTTTGCAATGATTTAATTTCAAAATTTTCAAGTTTACTTGATGTATTTAGATAAGGGAAAATACAAGTTTTACTATTGGCGATGATTTGAATTCGTGTTATTTTATATGCAAGAAAGTCACGAAAATTAGTTGGTTCACAGTATACGCTAATAGAGTAGAATATAAAAATAAGTAAATGTGGTATGATTGCCAATGAGACAACTATCCACCAAAGTTCAAATGAAGTGGATGTTACTTTAGCATTAGAACATTTCATGCACTTGTTCTAGTTATACCCCATGCAACGAGTTGCGGAGGGTATAATGTTTTTGACCCGTCCGTCTGTCCGTCCGTCTGTCCGTCCATCCTTCCGTCCGTCAGTCCTATTTCTTGTCATCGCAACTCCTCTCAAACCACACAACAGAATTTCACGAAACCTTTTTAGATAATAAGGACATACTATGTTGTTGTGCATATCAACAGGAAATTACGATTCAATTTTTTTCTAGGAGTTACGCCCCTTTGAACTTATTTACTTTAATGTACTACTGCAACCTTTTGTCATCGCAACTCCTCTCAAACCACACAACAGAATTTCATGAAACCTTTTCAGATAATAAGGACATACTACGTAGATGTGCATATCGACAGGAAATTACGATTCATTTTTTTTTCCAGGAGTTATGCCCCTTTGAACTTATTTGCCCAATATACTACTGCAACCTTTTGTCATTGCAACTCCTCTCAAACCACACAACAGAATTTCATGAAACTGTGTAGATAATAAGGACATACTATGTAGTTGTGCATATCGACAGGAAATTAGATTCAATTTTTTTTCTAGGAGTAACGCCCCTTTGAACTTATTTACTTTAATGTACTACTGCAACCTTTTGTCATCGCAACTCCTCTCAAACCACACAACAGAATTTCATGAAACCTTTTCAGATAATAAGGACATACTACGTAGATGTGCATATCGACAGGAAATTACGATTCATTTTTTTTTCCAGGAGTTATGCCCCTTTGAACTTATTTGCCCAATATACTACTGCAACCTTTTGTCATTGCAACTCCTCTCAAACCACACAACAGAATTTCATGAAACTGTGTAGATAATAAGGACATACTATGTAGTTGTGCATATCGACAGGAAATTAGATTCAATTTTTTTTCTAGGAGTAACGCCCCTTTGAACTTATTTACTTTAATGTACTACTGCAACCTTTTGTCATCGCAACTCCTCTCAAACCACACAACAGAATTTCATGAAACCTTTTCAGATAATAAGGACATACTACGTAGATGTGCATATCGACAGGAAATTACGATTCATTTTTTTTTCCAGGAGTTATGCCCCTTTGAACTTATTTGCCCAATATACTACTGCAACCTTTTGTCATTGCAACTCCTCTCAAACCACACAACAGAATTTCATGAAACTGTGTAGATAATAAGGACATACTATGTAGTTGTGCATATCGACAGGAAATTAGATTCAATTTTTTTTCTAGGAGTAACGCCCCTTTGAACTTATTTACTTTAATGTACTACTGCAACCTTTTGTCATCGCAACTCCTCTCAAACCACACAACAGAATTTCATGAAACCTTTTCAGATAATAAGGACATACTACGTAGATGTGCATATCGACAGGAAATTACGATTCATTTTTTTCCAGGAGTTATGCCCCTTTGAACTTATTTGCCAAATATACTACTGCAACCTTTTGTCATTGCAACTCCTCTCAAACCACACAACAGAATTTCATGAAACTGTGTAGATAATAAGGACATACTATGTAGATGTGCATATTGACAGGAAATTATGATTCAATTTTTTTTTCTGATACAATTTTTTTTTCTTACACTTGTTTTATTTCTCCAATGACAATGTGGGGACGTGGGGTATGTGAGCGCGCTCACTAAGGTTCTTTAATTTTTAATGCATACCCTTTGGACTTTCTTTGAATTATAAGATGTGGAGTATTCGTCAATAAGACAGCAACCCAACAATATAAAAACCCAAAGAGGTCAACATGATAACAAGCCATATTGATGATAATCTGATAGTGCAGTGCTCTCTGATGTTAACTTACAAAACTCTATTTATAATGTCAAAAATTTAAAGTTGTGTTAAACAGAAGATGGCTTAACAGTTATGCAGAATAAGAAATTACTTAATCATGTCTACATAACTCAGCTTTCACAATTAAAACCTAAAATTTTATGAAAATTGTTTTAGAATTGGCATCTGAATATTAAAAGTAAACAATATATAGGATATGAAACTTAGAGTAACATTTTAATTGTTATTTTCAATGTTACCATGGTACATTTTTCAGTAGTGTTTGTTTTTTATTAAAAAGTTTATTTCTTTCTAACATGTTCTAATGCAACCAAATTGTTTGCTTGGGATAAGAATTTGAATAATGAAAACCATTCTTTTAAATTTTTAAAACAGATGATTAGAATTTAATTTAATTGGTAAAACAGCTATTCTTTAAGACCTCTTAAAAATATTTTCAGGTTTTTGAATCCCATGACACTAATGTTAGTAATGAGCAGTGGGTTCTTCACTTTAACTCAGAACAGGAGAAGTTACGATTTATCAAATCGCTGTCAGATTGTTGGAAAACACATTTTGAGGTAATTTAAATGTAAAAAAAAAATTGATGGATAAGTCATGAAAGATTTTTCAAGCTAGTGTTCTGCAATCAGCTGAAAATTTAAAGTTCTTAATGAAGTTTTCAGATCAAAGAGATTACACACAGTTTCATGAACACTTTCTGGGCTTAAAGCCCAAATAGACTTAAAAAGTACCCTTGATATGGATAAAAGGCTATGCTGGGTTTCCATCAAATAACCGGGAGACCTCAACAATTAGTTCTCATTGGGTCAATTTGCACAATTTATTCCAGGTAATGGTAGCATTTTCTTTAATTCCTCTGAACATATCATTAACTTGGATATGTATGATGGCTTGTTTCGAAGCTGAGACATTTTCACTTATGAGGTTAAATTTTTTAGGTACAAAGTGTGTATAATTTTTCTGCAATTTTGCATACCCCAAAAAACTCTTTTTTCACAAAAAAGTTCTCTGAAAATTCAGTACTTGGCAAACATTTAATTACTCTTTAGTTTCTACACCATTATTCTATAATCCCGGCTCCTCAAACCATCACAGACCGCCTTTGTGGTCTTGAGGTAGCGTGTTTGCACTCAGCGTGTCAGTCTAGTACAAAGCAGGGTTAATATTCATATAACATTAACACGTTCTCGTCCTGAATATGCATATTAATTTGACGCTGGACATTAAGCAGCCATCCATCATCATCATCAAACCATCACAAATGTTTATGGTCAGTCACTTTTTAAAAATAGCAACATAGCGTCCATATCTTAGATACTATAAGCAATAGGTCTTCTATATTTGGTGTATGGAATGATTGTAAGGTGTATATGTCTGTCTGGCAGGTATCATCTGACCTTGACCTCATTTTCATGGTTCATTGGTCAATGTTAAGTTTTCATGGTTAAGTTTGTTTCTAAGATACTATTAGCAATATATCAACTATATTTAATGCATAGATTGATTGTAAGGTGTACATGTCTGTCTAGCATGGTTCATTTGACCTTGACTTCATTTTCATGGTTCATTGGTAAATGTTAAGTTTTCCTGGTTAAGTTCGTTTCTAAGAAACTAATAGGTCAACTATATTTGGTGTATGGAATGATTGTAAGGTGTACATGTATTTCCGGTTTGGTTTATCTGACCTTGACCTCATTTTCTTGGATCATATTTATGTGATACTTGTAGTAAAGCTTTATATTTAGGACTATCAACATAAAATCAATGGTCAGTAAAGCAGGCGAGACATTTTAGCGTGTGCACTCTTGTTATATTTCAAAAAGAAAAATTGAAAAATATGTTTACAAAAAATAATTTTCAAACTATTGGAACACAATTTATTTTGAGTTGGATGGTGGTCATTCCTGTCTTAGTCATGGGTACCAGTCAAGCTTAATGGGCTGTCTAAAGAGTCTTGTTTTCTAAAGATAGTAAGATTTGGCATTTGCCTACTTACAAGTTTTTCAATCAGCTAAACCACCAGATGATAATTATATTCATTGATATTTAAAATTATAATTTTTACCATAAAACATTTGGTATTTAATGTTCATCCTTCCAGAAATACAAGAAGACCATGTAGAAATTGGACTTTGAGGCTAATTTGTTGTTTTTGAGGAAGTCTTTCCTGTAAAATGAGGCATATATTTTTTCATTTACTTATCATTTTTTTTTTTTTTTCATTTGCACTTTAAGTATCCTTGAATTCTTACGGAGAGTCGTTAATTGTTTTGTAAAAAATCTGAAATGTCATTTGTTAATTATTAATACAAATTTTATTTCAAATAAAGTTATAGTTCAACTGTTTTATCATATTTTTTTAAGGTATGAAGCTTTGTGTTATATTTGTTATATTTAGATAAATCTTGTTTGATTTTACCATACATGTAGTTCACTTCAAATCAGTTCTTTAAAAGTGAACTCCTTTCAATAGAGATTGGTCAATTAAAACGTATCCAAATTATCCGATATGTTGACGTATACACATCTAGGGGAATATTCTAAAATAATTATCCCAATCGAATAAATTACTCGGTGTACTATTTTGAAGAAGTGGTAGACCCCCCTGTTTTCCTAAAACAACATCATCACCAATCTAGAAAAAACTGTATTTAATTGTTTTGGGTCCCCATGAAATAAAGATCTTTGAGATGCAACATTATGTACCCTTTTGTTGTTTCAATGCTAAATATAAAAAAGTTGTATATTAAGTTGAAGTGAGGCATTCAGAAATAAACAGATGCAAATTAATCAGTGCCACAAAGTTTGATTCTCGTTATTCTTCAAAATTGGTACATTGAGTAATACTGTCGATCAGGGTAATTATTTGAGCATATTCCCGCAGATGCGTATATGTCAACATATCGGATACTTTGGATCCGTTTTAAATTGACCGACCTCTAATACAAGCATCAGTCAGGAGCAATGTTCTTGAATGTATACTTAAATGTTATCCCTGAAATTTCGTTCATTAATAATCAAATGATAAACAATGAAAAGTTAATACATTTCTGTAAATGTGTTTGTCTGTTATATGTGCTAAGATGTAATCACTGAAAATGTGTTCAGTAATAACTAAATGACAGTTAAATGATATTTTAACAGTGTTTGTCTGATATATGTGTTAAAAAGAAATCACTAAAAACATGTGTTCATTAAAAATGAGATAAAAGATGAATCAAATGTGAATAGTTTTTAACAGTGTTTTTGATTGGTGTTTAGTTATAATTCAGTTCTCTTTATTTGTTTGTAATGACTTGAAAAAAATAGACTGATCTAGAAAATAATACTCATAACACCTTTTCACCTGTTTTCAACATGAACTGATCTGTTATGGAATAGACCATTTCGAACTATATTTACATATGGGTTCTTTTAAGTGGACTGAACTACGTGGGATAATCCATTTCATGTCAATGGATTCACCCTCTTTAAAATGAGTTTTTAAAAAAGGATTTAACAGTACAATGGAATAAACCACTTCTATCTAGATTTAGTATGGGTACTCTTAAAATGGACTGAACTATTATGGGATAATCCATTTAAAAATGGATTTGTCCTCTTTTTAATGAGTAAGACTACTATATGGAATAAACCATTATCTGCACTTTTAAAATTATAGTAAATTAAGGATAAGGAATTAAATTCCAATTATAAGAATACCGTTCATTTTTATATTGTATGACGTTGGCGTCGTCGTCGTCCGAAGACACATTGGTTTTCGCACAATAACTTTAGTTTAAGTGAATGGATCTCTATGAAATTTTACCATAAGGTTCAATACCACAAAAGAAGGTTAGGATTGCTTTTAAGGGATTATGGTACCAACAGTTAAGGAATTAGGGGCCAAAAATAAGCATTTTTGTAACTTCCAGACAACTTGTGTGTAAGTGTATTGATCTTTCTGACATTGTACCACAAGGTTCCATATCACAATGGGAAAGCTGGAACTGAGTTTGGGGGTAATTGCCCAAAATGTTTAGGAATAAGGGGCCAAAAATAAGCATTTTTCTAGTTTCCAGACAATAACTTGTGTTCAAGTGTATGGATCTCTCTGAAATTGTACTGCAAGGTACCATACCACAAAGGGAAGGCTGGGATTGATTTTGGGGGTAATTGCCTCAAAATTTTAGGAATTAGGGGCAAAAAACAAGCATTTTTCTAGTTTCAGGACAATTACTTGTGTGTAAGTGTATGGATCTTTATGAAATTGTACTACAAGGTTCCATATCACAAAGGAAAAGCTTGGTTTGAGTTTGGGGGTAATTGCCCTAAACATTTAGGAATTTGGGGCCAAAAAGTGGCCAAAAAACAAGCATTTTTACAGTTTCCAGACAATAACTTGTGTTCAAGTGTATGGATCTCTCTGAAATTGTACTGCAAGCTACCATACCACAAAGGGAAGGCTGGGATTGAGTTTGGGGGTGAAGAATCATAAGGGGGTTCAACAAATTTGGGGGGGGAATATTTTTTCCTTTTTTTCCTTTTTTTTTTTCTTTAAAATTTTCCATTTTAAGTTGGTTATTTTTAATTTATATATAAAAGCAAATAATAATGATATGGTTTGATTTCATCAAAAATTGTGAAAAATGGGGTTCTTTGATATGCTGAATTTAACCGTGTATTTAGATTCTTAATTTTTGGTCCCGTTTTCAAATTGGTCTGCATTAAGGTCCAAAGGGTCCAAAATTAGACTTAGTTTGATTTTAACAAAAATTAAATTCTTGGGGTTCTTTGACATGCTGAATCTAACCGTGTATGTATTTAGATTTTGGATATTGGACCATAATAGGTAAATTAAAATTTTTTAAGTTCTTAGACCACATTCATTCTGTGTCAGAAACCTATGCTGTGTCAAATATTTAATCACAATCCAAATTCAGAGCTGTATCAAGCTTGAATGTTGTGTCCATACTTGCCCCAACTGTTCAGGTTTGACCTCTGCGGTCGTATCAAGCTGATTCCAGCGGAACATTTTATTACAACATACATTTTAGATTCTATTGGGAAGGACAGCTTCACACATTACACCTTTATTCCAGGTTGAAGCTTTTGTAATAAGTCCCCAATTGTTGCCATTTCCATGAAAGATTGGTCAGTTTGAGAATGAAAGGACCGAAAATTTTGCATACATAATTTTGTTAGCTATATTGAAAGCCCTCTTACATGTACAGTTCTCATCAGATGTCAGTAAAGTCAAAGGTTTACATCAGCAAAAGAAAAGGACATTGTATTAAGCACTCTTGTGCCAATATTTCTCAATGAAGATAAACGAAATTTATGTAGAAGATTTATATTGTCAATATCTTTGATGAGTTATGTCCCTTTTAAGTGTAAATAATATGGAAAAGTGGAAAATCAACATTGTGACTGGTCTCATACCTACATTTCCCATTTCATTTGAGATTTATGAAATTTATGCAATTGGGTTTGTAAATCGAAGTTGATCAAATATTTTTTTAGGAGTAATGCTCCTGTGAAATGTAAATAATATGAACATTTAACATTGTAAGCACTCTCAAATCAATAGTTCTCATTGCAGTGGCGGATCCAGAAATTTTCATAAGTGGGGCCCACTGACTGCCTAAGAGGGGGCCCACTCCAGTCATGCTTCAGTGATTTCCTATATAATCAACCAAATTTTTCCCACAGAAGGGGGGCCATGGTTATCCTCAGCATTAAAAATATGTTAGAAAACTTCTTAAAGATGATCTGATTAAATATGTTTGCCCCTTTGAAATTTAAAGAATATGCAAATTTGTAATTTTTTGGAGTTATGGCCCTTGGATAGAAAATCAATGCGAAAATTCCTTTATATTGGAAAGGGGGATATATGGCAATGAGAACATTTTGTGTAAATGGTCTCATCTGAGTAGAATTAGGATGAAAATTGATAATTAATAAGATTATGTCATAATTGTAAACTATTAAATAGCAACAGAGTATTATATTTAATCTTTTGTTTTTTTCTTTATAGGTTGAAATTCCTGTTTTTCCTGTAGATGACTTTGCTCTTATGAAGATTTGTCAAGAAATGGCACTTTTACTCAGAAACAAATTGACTATAAAGAAGTCGTAATGCTTTAGAGAAAATGAATTATGTTGTTGACTGTGATATTACTCTTTTATGTCTTTAAAAATACCAAACTCTGACAAAGCAATATGTTTATAGGATAAAATACTGTATATGTACTAATTTTTGCTGTGTATTTATTTTTACGAATTTCGCGGTAGGTATATTTTCGCGAAAATAAATACACGCGAATTCGAATGCAGATTTCATGCATATAAAAACCATTGAATAAATATTGCTGGAATTCACAACTGTATATGCATGTTCACCTTGTTGTCTTCAGATAAACTCAATTGAACCATGAAACTGTTAAACAACACCAGTTATTTTTACAGAAATTTAATTAAGAATAAAAGGACAAAAGGTGAAAAATAATATCCCAAACTAAATATGACAGCTATATTAAGTAATTAACGACATAATCAGGTTACTGAACATCTATCAAAACACAGGACTGATTTTATGATTGAATAATCTTTGTTTATTTTGTTTCATATTGTTAAATAAATGAAGACCTAATTAATGAAAATTTTATGAATTTTAAGTCTGTATGTAATTTATGTTCTGATATTTTTGGAAATACCGCGAAATTAAGTACACGCAAATTCATCGACAACAAAATCGCGAAAATAAGTACTCGCGTAAAAAAGTACATATACAGTATATGAGCTGCATCAGATAGAAATCAATCTTATGCAAATGAATATCAATACATCTGTTTACCTATTTCGGGTTAAAAAAATTCTCTATGCAAAGTTTGTAACTGTTTGAAAATTGAGTTGATTAAAGAACCAGACCAAAATTTATCTTTTATTTCGTTTTTCAATGTTCCAAAATCAATCAAAGTCTTATGCATGTACAGGGATACATGCACTTGCTTAAGGTTGATTTCTATCTGATGCAGGTCATATGTTTATGTCTCTCATGCTAAGCTTTCAATATATATATGTAGTCCCTAAAGTATCATATTTAACAAATACAAGAAATACAATGAAAGTTGAACCATACAGCTAGGTCAGAATGCAATGGCCCTTCCAAATTGATTCTTGATGTTTTTATGCTCAACTGCTGAATTTCTAGTCAAACGTACTTGTCATTGACTGAAAGTTCACATAAATAAAAAAGCTTTCAACAGAAATTGTAATTTTTTAGCGGCATAAGTACCTTTATGTTTGCTTTTAATTCATAAAAAAATCATGCCATAAATTTAATAGAATTTTGCAGTACAAATGTACTTCTTTCTATGAGCCAAACAGTTTACCATCAGTGTTTTAGGTTAACATATTTGGTACCAGTAGAGTACCTAGACATTTTACGGATATATTATTTTATCAATGTTTGTTATTTTAATGATATTATTGAGCTTTGTAATTAATGGCTGATTAAGTTGATTTTATTTTAATCCATGGCATTTATTTTGAAAAATACTCTTACATACTTGCATACATGTTTTCATGTCAATTTAATGAATATAAAAAGCTTATACTATGTAGGTATATGCAAATAACTTTTTCATCTGAGTACATTTACAATATTTAGCACCATATTTATAAAACTAACCAATTATTAAGGCATAACCATTCAATCGTTCATGCAACATCATTTATTCTACTTTTTGAGATGAAAACAAGACAAAATTTCATTGATTTCATTGGCGACCTATATGACACGATAACCATTCAAACAAAACTTCTCGGAGTGTTTATACATCACTTTTACATTTTTCATTTTTGTTTGTTACCTTCATGTGGTTTAGGTTTTGCTCATTGTTGAAGGCCGTACATCATTTGGTCTCATTGGCAATAAGACCTCATCTTGTATTTATATTATACAGGGTCTTCAAATCATTAATCCTGTAATGTGCAAGAATATTTAGCCTTGTAGCTTCAGGTGAAGAATATTTAAAAATGCAATTCCTTCATCCCACATGTTATTTATTTATTTGTTAAAAGAAGGGTTTTTTTTTATAGGCTTCCGTAAATTTCACTTGTAATGTGTTTGTACACAAGCTAAGGTCAGTCAGGAGTACAAAAGTAATATTTTGATTTGGATACATAAAACAATAAAAATATAAGCTCTTAGCTTTTTAAAAGAAAAAGGCAGTCATATTGGCCAAGTAGTTTTAAAGAATAATATTAAACACTGGTTCAATGAAAACCTGTTGCATTCTGGGTATAACACCAGATGCTTCATTAATGTGAACTTTGTTTACTGCTGATACACAGAACTAACATTCTAAACCACTAAGGGTAGAATTGTTTGCAAAGGACTTATTGTATTCATGGTTGAAGTTTTGTATTTGTCTGCAAATATTTAATTAAGCTTATGATTGAGTTGATCTTTCTATGCAGAGCCCTTGGACAAATACTGATTTTTTTGCCAATGGTTTTCCTGTATTTTTATTTGTAAACCAAAACATTTACAATAGATAATTGTACTTATAAGTTTTTACAGCTATTTCACAAAATAACCTTGAAGTTCTAAACTGCAGTATGTACTTATTGTGAATGCTTTCATGTACTAATTTTGCATAATGTAAATCAATGAAGGTGGGACTTGGTAGAAAACTTTGTATTATGTTCAAATATTAATATTTTCATATGACTGACTTTTGACTTTTGAAATCAACTGTTTTCAAATGATTTTGTAGTGTATAGAAAACATAAACTATTTAATTTTTCCCAAATTGCACAGATTGTAAGCTTGATTTTATTTCTTTTAGTTGCTTTTACATTATCAAGCCAACCCTGCAAGGAATTTATAGCCAGTCAAGGTTGTTAAACACACCCATCATCATCATACTATCGAGTATCAAATTGTCCTACCACAGAGTATGTAACCTGTCAAAATTATATTCTCGAGAGTGAAAAGTCAGTAATATGAAAATAGTCTACTGTGGATTCATTATTATTCGTTGGATACCAATTTTTGTGAATTTCGTGGTTATAGGTTAACCACGAAATTAAATGTTCAACAAATGGCAAATTTACTAAAGGCTTGTATGCAGACATAGTCAAAACCACCAAATTAAATATCCACTAACATGTAAGTTTTCCTTAATCCACGAAAATTGGTACCCACGAAAATAAATGAATCCACAGTATTAGTTTTTAATTGAATTGTTACAAATTGAATATTAAAGCATAGCTGTTAACAACTTGCAACCTTTGAATCATAATTCTTAGATAGATTTAAAATAAAATATTTATTTTCCACAGCTAGAAGTGACATCATAGATATTACATAACAAAGAAATACACACGATACACAGTATGAACACACAACTTTATTGTCACAACAACATACCCACCCACCTGTGTGGCCATGCAATTTGATTGGTTTACATTATTCATACTTCTTATTTTTGTTTTTTATTTATTTATGTGTTCCAAAATATTTATTTTTAAATATTTAAAAAGATTACTATTTAATAAAAGTTCATGATTATGATTGAATTAATTTTAAGTGTTGAGTGGTTTTTTTCAAATGTACTTCTGAAATAGCAGAGTATTCTATTAAAACAAATTTACTTGCAACAGGTCAGATCAATTTGAACTTTATCCTAAACAGTATTTTTGTATGAGGAATTCTTAGAAAAGTTAACAATGGACAACGATGGACACTAGTTAATAGCAATAGCTCACATGGCTCATTTTAATACTTGTGAGCTATGATTTAAATGGACTCAATTGACTGGTTTGCACCACCTTTTTATTTAAGGCAGATTAATACAAAAAAAAATAGATCAAAGACTCAAATGGCAGGGTGGAGCAGAATGTTTCTTACACAATGGAAAATGCTCTATACTGAACATTTATAATATTTGGAATATGAAATGTAAAAATTCCTCAAACAATTCCTTATTAGCAGGTGCACAACTTCAACATGTGCAATCTTCCTGTGAAGTTTCAGGGATCTGTGCCAATGCTGATATAAATGCATAACAAATACCATTGACATGATACTAGTGGTTCCCCAAAAACTGACCTTATCACAAACTAATACATGTAAACTAAGCAAGAGTTTGGGAGTGGGGCCAAATTATCTCTATGGAAATGTGATGTGCCAATGCTAATACAACTGAATATCACAAACCGACCACTTGTGGTTCCCCATAAGCTGACCTAATCACAAACTAATACATTGTTGACACCAACGCGGCTGGAAACAGCACGCCCAAGTTTCTTTTTTCGACTTTGTTTAAATAAGACAATAACTTCAAACTAGAATGATGATGGTATTATATGTGCATCTGTTGTTCTCAATAGATTTTGTATGTGGAAAAAAAAATGTTATTAATTATCAACAATTCACGATCATTTTTGTCTCACCTGTATTATGAGAGACATAGGTATTACAATCCGGCAGCAATGGCATTAACTGAAATGAAATACTGTAAATTCAGAAATTATTGCGATGTTTTTATTATTGCGAAAAATGCGACAGTGTTATAATCGCAATAATTAAAACTCGCATTTTGAAATTTTTTATATGATTTAAACAGGATGTTTCTTATTATCGCAAAAATTAAAATCGCATTTTAGTCTAAAATGACAAAATCACAATAATAAATGCACGCAATAATTTCTGAACTTACAGTACTCACTTATGAGTTATAGGATAACTATATTTGGTATATGGGTTCCTTGACATGTCTATCAGGTAGTGGTCACCTGACCTCTGTCTATCGGGTAGTGTTCACCTGACCTCTGTCTATCAGGTAGTGTTCACCTGACCTCTGTCTATCATGTAGTGTTCACCTGACCTCTGTCTATCAGGTAGTGTTCACCTGACCTCTGTCTATCAGGTAGTGTTCACCTGACCTCTGTCTATCAGGTAGTGTTCACCTGACCTCTGTCTATCAGGTAGTGTTCACCTGACCTCTTCCTCATTTCATGGATTATTCATCAAGGTTAAAGTAACATGGTTAAGTCCACAATATTTGGTGTATGGAATGATTGTAAGGTGTAAATGTCCGTCTGGCAGGTTTCATCTGACCTTGACATTGGACAATGGACAATGTTTAGTTTTTGTGGTTTGGTCTATTTTTCAGATATATAAGCAATTGGTCAATTATATTTGGTGTATAGAACAATTGTAAGGTGTACATGTCTGTCTGGCAGGGTCAATATTACCTTGACATCATTTTCATTGTTCATTGGTCAATGATAAGTTTTCATAATTTTGTCAGTTTATCAGTTACTTTAAGTAATTGGTCAACTATATTTGGTATATGGAATGATTGTAAGGTGCACATGTCTGTTTGGCAGGGTTCATATGACCTTGACCTCATTTTCATGGTTCATTGGTCAATGTTAAGATTTTGTTGTTTGGTTTGTTTTGCAGGTACTAATAGGGATAGGACCACCATATTTGGTGTAAGGTGAAAATGTCTGTCTCTCATCGTTCATCTGACAGTGACCTCATTTCCAGAGAACATTGATAATTTTAAGTTTAGTGATACTTGTAGTAAAACCTTCATATTACAGACTTTCAATGATAAGTAAAACAGGAGAGACATTTCAGATGAGCACTCTTGTATTAGTATAGAGTGGTTTATTCCATGTATGGTCATAGTCATACTCATTCAAAAGTAGGTGAATCCATTTTCAAATGGACTTTCCCACATAGATCAGTCCATTAAGAAGGACCCAAAGCTAAATCTAGTTTATAATGGTTTATTCCAAAACAGTTCAGTTCATGTTAAAAACAGGTAAAAAAGGTCTATGAGTACTTTTTGATGGATCAGTCTATTTTTTTAAATCCTTTCTAACCTGTAAAGAAAACTGAACAATAACCAAGCACCAATCAGAAACACTGTTTAAAATTATTCACTTTTGATTCATCTTTTATTTAACTATTAATGAGCACATTTATAGTGATTACATTTTAACCCATATAACAGACAACCACTTACATAAAGTTACTCACTTTTGACATATTTATCATTTATTTATTTACAAACATATTTCAGTGATATCATTTCAGCACATATTATAGACTGATTCCTAATGAACATTTATTAGTGAGCATTGTTCTTGATTAATACTCATGATGAAAATAGGTCATTCTTAAGAAACTGAATGGAATTGAGAATGGAAATGGGGAATGTGTCAAAGAGACAACAACCCGACCATAGAACAGACAACAGCAGAAGGTCACCAACAGGTCTTCAATGTAGTGAGAAATTCCCGCACCCGGAGGCGTCCTTCAGCTGGCCCCTAAACAAATATATATACTAGTTCAGTGATAATGAACGCCATACTAAACTCCAAATTGTACACAAGAAACTAAAATTAAAAATAATACAAGACTAACAAAGGCTAGAGGCTCCTGACTTGGGACAGGCGCAAAAATGCGGCGGGGTTAAACATGTTTATGAGATCTCAACCCTCCCCCTATACCTCTAGCCAATGTAGAAAAGTAAACGCATAACAATACGCACATTAAAATTCAGTTCAAGAGAAGTCCGAGTCTGATGTCAGAAGATGTAACCAAAGAAAATAAACAAAATGACAATAATACATAAATAACAACAGACTACTAGCTGTTAACTGACATGCCAGCTCCAGACTTCAATTAAACTGATTGAAAGATTATGTCTTCATCATATGAATATCAGGCACAATCCTTCCCGTTAGGGGTTTAGTATCATACCATCATAACATATATGAGAAGAACATGGAAGTCGACTATGATAAATCAAAAAAGATTCATCTATTAAAAAGAAATTTCATTTGATTTAACTTTTGAACTATAGAATTATTTGAAATAGCATTTATATTTAATAAATAACATTTCACAGTATCTGTAAGAATTCAGACAATCTTTTTTTAGGATATTTTTTTCTATAATGAAAATCTTTTTAATGTAAATTGTTGCGGAGACGATTTGAATTGTGCAGTGGAGTAAATTGTTCATATGAAGTTCGACGATTTGGGATTTGGGAGTTCGACGATAATGTTATACCAATAGCATTATTATATCCATAACATATAACTAACTCGAATGTTTGCTAATAACTGCGTTTTAATCCAATATTTACAATATTTACAATCATTGCATATTACAATTTCACAACATTGTTTTTGATGTTAACTTATCGCATGATAAAGACGAACTGTTTACGTCTGAACATTAGACATAAAATTTCACACTAATTTAACCTGATTCCCAGAGATGATCAAAACAAAGTAATTAAATCGCCACAGCTGCATTTGCAGACGACTATTATTTGAACTCTAAATGACTAGACTGACCGACTGAAGGTGTCATAAAATTTAGGAATCCCGTTAAGATTAACAATTAACTTTCTACACTGTAATAAATTCTTTGGAAAATACTGTTATCTTTAACTAATCTTAGCAGACGAAAATGTAACTTTATTTCAACATAATTGTATTGAAAATTAACGATAAAAATAAACTTGCAAAAATATAAGTGCAATTAAAAAAAAAAAGAAATCTACTCTATTGAAAATCATAATTAAAAAACAATCATACTAATAAAAACTAATAAAAACTATTGTCTTCAATCCATAAATGAAAAAAATCCTCTTTAAATCTTTTCATATACGGCATCCAGAAATAGAAAAAGAACAAGATAAAAGTAGTTAATCTCATTGCTGATCAAAATTAATGTCAAGCTGAAGGTACCTGTAATCCTCACTATACAGCTACTCAGCAAATAATAAGCTCAATTTTGTGATGTATGACCAGAATAAGTGCTAATTACAATATTGTATTATTTCTTGCGGATTTTTTATGTGTCTCAAAATTTTGCTTTTATCTGCTGTTTTTGGAGATGTAGCATTGTTCTCAGAAAAACTTTTTTTAAGAAGTTCTTGTGTACATCCTTATGTTGTGTGTGTTTCAATCATGTTAGGAATTTGTAGTTTTGTCGATCTTGAATTTATGATAATTTTCTGCTGTTAACAGGTCCTGTCATATATATTTAATTTAAATTAAAAGGCAAAATGCTAAAGTTAGTCAAACATCCCAATTTAAGGAAAATAAATCATACAAGAAGTCAGATAATTTTAACATTATGAACATTCCTATCCCGTCAGATTTTTTGGTATCTATTTTTGTTTCCAAGATATAACTATTACTTTCATTTTACTTTGTGTGTTCCTTTTTTTGGCATGGTGGCCATGTTGTTTAATGGACCAAAATGTCAAGTTTTATTTAATTTGGTTTTACCATTTTGGAGGAGAAGATTTTTTTTAAATTTACACATTAGATAAAAGACACTTTGCCAAGCGAAAGCAAACGCCCACATGAGCTAAAATGAGTACACATGCTGAAATGTTGCCCATTTTACTTATTTATAATTGAATTAATTTTGGAATAAAATTGAGAATAGAAATGGGGAATGTAAGTCTGTCATATGAAGGATTAAATACATGTATCACATAAACTTGACACTACCAATGAGCGTTGTAAATGAGGTCAATGTCAGATGAACTATGCCAGACAGACATGTATACTTTACAATCATACCATACACCAAATACAGTTAACCTATTACTTATAGTATCTGAGAAACATACCTAATTGTGAAAATTGAACATTGCCCAATGAACCATAAAAATGAGGTCAAGGTCAGTAAACCCTGCCAGAAAACATGTACACCATGCACCAAATATAATTGACCTATTGCATACAGTATCTGAGAAACAGAAACAACCATGAAAAATTGATATTGACCAATGAACCATGAAAATGAGGTCAAGGTCAATGGACCTTGCCAGACAGACTGGTTCATGTCTGTTATATTTGTTTTTCATGAATTGTTTTGTTATAATTAAGTCCTTTAGTTTTCTCATTTGAATTGTTCAAGTCAGGGCTTTTTATTGCTGACTATACAGTATGGGTTTTTCTCATTGTTGAAGGCCGTACGGTTGCCTATAGTTGCTTACATCCACTTCATTTGAATTCTGACGGATAGTTGTCTTATTGGTAATCATACCACATCTCCTTATTATTATATTGTACACCATACAATCATTCCATACACCAAATATAGCTGTCTTATTGCTTATAGTATCTGAGAAACAGAACAAACCACAAAATTTTAACATTGAAAAACTAACCATGAAAATGAGGTCAAGGTCAGATGAAACCTGTCAGTCGGACATGAACAAGTTTCAATCATTCCATGCATCAAATATAGTTGACCTATTGCTTATAGTATCTGTAATAAGGACTTAACCTTGATCAACGATCCATGAAATAAGATAGAGATCAGATGTACCATGTCTGACGAAAATGCAGACCTTGCAAGGATCCTATATACCAAAAATAGTTTTCCTTTTACTCATAATAAGCAAGTATTTTAAATGACACAAAAACTATACATTTTTTTCTAGCAGTCGCTGAACCATGAAAATGAGGTCAAAGACAATGGCCGTATGATAGATAGAAACTTCATAACATAAGGCATCTACAAACATTTATGAAGCATACAGATACAGATTTTCTTCCTTCTGAAATATAAAGCTTCATACAAAAAGTATGCGCTGTTGCTGCTGCCGGACTGTAATCCCTTTGTCTTGCATTCTGCGACTTTCCTCACAAATGAAAGTAGCGGGTGAGACAAAAACTAAACTGAGGTAGTATGAAATAAACAAAAAAAATTACAAAGAAATGATGAAATTTAATATTAAATCATGAAACACAGCTAACATGACACTGTCATTATAATTATAACATTAGTAGGCATCAAAGACTTTAGGAATGTCCTTTCCTGTTAGTACAAATCTTTCCACACCTTCCTTGGTAATACACGCCATACGTATAACTCCACCACTAGATCCATCTCTACTCATGGCTAATGCAACACCTAAAATACAAATTGGTCAATTTATGAAGTGAAATATTGATATTTGTTGGTGTTTTAACACCTCTTTCAGCACTCTTGGGATATAAAATTGAAGCCAGTTTTATTGGTTGAAGGAGCCCAAGTATTCAGAGAGAACATACAACTTTCAGCAGGAATGAATAGAAAGAACTTCATATAAATTTATGGTTTGCATATAATCATAGAACTATTCTAAGTTAAACTTTTCAAATATAATTTGAGAAAATTGTCAAAATTTATCCTGTGATAGCATATGTGTAGCTTCTAGGCTTATGAAAAAAATCAATTTTCATAATGATGCTTCCTTATCCAAGCCAAATTATTGCCCCATATATTGTTACAATTGGATTTATTTCCAGGGAAGAGAAAACCAAACAGAAATTATTCATTGCAGTGAGGATTGATTTTTTGGTCAGCGTTGAAGGCCTCATTGTGACTTTGAGATGAAGAACAGCAATAAAACCAATATTACATTGATTAAGTTTTGTTAGGTGTGTATAGGTACCAGAATTTTGTTTCATGCATTAAATCACCACATTCCTTCTTTTATATAATTTTACCTCTAGAGATAAATTGTAAGCATTCGTCTTTCGACATATTTTCTTTGTAATGTGTGTCGACGTAACCATACACATATGTACTTCCAGATCCTCCTGTAGCAAATGGCATACGAGTCAACATTCCTCCTAGAGGTACAGTATATACCTGTAAAAAAATAAAGGAATAAGTATATGCATATATATCATGTTACAAAGTCCTCATTACCATGATTACAATAGAGAAATTTTGATCTTGAAAATACAGTTTGTAATTGTATAAACTTGCTTTAGTCAGAATTTCTAGGATATGTGCATGGGAGGTTTAGCAAGCTATAAAACCAGGTTAAACCCACCATTTTCTATGGAAAATACTTTTATCAAGTCAGGAATATTGTAACGAAATGTGGGTCCCCTGAAATGGAACTTGTTTCCCCTAAAATTGTGTGATGACGTTGTTTAAATCTTACCGATAATTGACTTTTCTTATTATATATTTCTTGTGTAACTATGTTTAAACATTGATAACTCTAAAACTTTTTATTATTCTTGACTATGTTTTTACATAGGAACACCTGTGTATTGTGTACTCAATATGACGTACAATGACATCAGTTCCGGTTTTGGTAATTTAGGTATTTTCCGAAATGGTAAATGGTAAACCAAAATGGTAAACGGTAAACCAAATCGGTAAATTGGTTTACCTAAGTATAAATACGGCGGAGAATACAGATAAGTCTTCAGCACGATTTTACCCTGGGCAAGTAACACTCGCTAATTCCAAGCTATTTTGATATACGTACAGATACCATGTACCATACCAAGTAGTAACCAGACAGCCAACACTATTACAATGTCCGAGGAGACGACGTCCGTATAATGTGGGTTTGTTAATTCCTTTACAAGTTACATTTAGGGAATAACTTCTTGAGAGAAACTTTATCTTTTGGCATTGAACTTGATTTACCATTTGCCGATTACCAAACTAATATTAGTAAACCTTCTGGGAATAATTTTCCGCTATCCATTTTCTTTATTTCACGATATTCTAAGGTTTATAAAGTATTTATTTGTTAGATTAAAATGCTGTTAAGTTATTTAATATTTATATGTATTGTTGATATTTAATGCATCTTAAAGTTAATACAAGTTGATTTTTATTCAACGAGTCTGTTATTCTTACAAACATCGAGAGTTACCATACAAAAACATATACTCCAATCTACCCTTTTATATCCGAGTCATTACCTTACAAGAGGAACCAGCCTTACCAGTATGTATTCAGAATACCAAAGTACCACACAGTACCATGATACCAGGGTACCACGATACCAGGGTACCACGCTACCAAAGAAGGGTCACCAGTTATAACTTTTATTTCTTATATACTTGTACATTCTAACAAAACACATTTTTATAGCAACGCACTAAGGGATAAACAATTATAGTTTAACACTTAGGCCCGACCGCTTGGTTTTCGTTACAATATGACAGTTGTTTCCCATTCTTTCCGTTGGTTGATATAGTCTAACATTTGATTTTGTGTCAGAGGTTTTATGAATTTACCTTGGAGTTTGGTTGTTTGTAAATACATTTTTTCCCACTTCTGGTCTGCGCAGATTTCTAGGGATTACATGAGCTTAAAAAAGGCCAATCCTGAAATTGTGTTGCATTATGGGAACATCACGATCACTGACGTTCTGAATGGTCCAGATGCTTTTTAAGAGGACATCCAGACTGCAATTCATCATACATTTTGTACAAGGACAGAAGATTGAAGATTTTTTCTAACAGAATTATTTCAGCATCTGACTTTACTGCAACTACCTGCTAGGCTGCTATAAATTTCATCCATTGGTGTTGTTTTATTAGTGGAAGCATTCAGAGTACCAATAAGACTGATTATTTTTTCTTTCATTCCAATAACTTATCAAACATTACAAGACCACCAAAACTGTTTGATATACAGCATCTCACCTGTCCTCCATTGACTTTATCCCAGCCAGCTACCAGTATACCTGCTGACACACTATCTCTGTTTTGATAACATAACTCTCTAAATACATTGGCTGCTACTTTCACCTCAGGTTCTTCTCCAAAATCCATTCTGAAAATCAAAATACAGGCAATTACATAATGATAATCTGGAAGGTCATTTTGGTCTCATTTTTAAAGTCCAAAAAATCAATAATTTAATTTTGGATGAAACATGTCTTCTGATTGGTTGAAAGTTTTTTGTCTGTCAGCTCATAGACATAATTTTGTCGTGTGACCGTGACGTCATCAACGTTTTTTCATGATTTACTCCTTAAAATGGAATTTAGAATTAAATTATAAGGAATGACTGTAATATTTTTTCTGTCTATTTGAAATAACCTCAAAAATGTGGTGCACACTTTTAAATACCCGCACAGACCGAAAAACATAATGCCCCTAGGTGGGGCATAAAAATTAAATAAACTAAAAACTGAAATTCTTGTAAGGAATATTAGTTTATCACTTTATACACATATACAGAGATCATGACATTTAGATAAGTGTGCTGCATAAAAAGGAAGGAAGGAAGCTAAGGATGTAAAATTTCTGCTCATTATTTGCATGCAATATCAGTCATGAGTCATTGCTTCCAAAACGGTTGTATTGTCCAAACTTTACCCCTAAATTATATTTTTGACTTCTTGTGCTGAGCCTGAACTGGACATATAACCTGGGTTTGCCATTTTAACAAAATTCAGATAACTATTGAAGTTTTAGTGATATTTTCGACCTCACCTTCTGCCTTCAACAGCCACACATTTCGAGTCATAAAAGTTACATGACGAATAAGTACTATCAAAACAAACCCTACTTTAATATTATCTCATTACAATCAAGGTTAATTATTTGTCTGACTGCTGGACATTGCTCAGTCTATTGAAAGTTATTGTCTTAAATTTCAGAGGTTTGCATCTAATTAATGTGGTCAAAAAGATTAAGTTTATCAGAAATACGTATATAAATATGATTTGATGAAAAATTTGAAACAGTAGTAATAAAGGTTTTACATGTTTTAAGTGAAAAATCGTCAGAACCACATTGTTTGAACTAATACACCATGTACACATGTGCGCAGGTGTGAGATTTAATTTTGCATCTGAATTCTTCAAAAATGCTAAAATTATCATTGATACCTTTATCTATGTTTCATTTCAAGTATTTTCTTGAAGAAATAACATGGACAGAGCTACCTAAACTCAATCATGCTTTCTTAACATACACGCATTGTACGCATCAGTCTCTGGTCCATGTTTTACCATTGTCAAGTCAACATCCGGTATTAGGAAAATTTGCTTTTTATAAACGAAAGTTAAGTTTTTGACAGCATAATTTTGCACAAATAAATAGTCTTAGGCAGATATTAGAACGCTGATGTTGCACACTTCGAATGATGCCCTGTCAATTTAACAGTTAACTTCAGAACATCAAATGTATCTCAAAATAATCAAAAGTCAAGTTAAATATCGTTTTTATGTCAATCATTATTGATGCCCAACTGATTATCATGATTGCCTTTTGTTATCATGTCATGAGGGATTAAAATCAAGATAAAACAACAAAAAAATATGGTCATGACTTGTGAAGTTCAAATAAAATAAATGTGGATAGCGTCCACTTGTGGACACAGATGATGCCCCCGCTTGCATATCATATGCTTTTAAACAAAGTATCAAGAAGTACTTAACACAGTCCTGATAAGATTATATTTTCTACAATGTATTTGTATATTCTTTTATTTTTATTTGTATTTGATTTTTTGACTACATGTACATCTTGAACAGCCTTATATCTTATCATGTTAGTAATATTACATTGAACTAATTGACTGTAAATTAACTTTGTGTAAATATCTGTTTTTGATTGTATTGTAATTTGTATGTGAGGGCCTCAGGGAAGATTAGTTTATTGTAACTAACTGAGTTTACCCTCTTTAAATAAAAGAATTTATATAGTTATAAAGGGACATAACTGAAGAACGGTAAAGTGACGCTACGCAAATTTGAACTTGATTTGAGTTTTGTGGTAATAAGCATTGTGTGTAAGTCTCATAACATTTGGTTGAGGCTAACTTAAGTAGAGAACAGAAACTAAAAATTCAGCAACTTTTCTATTTGTAAACACGCATAACTCTAGAATGGTTGTGTATAAGTTTCATAACATTTGGTTGAGGCAAACTAAAGTTAGAGAACGGAAACAAAAAATTCAGCAATTTTTCCATTTGTAAAGGGGCATAACTCCAGAACGGTAAAAGTGACGCCACCAAAATTCATACTTGATCTGTGTTTTGTGGTAATAAGCATTGTGTATAAGTTTCATAACATTTGGTTGAGGCAAACTAAAGTTAGAGAACGGAAACCAATTTTGGGACGTACGTACGTACGTACAAACGGACAAGGGTAAAACTTAATGCCCCCTCCGCTACGGCAGAGGCATAAAAATCAAAGGGTGTAGAAAAGCTGTCTAACAATCTGCCTATTACAAGTAAATATTCTGTGGTGATACATGATGTATATATATTCTTGTACTTACTTATAGAAGTTAAGATGATAGTTAACTATATCTGCTATTGCCTGTGTATCAGCTGCAGAACCAGATCGACAACAATATATTTTATCTGTTACTTTTGTCAGTTTGTCTGTTACTCTGTTAGCAATGTAAGATCTGAAAAAAATATTTGAAATCAGTCTAGATAAACCAAAAGTTTTGAATAACTAGATCAGTTTTCATTAATTAGAATCTCAGACAATACTTTTTTACCAGAAAATATTACTTACTGTCTAATAAAACTTCCAGAATTGCCATACATGTACAGTTGTATGAAACAATATAACATTTGAAATGAACAGAAAATTATGATGTCATCTTTCATAATATGATTGACAATATTTTATAGCTTTCTTTACTACATACATTGTATAAATATTCATGTATAAATACTGGCCTTACAGGTTTCAGCACTAAATAACCACAACAAGAGAAAATTTAAAGTATTTGCAGACATTTCTTAATCTGCACTACACGTTTGTGAAGCTGAATTAAATAGCCAATCTCTGCAGAGATTCTTGCAGTATGACATGTAGGATTTCAAAAATTCAATATCCCAGCACTTTTTAAAAGTCAATCTAAAATTACTGGAAGTTGACTACAAAATATATAAATTTAGAAAACTATAAAATCAAATTCAAATACACCAATGAATTAATCACACATATATATCATGTACAAATGATGTATATACATTGTATATAGGATTGATTTGTATTTCCACACTTTCAGTAACTTATATAGGAGGGATGTCATCCTGATTCTCAAAAAAATAATCATTAATTCCAGAGTCCTGTTTAAGGGTAAATCCTAGATTCCCGCCAAAAAATAAAGACCCAATCCCAAATTCCCTCTAAAATAAAAGCCTAATCCCCTTCATCCCAAAAAAGGTACTTCCGCCCCTCATACATTTGTGTTTACACTTACCCAGTGGTAGTTCTTGAATCTGCACCAATTACTACACCTCCATCAAATTCAACTGCCATAATTGTTGTCTGGAATTATAACATGCATCTTTTAAAATAATGTTGTTCAATTTAGTATTTAGATCCTTCAGAAATAATTGGGCATTATGGAAACAAATGGTTTAACCCCTAAAGATGACTGAAGGACACAAGCCAATTTAATGATGTTTAGATAAAATTGATATAGTTTCTTCTTTTGTTGCAAGATTGAAATGATTATGATATTTATCTCCTCCAAATAGTCAAATTTTGAAAATTTGCACAACAGATTGAGAATGTTTTCTCTCCTATGTTTTCAGTCCATTTCAAGTAAAAACCTGCTATCCAATTGGACAGCAATGGTGCTGTTGCCAGTGAATTATGTAATATCTGCTTATAGATTTGTACTATTATGAAAAGTCCATCACTTTTTTAACTGATTACTAAATATCACTCTCCTTTGTAAACACAAATAATGTGCAATATAAAAATTAAATCATAAATTTATTTCATAATTATTGCAAAAAACTGCAGACATTTCTGTATTTAATGAAAAAAAAATCATTCAATTTGGACAAGAAATATTGTCAGTCGAATTTTTATTAAAAATGTGTTTTTATATGAAGCAATAGGTGAATTTCCGATAGGTGAAACACTTTTGACCTAAGACTGTACATCAGTCATTCCCAAGGGTTAGGCCCATTGGACTTGGGCAGATAGGTAAAATGTTTTATTTTACAAAAAGTTTTATTCTTTTCCATTATTGGCATCAGAAAAAGGTTCCTAATCAAATCATTGATGTCCCACCCACTGCCTGATTCTTTACAGCAGATTCCATTGAGTGTGTAGCCAAAGGTAATATCTTTGGTTAGCTTGCTTGTTAGCTGAACCGTGAAGTCATTATTAGGTCAGGTATACTACCCTCCTTTCGAAGTAGCATAGTCCAACAGACAGATCGATTGGTTTTCTGTCGGACAAGTCTATTCTTAAAGTAGGGTAGTTTACCTAACCTAACAATGACTTCACGGTTCAGCTAACAAGCAAGCTAACCAAAGATATTACCTTTGGCTTCACACTCAATGGAATCTGCTGTAATATTACTAAGAATAAAACCTAAATCTTAACCTGTTTTATTTTCTGTTTTAGTTTTGAGTCAGAAATATGAAAATAAACTTTATGCAAATTTAATGCACTTCATAGGTCAAAATACAACAAATATGTTCTTGATAAATTATCTTAAACCAAATGGCAGTGAAAAATTATGGTATGTTATTATGTCATGTATGTAGGGCCTCTTTGAACCTAACAATTTAAATGACACACAGGATGTGTGTGAGAAGAATATTACCCCTTGAAAACATTGTGAACTGATGCTAAGCAGAGGTTGATTATGTTTTATTAAAGGGTTATACTCTAACCTTGCACCCTCTTTATCTAATTTAAAGAGATGTGTTTTGATGTTTGACAGAATGTGATCTTAAAGAGTGGGTAGTTCTGACAATATTAAAATTCCAGGTTTTGAGAAGAGTGAGAATGTGAAATCTTTGTCTTATTAATATATACTGGTCAAATAAATTGCAGATATAAATATGACATGACTTTTTCTTCCTTTTCTTGTATAAACTGTTATGAACCAGCCATAAATCAATTAATTAATTCAGTTAAATTGTACTTTTATTGAGTAAATATGATATATATATTTCTAAATTATAGACTTTATTATTTATACAAGAGTGCACACGCTGAAATGTCTCGCCTTCTTTACTAATCATTGATATTATGTTGATAGTCCTAAATATAAAGCTTAATTACAACTGCCACATAAACTTAACATTAACCAAGTAAACTAAACATTGACCAATGAACCATCAAAATGAGGTCAAGGTCAAATAAACCATGCAAGGCAGGCATGTACAGCTAACAAATCTTCCATACAAAAAATATAGTTGACCTATTGCTTATAGTTTAAGAAAAACAGACCAAAACACAAAAACTTAACACTGAGCAATGAACCTTGAAAATGAGGTCAAGGTCAAATAAAACCTGCGTGACTGACATATAGATCATAAAATATTTCCATACACCAAATATAGTTGAACTATTGCATATACAGTATTAGAACAAAAGACCAAAACTCAAAAACTTAACTTTGACCACTGAACCATGAAAATGAGGTCAAGGTCAGATGACACCTGCCAGCTAGACATGTACACCTTACAATCATTCCATACACCAAATATAGTAGACCTATTGCATACAGTATAAGAAAAACAGACCAAAACACAAAAACTTTACTATAACCAATGAACCATGAAAATGAGGTCAAGGTCAGATGACACCTGCCAGTTGGACATGTACACCTTACAATCATTCCATACACCAAATATAGTAGACCTATTGCATACAGTATAAGAAAAACAGACCAAAACACAAAAACTTAACTATAACCACTGAACCATGAAAATGAGGTCAAGGTCAGATGACACCTGCCAGTTGGACATGTACACCTTACAGTCCTTCCATACACCGAATATGCTAGACCTATTGCTTATAGTATCTGAGATATGGACTTGACCACCAAAATTTAACCTTGTTCACTGATCCATGAAATGAGGTCGAGGTCAAGTGAAAACTGTCTGACGGGCATGAGGACCTTGCAAGGTACGCACATACCAAATATAGTTATCCTATTACTTATAATAAGAGAGAATGTAACATTACAAAAAATCTTAACTTTTTTTTCAAGTAGTCACTGAACCATGAAAATGAGGTCAAGGACATTGGACATGTGACTGACGGAAACTTCATAACATGAGGCATCCATATACAAAGTATGAAGCATCCAGATCTTCTACCTTCTAAAATATAAAGCTTTTAAGAAGTTAGCTAACGCCGCTGCCGCTGTAGCCGGATCACTATCCCTATGACTATGTCGAGCTTTCTGCGACAAAAGTCGCCCGCTCGACAAAAAATAGTATTACTCAATATATATTAACATTTTCGTGTATATCACTATCTGTTCTCAGGTTCATATAATTTGAGTTTTTGGGAGTTCTCTGGAAATCGTTGTACTGGATCTTCTTTGTTTCAGTGACAGTGGGTTGCAATGCTGTCTTTACATCCTGAGGTTTCAGATTCAAATCCTGCTGATGGCTGTTACTATCTATTCCTTTTTATGAATACAGTAATGCCTATTTGGGATTCAAGGGAGAAAGCTGGTTTTTTTTCTGATTTTATTGTGTTGGTAGGCAGCAAAATTAATAAAAGTTCTTAATCCTAAAATTTAGATAATTTCACACCAATGAATCTCCTGATGTGTTTCAGACGAAACAAGGAGATAACTGCTGCTTCGTTAAGTGATGGGCTGTGTGAAAATGTTATATGGGGAAAATACAAAGCATTGGTCAACTTGAACTTGGTGTACAAGAAAAGAATTTTTGGAGAAACTGATCGACGGAACTGAGGCTTGTAACTTTTCGTATCAATGTGGACATAATTTGTTACCCTGATATAATCATGTTAACAAGGTAGCAAGTATCATTTACCCCTGTTTCATGCTCTGCATTCAGCCAGTCTGGAATAGAAGGCGAATACATTCCGGCCGGTGAAAAGTTGCTAGTCATCGTTGCCATTTTCTACAAATTTTAAAGGGAATTAACTACGGTTAGGCGAAACAGTTTAAGACCATTAAAAATATTGTGAAACCTAGTACAACAATGTACCAATAAATGATAAAAACTTGAAAAATCCTTTGTTTTGCAGTTTTTCTTTATATATAGTAATGAAGATAAAGTGTATGCAGTGATAAATTTTAGAAATAAAACAATCAAACTTGTCTCAAGTTTGTTTTGGTTATTTAAAGAAAATTTAAAATGGTTGTCTCCCTTGACACAATATGTTCTTTTTGTAAAAAAATATTTAAAGCAACTTGATCTATATTAAAGTTGCTTTCATACTTTTATTTCTTTTTAAATTTTACACATCAAATAATTATCTGCTCTAGACAATTATCTAAGCAACAATATTGTGAACACTTTAATGAGCACTTTGGAACTTTAGGAGTAATACCACCATTGTTTTTCCCCTATTAGTCTTTGTTAAATTGGCATTTTCCAAAAAATTGTGCAAAAAATTACCGGGGTGTCTTTGTTTCAAATAAAGAACTACTTGGCACGAGTAAAGTTTTATCCTGTCCATTACTACAGTGAAAATATCACATAACATTCATTGCATACCATAATAACTATCACTGGAAGTAAACCAAACAAATTTTCATCTCTTTTTTTCCTGTTTACAAGCTTTAGTAACCATGTCACATCAAGTTTCCAAAATATTTTATAGAAACACCAAATGAAAAAAAATGGTGTTTTGAAACACCCAAGATATATGTTTATGACTTAAATTTTTTTTACTGCAATGAAAAGTAGGATTTATTTCCTACAACTGTCAAACTCAAGGGAATATTTTTTTTTACCCTTTTTCGTATGAAATGGGATGTGATGTACTATGATTTGGTGGTATTACACCTGTAGCTGAATCCATTATTACCAACCCCAAATAAAACTTTGAATCACAAAAGAAAAAAGAGTTTATTGAAAGAAAAGTTTGTGACAACTATTTTGAATTTGATTATTTATCTCCAATAGAAGTCGTTGATGAACTATTAAAAGTCAAAATTAATAAATCAACTGGTCTTGATGCTGTTGGTCCTAAAATTCGTAAAATAAGTGCTCCAATAATTTATGAATCTTTTGCTCATATTTTTAATTTAAGCCTTTGCACATTTATTTTTCCCTCAACCTTAAATGTGCAAGACGTATCACCAATCCATTAAAGAAAGATATGAACAACTATAGACCAATATCCGTACTTTTTAATTTTATCAAAGATTCTTTATTCCCAAATTTACAAATATTTGATAAAACTTGATTTGATTTATAAGTTCCAGTCTTGGTTAAGACACTGCCATTCTTGTCACTCAGCTCTAAGGAAAATTGTTGAAGAACTGTTCATTAGTATGGATCGAGGAAATTACACTGGAGTTGTATTTTCAGATTTTAAAAAAGCTTTAAATATTGTAAATCACTGAATTTTATTATCAAAATTAGAGATGTACAAGTTTGATATTCTTTTTTTTTTAAATGATTTAAATCATATTTATCCATAAGATCTCAATCACATTTGTGCTCTGGCTAAAGTAATAGTTACCATAAGAACATTGTCAAGTAAAGTTCAATTTGAATTACCTTATGAAGAGTACAGCAATTTAGTTGATCTGCCTCTTGAAAAAAGAAATCAGAAAAATTTGTTGTATCAAGATGTCTTCTGTTTATTTGGCAATGCAAACAGTGTGTTCATTTAGGTAATAAAACAAGAAAATGTGTCAACATGATACTTGTGCCCTGCTGCTGATTATCACAATCATGTTCATTGAACCATGGAATCTGGGTCAAACCCTAATACATTTGGTATATGATTTGGAAAGTTAACATCATAATAAACATGTGTGCTAATTTTCATGTTAATGTTACCGCAACATCATAGTAAACTACCTAAATTCAAAACTATAACATTAGAATTATCAGATTTCAGACGATCACATTTCCATGTTCAGTGAACTGCTAAATCTGGCATCTAAGCACACTAATTTGGCATATATTTTTTAAATTTTATATCATAAGGAACATATGTACCAAGTTTCATACTAATGTGACTTAAAATTCACATCAAACTACCTTAAACCCGAACTTTGACCTGATAAGGAACGGAAGAAGTGCATGCAGACCAAAAAAACATTTGCAGACAAGGGCATAAACAAGATTTCAAACAGGTAAATATAGTTTTAAATATGGCAGATTTTACCATTTGGTGGATATTCCTCATGAAAATTAAGCTTGAAGAAAAGAATTGAGTTATTCTGGATTGTAAACTACTGTGTGTAGGACTTACTAAAAAAAGAGAAATTTTTGATGAAAAGAAAAACCTTTATTTTGCAATTGTGTTTCAGTAAAAAATCCAAAAATGAATAAAAGGAGATGTGGGGTAAACTAAATGACAACTAGAAGTCAACATACGGCCTTCAACAATAGACAAGTGTCTATACAACATGTCTAGCTCTAAATCACATATAGCCTAGATAAGATGTGAATAAATTTAACTAACTATCAAAAGTATGCCATCACCACCCAAATAAAGCTAGATTGAATAGTATATCCACTCTGACAGACCAATTCTTGTACATACCTCATCAAACTTAGTTTACAGGTTAATAACCTATGACAAAACATTCACTCAAACCAAGTGCTAAGGACTGTAATGAACTTGCAGTAAGATGTGACATTTGGTTCACATGTATTGAAAGCCTAAATGTATCTTTTGAGAGGAAGAATAACATTAATAGCACTTTCCCTTTGCTTTAAATTATATCAAGTGTGTGTAGGAATTTTTTGTCTTGAATTAAGACAACATATCCTTTTTTAATTTCATTGACAGAGGTTATTTCTTGAGCTGAGTGGAGATAGCAAACAGTGTCCTTAGGTTTTTTTAGGTATTTGCTGTCTTTGTCTTTTCAGTTATGGCATACAGTTATTTATTCCAGAGCTAACTTGTCGTCTTCTTTTTCAATTCTCAGGTCCGTATGTTTATAGAAACTGCTATTTGGATTATTCATACATTAATTCCTGCCAATCTATCCAACAAATTCTTGATGACACCAGTAGTTGTATAAATGTTTCAAGGAGATTTTTGTACAAGCTATGACAGTATTTGTTAGGTTTGTTTGACTGTACATGTAATAACTTGTAATTTGTTTATATTACCCAGCAATGTGTGATTCAATGAAAACTTCTATCAAATTATTCTGCTCAAAGGTTATCAATAGGTGCTGTCTGTGAGTTTTCAGTGAGTTGTGAGTTTTTGCTCCTTATTGATGGTCTCACTGTGACTTTGAGATGAAGAACAGCAATAAAAGTGCTGCTCTTTTGCTTATCACGTGAGTGTAGGAATTTAATGTTACGAACTATTGCAGGTATTAAACCATATCCCTTCTTTTACATTATACGAATACACAGTTTCATAAATATGATTTTATTTCAACTTAAATAAACATTTGAAAAAAAAAAAGTTTTATGTAACGATACATAAAACAAATTTTATAACAATATAATAAATAAACATTTATATTCATAATTTATAACAATTAAGATTTATACTTATACTTGATAACAATTAACAATTAATTAAACATTTATATCTATAATTTATAACAATTAACATTTATATTTATAATTTATAACAATTAACATTTACATTTATAATTTATAACAATTAACATTTGTATTTATAATTCATAACAATTAACATTTATATTTATTATTTATAACAATTAACATTTATATTTATAATTTATAACAATAACAATATAATGATTTTCTAATTGTTTTAAATAATAACAAAATAAGAGATCAAAGGCATAATTTGATCGAATGTAATCTCTAGAACAGGTGAGTTTCAAGTACTAGTTCATCAAAAACTAAAAGAGAAGTTGTTTTCTTGTATTTTCTCTTCTGGTTTGCTGCCACCAAACAATGACATTATTGAATCACCACCAGATTTATCTCCCATTCCTCCAAAACTAAATGCAGGACTTCCCCCTGACTGGTCCCCTCTGCCTCCTCCAAAGCTAAAAGAGAAACTGGTTTCCTGTGTATCGTCTTCTGAATTACTGCTACCAAACAACGACATTATAGAACTTCCTCCAGGTTTATCTGCCCCTCCAAAACTGAACCCAGAATCTGCTGTGCCCAAATCTGTCAAATAAATAAAATATTAAATACATTGTTTAGCGAATCTTAAACAGGTTACATTAGAAAACTTACTGACTTTTACACGTTATATGGGAAAACAAAAAATCTGCAAAAGTGTAGGATGTTCAATCAGTAAGCACTTGACAGGTTAAAAGGGGGATGAGAATATCCATTTCATGTGGCCCTCATGATGACTTTATAATCAGTTCCTATGTAGTATATGTAGGCCTAAATGTAATATTTAATGATTATAAAGTGCTCCTTTGCTATACAGACCTTCTATAATAGTGCATGGTCTCTCATTTACTCTCACTTAGTGCTATAAGTCCCCTTTTCCTAAATGTATGTAGCTTTCATATACATTTCTCCCTTGATATACCAACAGCCTCACTTATCACTATCATGTCACTTGGTTAAAAAGGTGGCGATAATACAAGGTTTATTTTCTTGAAAACCATTATGAAACTAGAGGCTGTCAATTTGACAGCAAACTAGATTTTTATTACATTCATTGGTGTCATTGTTAAAGCAGTCAAGGGCCATAACTCCTGAACAGCAAAAGTGAATACTGTTAATTAGAAATTTACCTTAATGTTGTCATCAGTAAAAACATATTAAAATTTAATTGAAAAGTATTTGTTAAACAGTTTTCAAAATATAACACAGGAAACGACATAAGTACAATTTTCCATTCAATCAAGGACCATAACTACTGAATGACAAAACTGAAGATGATTTATATTGAACTTGACCTCCATTTTGTCATTAGTAACAACATATTAAAATTTATAAAGCATTGGTTGAACAGTTCATACGTAATTGTGTAATTGAATGGAAACAACAAAAAATTTCCCAATATTTAATAATCACCTGGTGATTTGCTACCAAAGAAATTGGATTTGTCACCACCACCATCTGCAGAACTAGAAAACATGTTACTTCCACCACCAGACTGAAACATGGACAATTCTGTAGCAAATCCACTAAAGTTCATGTTGGTGTCAGCAGCACTGCTATTCTTACTGGTATTCTTCTGTATTATAAGATAGAAAAATATATCTAAACAACTTGCAAGTCATTTCTGTAAAATCTGACAAACATTATTTTACATACTATTTTATCATTCTATGAATACAAACACGTTGGTGTATTTTTAATTTGTATTGTATAAAATATTGTCTTATAGCTATACTGTATCATTTTCTTGGTAATTAGTTATACAGAGAACCATATATCAATGTTAATTTCCAGTGATTTTTGACTTCCCCCAGGAAGCATCGGCAGATTTATGAAATTATGGTACATGTCAAAATATAATTGTTTCCATACATTTGATTACTTTCTTTCACATAAAATGTTGATTGATTTTAATTTTTAAAACACTGTAGAAATGTCAATATACATAATATCTGAATGTTTTTATCATAGACAAACTCTAAAAGTTCATGTTAAATCTGATTAGATAAATGTTACTTATTAAGATTAATTATATTCTAAATGTCTAATCAAGACGTAAAAAGTGCTATTCTATGTCCAAGAGCCCAACCATCCACAATGTCACTTAGTTAGACGAACTCAAACTTAATCTGTAACTTCTTTTGATATATATACACGTACCACATATCTAATCAATAGATTTAAGCATTACAGGAAAATGTTTGTTAAACTTAAGGGACAGAAGGAATGGAGGACTGACAGAAAGAGAAGAAACGTCATATCTACAGTGTTGGACAAATAAAAGGAGATGTTAGATCTTTGTCATTGAGACAGGAGCCCAACAATATTTAGAGGTCAACAAACAGTTTTCATCAAGAGACAGGTGTAAGTTCAATGTGATGTCAAGCTGTGAATCTCTCTTAGTCTAAAAAAGTTATGAATAAATTGAAAAGAGTATCAAAGGTCATCCATCAATTCGAAAAACCACATCAATATATATGATATAAGACACTCTTAACTTAAGGATTGGACAGGCACATGAACATGTGTTGGGGTTAAATTAGTTTTTTGTGATTTTGACTTCTATTTCTATTTTAATCTTGATTAGGGCACTAACAATTTATATTTTAAAGGACAAAAATTAACAGTCCCTACAGAAATAGCACTGAATATTTAACAATCTATAAGCCCCCCCCCCCTTACTTACTGTGTCAAATATGCTCTGAACACCCATAAATATCCCTGGTTCTGTTTCTTTGCTTGGATCCTGAAATGTTTATTTAATTCAAGCATCATGTAAATTCTGTCATGAAACCAATAAACAGTTTGCATTATATCAAATATTTTTTTCCTTAATCATCAAACTAAAAGGAGCAAATGAAATTTGTTGGAATTACATCAAAAAAAGAAAATGAACATGAATAAAATTTAAGTAAGACAAAAAAACCTCACTTTGACATCTTGTCATAAATATTTATTTATGCTCCAATGTCTTTAATAGCCAAAAAGATAATAATAATAATAATAATAAATTCTTTATTTAAAGAGGGTAAACACAGTTAGTTACAATTACTAATCTTCCCTGAGGCCCTCATATACAATACAAGTAAAAAAATAAAAATAAGAGAAAAAAAGCAAACATACAACATATTAACACATAGTCAGTTCACAATCGTATAGTCATGATAGTTCAGTGTACATGTACCATTAGAACATATAAAACAGTTCCAGAGTGCATGAAGTAAATAGATATTATATACAAATCAAAATCATACAATCTAAAAAAGTAATAGTTGCAACCATTTCAAGACTGAATATTGGGACTGCCTCAAGTATCGTTTTATAATTTGTTTAAAATAAAGAGTGTTTTGCACTTTACGCATTTCATATGGTAGTCTGTTCCATAAAACTTATCCAGAATAAGCAAAAGATTTTTTAAACAGTTCAGTTTTCGGCTTAGGAACTATCAAATTACCTTGAGTAACACCCCTTAAAGCATAAGGATTATTAACAGATATAAGTTGAAACTTTTGAAGTAGGTACTGTGGTGCTTCTTTCCGCATACATTTATGTAGCAGTAAATATTTGTGGTATTTGATTCTATTTTCTACTGTCATCCATCCAAGTTCTTTAAATAAGGGGGCTGATGGGAATAAAGGGTCTGCATCAAGAATTAATCATGCTGCTCTTTTTCGAAGTTTTAATATTCTTATTATCCCTTCATTTTTACATTCTCCCCAAACAATACAGAAGTAGTCAATGAGCGGCAGAATATACCCATTATAATATGCTTTCCTGGCATTAATATCTACAAATTTCTTTAATTTAGAAAGAAGGTATATTCTTGATGAAATGCTAGCACAAATTTGATCAATTTGATTTGTCCAGCTAAGTGTGCTGTCAATTTTAACACCTAATAATTTTTCACATGATGAATTTTGTAGTGTTTCTGAATTCATTTGTAAATTTGGTTGAAAAGATTGAGTTGATAACTTCTGACTTGTTCCAGTAACCAAACATTTTGTTTTTTTAGTATTGATGAACATATTATTCATTTTGCACCATTCTTCAACTCTGCATATATCTTCTTGTACATCATCATGTAAATTTTTTATGTTTTTCCCGGATTTATGAAGAGTAGTATCATTCGCATACAAGTCTGTTTTACAATTTTTAATGCAAAGGGGAAGGTCATTTATAAGTAAGACAAATAATGAAGGACCTAGTATAGATCCTTGGGGGACACCAAATTTAACATCTTATTTATCAGAATTAACATTGCAAATGTTAACTTGCTGTGTTTTATTACTTAGGTATGACCAGAAAAAACCTGCTGCAGACTCACTGAATCCATAAATAGCAAGCTTTAAGCAAAGAATGTCATGATCTACAAGATCAAATGCTTTTTTTGAAGTCCAACAGTATTGCTAGGTTTAAATTACCATCATTCATTTCTTGCAGCCATTTGTCAATGATATCAATAAGTGCAGTTTGACAAGAATGATGTGGCCTTAAATCTGATTGTGTAGGATGTAAAAGTTTAAATTTAGTCAAGTACTTGTACATGTTATTTGAGACATGCCTTTCTTATACTTTTGATAGAGATGGAAGAACAGATATGGGTCTGTAATTTGTTGCTAAAACCTTGTCACCAGCTTTGTAAACTGGTGTTACCTTAGCATTTTTCAGTAATGAAAGATATATACCAGTATCTATCATTCTGTTGAATATATATGTGAGAGGAGAGGCAATATATGGGGCACTTATTTTAAGGATTTGGGGTCCAATATTATCAGTTCACTATGATTTATTTACATCAAGTTTGGTTAACTCATCAAATAGATCATTTATCTTTATTGGTGGTATGGTAAATTTCTCATGTTTTTGTTGTTTTAATTGATTTTTAATGAATGTGCTAAGATTATTGAAATCTGCCTTGTCAACAGATGTAATGTTTCTTTGCTCACTTAGTTTTTCAGCACAGGAAGTAAAGATAGGTTCCTACAAGCTTACTTGTACATAGATATTGACATGATAAAATATCTATTTTGGTAAACTCTTTAGTAATATTTAGTTTTGCTAAAACCTATGTGTAAAATGGCTGTATTGCAAGTAATATTTCTGCACTAAATTGCATAATATAGTTGTCTCATGTAATCAACCCTAATCAGTTGTTTTTCTAAAAGTGTGTAAGCAAGCATTCTGAAAGTATTGCCGTGCAATACATAGTCCCCTACCAGTTAAAAATCTATTGTACTGGAACAAAATGACGAAAAAAGTGCGGAAAACTGATTACTTGCGCATATTTTCTAAGTCTAAGGATCCTAACTCTGTAAAAAATCATCTGAACGGAACAAAATTTAAACTTGACATTCAACTTGTCATGATTAAACTATACAACAAATATCAAATCAAGATCTTCAAGGATAACAAAAAAAAGTGTGGAAAACTGAATTGATGATTTGATGGACAGAAGGAGGGAGTGCAAACCTAATGCCCCTTCGTCTTTGCCAGTATGAGACTAAAAACCTTCAATAACCTTTACCTTTTATATGTTTACTTCTGGAATAATTTGAAAGTATTCATATTTTTTTCTGCAAAAATGACTACCTGCACTTAAGTCCTTTAAATTGTGTGAATTTCTTTGTTCAGTTTTATAAATTTAGGTGAAATATATATTTACCACTTTTTCAGCTGAATACATTGGTCTAGCAGCTCTCATTGGTTGTCCTGGTGATTGTTTTAACCTCTGGAGCTTCTGTCTGTGTTTCTCCATATCAAATGGACTAAAGTCACCAGATCCTGTTTCTACAGAGATGTGTTCTGAAATTATGGTATCATATTTCACATTTGAAATATAGGCAAATAAATACTGTAAAATCAGAAATTATTGCAAGGTTTTTATTAATGTGAATGATGCGATTGAATGAATATTGCAATGATAAGAGCTCACATTCTGATATCTGTTATATATATCTGTATGCAGATTTTCTTGAAATTGCAATAATTAATTACAAATTTTATTCCATTCTTTAAAATTCGCATAAATAAATGCATGCAATCATTTCTGAATTGGCAGTATGCAACTCCTGACATTTAAATAACAATACTACGTAAGATATTGACCTGTTATTTCTTTAGTCCTGTAAAAAAGAAGCAAGAGATACCAAAGAGATAATCAAACTCATAAGTCAAAAAGGAACTGACAATGCCAAAAAAAGAAAAACGGCTAAAAGACCAACAACAGTATACATAACACAACATACAAAACTAAAGACTGAGCATCACGAACCCCACCAAAAAGTTGTAAGCTGGTGCATTTAACGTTAAGTCACTGAAATGCATGGACTTTATGGACAGACCAAATAAATTAGAGGCAACAGTTGTTTATCCCTGTTCAAATCTCAATAATCCATTTTGAAGATACATATCAAGGTAAATAAACTGTTGACACAGAGATATGTCTCAACTGTTGGCATAAAATTCAGAAAAAGACAATCTGATGGATTGCAACATTGTTTATTAATTAAGTCGCTGGACCATTGATCTAGTGGGCAGGGCCTCAAAATGGTCGACAATCTGAGATGTACAGACAGTAATGTAACTTAATAGAAAATATCGTTGTCTATTGTAAGTAGTTCCTATCCTTCTAACTTAAGCAGAAAACTTAACATTGAAATTGCTAATTAATTCAATTTCACATGACCATGACCTGATAGTAATGCAACTTTATAGAAACTATCAATAACCTATCACAAGTAGTTCCTATCAAACTAACTTAAGAATAAAAAATAAACATTGTTGAAGCAGTAGCCGTTGTCGCCAGAAAAGCAATTCCCTATGTCTTGCTATTTGCAACTTTCTTCCCATGCGAGACAAAAAACAAAACTGAGGGATTCACATTAATTCCAAAAGGAGCGAGCGTGGTTGGGTCAATAGGGTAAGCTTCTTAAATAGATATTTTGATGATATGTATAACCTCTGGTAGCAAGAAACAATAATATCAAGTGTTATCAATTTTTTTAGAATAAAAGTTTTTGTTTTATTTTATATGTAAAATTTTCAATGAAATACCAAAGAATCAACAAAACTTATTATTTTGTTTGATTAGTGCATTAGTTGGTAAAACAAACAAATTTCTTTGTCTCCTTACATGAATATATAAAGCCTGGATGATCTTACAATATAGTATACATAATGTTGTTAAACATGGAAAACAAAACATTTTAAAACATTTATGTACAAGCTACATATAAAAAGATCTCTAAATTGTAAAATTGCTGGAAATCTAGTTAAAGAAAAGAGATTCTCTAATTTTTGTGCTATTTTCACATTTCTTGATCGGTGTGAGAAAAATATTTCTCCTCACTAGTGAAATATCTGTTCTCAGCAAATGATTGGTCAAATTTCATCATGACGTCAACTATTCTTGTTTTCTTCTGAATTTTCCTATTGTGACATCATGAAAAAAGGCGACCATGCCTGATGACGTCATATATAAAGAACACAACTTTCTGCAAATCTTTGAAAAGGAAGGATAAAAATCACTAGAGAAACAGATTCCACCACTATAACTCTTGTATTACAATATTTCTCCACTCTCAACAGTTAAATTTTGATTATTTAAAAAGCTCGGCAAGCCTCACGCTTTAAATATTAAAATTTAGCTCTCTCGAGTGGAGAAATATCGTAACACACTTGTTACAGTGGTGGAATCTATATTTTACTGAAGGACGTGCAGGTTATACCTGGTGTCTTTGGTGACTGTTGTTGATTAAAGTAAGGTGTCTGTGGATTTCCATTTTCATCGAACTGTTCATTCTGTTTGTTTGATCCTATCAAAACATAAAATATGCCTTAATATGCATAAAGAGTCAAATTTAAAGTAATTGTACATAAAAATTAATTAGAAGTTCACAAAAGCATCATTTCCATATCGGTTTTTAAAGTTGCAACTCTATTAGAAAGATAAAATTCTGCGTCTATCTTATAAGTAAAAATTCAATTCAATTTTTTCATTGTTTTTCATTGAAAAACTAAATTGCATTCATCAAATCAGATAATAAGATGAAAGATCCTGATTGGCTTGACTTCCTAGTAGATTCCCATGCATAGTTTAAACACTTCTATCTTCAATGCAGCATTCATTGAAATTTAGTATCATGGTAAGTTATTCATATTCAGTTTTTTATTTTTTTTTCTCAAATGAACTTTTCCTTGACTGCCAACAAAAGTTGAATTCATTAACTATTTTCACTTTTTATAATGATAATGTACCAGCAGTTGTTGTTGATAGAGGCTGATGTTGTGGTTTCCTAGGAGATTGGTCTTGGACCTGGGACCCAGGATTGTTTGATGGTGCCATTTTCCTGACATGATCTGAAAGCAAAGACCTGACAGTACTCATTTAGTTAGAAAACAAAGTAGTGTCACACTAAATATGAAGTCATAGCTGTCAACTGATCTGTATTCTGAGGGTTACACCTGAGAATTTCCCCTTCACACAGGATTTTTTAAATACCCGCCAGATATTCAAATAACCCAGGATTTTAGAAAATGACCTGTTTTCACCCGTATTTCTGACTGGTATTGTTTCCGGTATTTAGACGTCAAATCTACTTTCGGTTTTTTCAGCGTTTTTCCTTTGAAAAGGTAAACAATTGAAATTAGAATTTGCTTATTTACCGTGCCAATGACAGCTATCAAAACATAACATTTGATTGAAAGTAACAATTTCGAGGATTGTTTGTAAATTGTACCCCAGAAAGTTGAAGCCAGTCAAGCTTGACATACAATTCTATGTCCTGATTAAAAGATTTGCCGTTTGCAAATATCAAATATCCTGTAAAAATCATTTGAAAACAATTTGAACCTTTTAATACATTTCTGTTGGAGAGAATAATTTTGTTATCACTTAGTTGTAAAAGCTTTAACTCAAATCCATATGCTCTAGATATTACACTGAAAGAAAACGCACTAACTTCTTTCTATTTATCTTCCTCCTGTGTATAGGAGCACATTAGCTATAATTGATTTCTAATTACAATTATAGCTAGGGGTTATGACATTCATTAATAAAAAGAAGAAAACTAGTGTGAAATAAAACAATAAAAGGGCATTGCTTTAGAAAGATATTTAATTAATGATAAATATTTATATACTTAACAAATACAAAAGTGATTATTTTTAGGTAACTCAGTGGTACATGTTTATGTTATACATTATAGTATATAAAAAAAAACCCTCTCAAAACTAAAATTGGACCGCGTAATGACCTAACGTTTTCTTCTTCAATGCAGGTCATATACTGCATTTCAGTTTCAGATGCTGACAGGTATGATAAAGTAACTTAGAATTTTGACATACAAATTGTTGTAAATAATTCTAAATTCTATTAATTAACTGTTTTTAATGTTGTTACCATGTATTGATTGTTGAAGTCTGCATGTATGTTGCCCTCTACATCTTTTTTGGTTATTTTTTTGGGAGTGGGAGTTTGCTGTCTCATTGCAGTATACCCCACATCTTTTTTTAATAATCTCTTTTTTTTTAAGTACAATATAATATCTTGGGTCGAATTCCTTTATTTAACATCTTAAATAATTTTAGAGTTCTGCTACAAAATTAATCTATAAAACAGTGATTTGATGAACACCAATTTAGGCATTTATTTAGAGAAAAATGTGTACCTGTTAGTGGGAGTTTTGTAACATTTGGAGTACCAGGTCTCAGTATTACAGGGAATGGCCTAGTTGGCATTTGTAGTTGAGGTGTCTTTGGTGCTGCAAAAGTCTGTGGAGATTGTATTTGTGGAGCTACTTGTCTATGTTTTGATACCTGTCAATAAAATATTTTCAGCGTATAAGTACAAAGAATCTTATTTAAATCCATTTTATCTTAATTATAAAAACTGTGAAATAAAACAACATATGCAAACTTTTTAATAAAAAGTTTTTATTTCAAAAACTTTTTACTATTGATCGTTCAATACACATTATTTGTCCATCTTAAAATATATTTTTTGTTTTACTGATTAAAAGTACTGCACATTGTCAAAAATATTGTTGAGATCTTAATTTATAAACACAAGAAAGATGATGTGATTCCGTGACATAGATATAGTTTCTGACTTTCTGTATTGACATTTAACCAAAAGGAGCTATTTCATTAAAATTAATTTATGAGAGTAAAAAGAGAAATTAAATTTTTGGACATAGGTTCTGGGTCATTAATATGGTTGTATGTCCATTTGATATATAAAAATTACTCAAAGTATTATGTTGTGGGGTGTTTTGAAGGGTATTCCTGTTGTACGCTATTTCTGCTTGCATTTATTATTGTAATTGTTGAACAATGGAAACAAATGCTCCATGAAAATAATGCCAACAAAATAATATGCAAGTTTTTATTTTGGAGAAACCCACCCTGTCACAATTCTTAAATCATAAATACATGGCAAAAAATTTTGATTTTCAGTACCAAATATACTGTCAATCTATCACATTATATCTGATGTTTTTCATAATCAAACTTACTGAAGAGGCTTGCTGTAAAGATCTTGTATTCTGCTGATGTACATATTGTGGTGTGTCTGGCTTAAGAACTATCTGTGGACCAGTTGACTTTGTGATAAACTGGGATGTAATCTGTGGCGCTGAGTTTCTGTACATTTGCTGATCAAAATTTTGTAGCGCTGAGTTTCTATACATCTCCTGGTTAAAATTTTGTGGCATTGAGTTTCTGCATATCTGCTGATTTAAATTTTGTGGAGCTGAGTTTCTGTTCACAGGGCTAAAAGAAATTTGTGGCACTGAAGGCCTTGTGACTTGGGGTGTACTTTGCGGCACAAATGGTCTAGGTGTTTGTTTCTGTATTGTTTGTCCCAAAGAAGACATTTCACTTTTGTTTAAAAGCGGAGAAGGAACTTGAGGAACATATGGTCTTCCAATCTGTTGAGATTGTATCCTTTGTTGTCCAGATTGTTTGTTAAACTGCTGTTGCGATTGTGACGTTTGTTGTCCAGATGGTCTGTTAACCTGCTGTTGTGGTTGCGATACTTGATATGTCTGAGGTTTAACTTGTGGCTGTGAAATACTATGTTGACCTGTAAAAAATTATTAAAGATAACTAATCCAAGAATATAAAAAAATATTCAACAAGTGACCAAACAACACATTATGAATAAAAATAAAATAAGGGTACTTATACAACTAAACCCTGAAATAATACCATTAAAATACAACTTTCATAGAATAAGATAATCTTCACATGTTTTCATTTTCAATTTTTTTTTTTTTAAATGAGTTATCTCTCCTATTCATTATCTTTTATTTATTTGCATCAAGATCACTTCAGCGTAATTAAATAACTAGAACTTTCACACATTTTCAAAACTATCAATCCCCTTTTTATGGATTTTTTTTGTGACAATATTTTTTTTGTGTTGACTAAAACATATTTTATAATAAAATATTTTCCTTATCCTGAAAAAATTATAAAAAAAAATATGTTACTTCTCTCAAAATAAATTTTATTAAGTGGATTCAGGAAAATTAAGAATTCCAAATTTTCATACATTATGTTTGCATAGAATTCTTATGTTCATTTTTTTTTTCATTTACATACATAGTATTCAGGGATGTCACTATTGAAATAAGGTACCCATCCATTAAATTTTTTTTCACATTTCTCTTTCATTCCGAAAACAAGTTTTCTGCACACTTCTCAAATTTAGTTGGGATTTCTATGTGCCAACCTAGGATCCAATGTATACAGGTATATTTAAATGGAACAGCCATTAGTAATAAACCATACTATGTCTTTGTAAATCTAAATTCTTCATTTTGGCATTTTGAACACCAAACTCTAGTTGTATTTGGCCAGGGCTAGTGTCGTCAGTTTCCATAGGTGATGATTGTTCACCATTTCCTGGAGAGGTAACCTGCAAAAGGGAAAATTATATCTATCATCTCCAAAGTAACAAATTTCTAAAGATATTTACATTTTTTAGCACATTGATAATATAAAATCAACTGATGCCTTTCTTTGGCAAGATGTTCATTTTCAAGGGAAGTCAAGAGTTTTAACAAGAGTAAATTAGTTTTACAGAAAAAAAACTGTTTATAAGCTTAATATACAATTATTTCCTTTATATAGTTGGCTCTAGTAATCCGAAACTCTTTAATCTCAAAATTCTTATTATCTCAAAGTAAAATGTCTGTCCAAATTTATACATTTGCATAATATTTACTTCTAGCTCAAATTATTTTTGCCAGTCTGATAAACTTTGAAATAAGAAGTTGTGAAATAGCTGTTTCAAGCTTCGAAAGTAGGCACCTACTGTCCTGTAAGCTGATTATAAAAATAATCTGAGCCCTGAGGTAGACAGCAATCAGGAATTGCAAACAGGTGAAAATCTGCACCTACAGCCTACTTCAGAAAACCCTTTTGAAAAGGTGCTATTTAACATTCTCATACATGAAATCAAAATATCATTTTGTTTTTAACCCTGAAAATGCATTACTTGTAAAATTATTTAGAAAATTGATCCACCAAAACTGGTTTCGTCCACTGAATGCTAAAATAAGGTCTTGACATACCAGACTCCAAAATATTAATTTATGAATGTATGAAATGTATGTTATAAATCATATTGCTGACTAATGGGCTGATGAAACCCTTGGAGACTTAGAGTCCACCAACAGCTAAATCTAACCAGTGCTAAAAAATGAAAAGAGGAAACTTGTGACAATAAATGACAATTTTAATCAGGTTGGAATTAGGTGTGATAATACTAAGATCAGATAATACACATGTAACCTATTGTTGATGATCATGGATTGTTGGTTTACTGTTATACAGATTTTCAAAATTTATTCCAATTTAAGGTGAATAATGTAAACCAACTATTTTCTCTGATATCATTTTTAGCTCACCTGGCCCAAAGGGCCAAGTGAGCTTTACTCATCACTTGGCATCCTGCGACCGGCGGCGTCGTCTGTTAACTTTTACAAAAATCTTCTCCTCTGAAACTACTGGGCCAAAGTTAACCAAACTTGGCCACAATCATCATTGGGGTATCTTAATTAAAAAATGTGTCCAACGACCCGGCCCACCAACCAAGAAAATAAAATAGAACATAGGGGTAAAATGTAGATTTTGGCTTTATCTCTGAAACTTAAGCATTTAGAGCAAATCTGACATGGGATATTATTGTTCATCAGGTCAAGATCTATCTGCCCTGAAATTTTCAGACAAATCAGACAACCCGTTATTGGGTTGCTGCACCTGAATTGGTAATTTTAAGAAAATTTTGCAGTTTTTGGTTATTATGTTCAATATTATTATAGATATATATAAACTGTAAATAGCAATAATGTACAGCAAAGTAAGATCTACAAATAAGTCAACATGACCAAAAGGGTCAATTGACCCCTTAAGGAGTTATTGCCCTTTATAGTCAATTTTTAACAATTTTTCATAAATTTTTGTTATCTTTTACAAAAATCTTCTTCTCTGAAACTACTGGGCTAAATAGAATCAAACTTGGCCACAATCATCATTGAAGTATTCAGTTTAAAAAATGTGTCCGATGATCCCACCTGCCGACCAAAATGGCAGACATGGCTAAAAATAGAACATGGGGTAAAATGCAGTTTATGGCTTATATCTCTGAAACTAAAGCATTTAGAGCAATCTGACAATTTGTAAAAATGTTCATTAAACAAAGTTCTATCTGCCCTGATATTTTCAGACGAATCAGACAACCCATTGTTGGGTTGCTGCCCCTAAATTGGTAATTTTAAGGAAATTTTGCAGTTTTTGGAAATTATCTTGAATATTATTATAGATAGAGATAAACTGTAAACAGCAATAATGTTCAGCAAAGTAAGATCTACAAATAAGTTAACATGACCAAAATTGTCAATTGACCCCTTAAGGAGTTATTGCCCTTTATAGTCAATTTTTTACAATTTTTCATTTTTTTTTGTAATCTTTTACAAAAATCTTCTCATCTGAAAATGCTGGGCCAAATAGAATCAAACTTGACCACAATCATCATTAAGGTATTTATTTTCAAATATGTGTCTGATGACCCCGTCTGCCAACAAATATGGCCGACATGGCAAAAAAATAGAACATATGGGGTAAAATGCAAGTTGTGTCTATTATTCTGATAACCGTTATAAAAAGAGGAAATCTGAAAAGGATAAAATTGTTCAGAGTGTTGAGCTCTACCAATTATCCATATATGTCAAAACTGTCAGAAGATTTCCTGTAGGCCTCATTGCCCTTAAATGACAAATTTTACCACTTTTTTTTTCGATTTTTGCCTATCATCTTGAAAACTATAATAGATAGAGAGAAACTTTAAATTTCAAAAATGATCAAAAGGACAAGTTCTACAAATATTTCTTATGGTTGAAATCGTCAGTTGACTCCTTTTTAGAGTTATTGCCCTTTGATGACGATCTGTACAATTTTTTTGCGTTTTTGTCTTATATCTTAAAACTTATAATAGATAGAAAGAAACTTAAGGATACAAAAATTATCAGCAAGACAAGATCTACAATTAAGACAAAATGGCAGAAATTGTCCGACGACTCATTATTGGAGTTATTGCCCTTTTATTACGATTTTTTACCATTTTTTTTGCGTTTTGCCTTATATGATAAAAAGTATAATCAATAAATAGAAACTTAAATAATCAAAAATGATTAGCAAGACAAGACCTAATAACAAGTCAAATTTTGCTGATATAATTAGTAGACTGTTACCCTTTATAATTTTTTTTACCCTCCTTTTGTGTTTGGAGCAAAAGCTAAATAAGATCATGAAGATAGAGAGAAACTAATCAGGATTACATTCACATCAGTCACAGTCATTACAACTGAACGGACGTGCTGGGTCAGCTCTCCTTTACCCGCTATCTTCGATGAGGGTTTACAGTTAGATGGATCAACGACTTACTACTTTCGATGACAGAAACCAATCCAACGCTGTACAGACTACGTTAGGCTATAATCCGCGTAGGGGCAAATTCCCGCGTCAACATACACTCCAAAACCCATTATGGATGGGGGAGTGGTATGCCGAGTGACGTCCGAGGGCTGTATCCTAGGTGTTAGATGATGGACCGCCATTTCACTGTCTCACGACTTTGGTCCTGATAATGCTTTCTGTCATCGTTAATACTACGTCCGAGACTCATCTACCAGTACTCCATCAACGAGGTTAGCGGGCTGCCAAGCTGACCAATCTGGCCCTGAAAGCAGCCGTTGTGAAGACATAACATCAAAATAGTCAACAAAAGAAAAACCAAAACAACTCACAAAACCAAGATGGCGGCCTACCAAAATGGCGTCCTCCACCTGTTCCTGACCACTGGCACAAAAGTATTTAAACGCTCACCAAACGCCTTCGGGCACCGAGCCGACCGTGCAAGGGATGTATATCCAGTCAAGGTCGTTAAAAACTTCCATTTGTTGTAAACTAATCAGACTTCAATGATAGATACAAAAAAAACAGATTTTTGTCATTAATTCTATTTTTGTCTACAATGTTGGAGAGAGTCCTTTGTTGAATATGCATTTAGACCAAAGTGAGCGACACAGGCTCCTGAAAGCCTCTAGTTTGCTTTTAGCACTAAAATAAGTTGGTTAATAAAACTGTTACACCACTTACTTTAACGGTTGATCTTTGAGGTGCCGTCACATGATTAAGTCTTGCAAACTGTTCTGCAAATGATGTAGAAGTCTTTCTTGCTCCATCAATGGGTTGTTCCAATGGATGTGATAAAACATTGGACTGTTTCTCAATAATAAAGTTACCATTAATATCAGCATCATTCATCATACTAAAATGAGAAACCAGTTTTATTGTATTCATTCTGAACTTAACAATACATAATGTTGGGGTCTTTTATAGCCGACCATACGGTATGGGTTTTCTCATTGTTGAAGGCCATACGGTTGCCTATAATTGCTTACATCCACTTCATTTGAACTTTGGTGGATAGTTGTCTCAGTGCATATTTTCATAAAATGTAACAATTTTCAGAAAGATGAAAAGTTTTGAACTAAATGTAAAATACTTTCAAATTCATAATTTTTTTTTTTTAAAACCAACATTTTTCAAATCAGCAGACTTCTTTGAAACGGAAAAGGTATAGTTCTTCACTAAAACATTCCATTTTTTATGAATTGGAAGACATCCCTTACTGTGGATTCATTTATTTTCGTGGGTACCAATTTTCGTGGATATTTGATTTCATGGTTTTGCCAAAGTCTGCATACAGCCCTATAGAAAATTTGCAGTTCGTTTGAACATTTAAATTCGTGGTTCACCTGTACGAAAATTGGTATCCAGCGAATTATAATGAATCCACAGTATTTGTAATACATGTAACTAAGGGCTGTTCCATAAAAACATGCATGGTACCCAGGGAAGGCACTTTCATAATGGGGTAACCCCCTATAGAGACAAATTTAGAATTTCAATTACATTTCCACTGTATTTGGCACCCACCCATAGTAGAGATTTCAAAGTTCCTTCCCTGGTTCCCTTGTATGTTTTTTATGGAACAGCCCTAATTCCAAGATAATGAGAATATAAATATATAATTTAACTAGAATTGTTAGTGAACTCACAAAATGATATCATACCCCTCCCCACAAATTTGATTATCTCCCCTTTAACATGTTGGACAGGATTACAGTTCACACACATCCTCAGGTGGTGTTATACAACTGTGTAAAGTTTTATCAAGATCCATCCATCCCATTAGAAGTTGCACTTATCAGGCACATGGACAAGCAGAAATTGTTATTCATATACTCCCAAAAATCTTTGTTTGCAGGGGGTATAGATGTATGAATATGAATTCAGAATGTGAAATCTCAAGTAGCTACATCACAATTTGGAATACAAAATATTTCAAGGATTCAACATCTATAATAGAAACAAACATTATAATGATTCTAAAATCTATAATAAAATTAGAAGTATTGGTACGAAATGATAGCCCCCGCCTACTGATTAATTGTACAATGTACATTTATCGGAATTATCTATATATATATATATATATATATATATATGAGTCTAAAAGATTGAAAAGATACTGATAAATAGATGGAAAACAAAACACTAAAAAGTGTTGAATATCATCGCACAAAGATGGAAAAACTGAACAGATGATATAAATTATACAATAATTGCAAATATTTAGGCTCAACAAATGGCCTTCCTCTCAGTGTTAAAAGTTTTAACAATACTGATATATAATGTATAAGGTGTAAACATAGATCAATAATAATACAGGTAAGTTTTGGTCGATTGATTTTAATCCAAAATCCTGAATATCATAATATAAACATTAGACTGTAAATTTAATTATTTCTTATATATATATAAACAAGTCTAAATTGAAAATAACGTTCAAACCTATGATTGCGTTGGATAAAAACCGCAATTTTTATATGTGTGCACGCAAAACAAATTTCTTGGTAGAGGGGTCTAAATACAGCACAAACAACTTTTTCCAATAGACCAAAAAAGTGAAAAAGTATATTTTTAACAAAACGCAACGACTAGCAGGTCGAACAACGGATGTTCTTAAACCCTGCTGACTGCCATTGGCAATTGCCAAATAAATGGATCACCAGATGTAACAAAATGGATCTTAACTACTAATTTAATACCAAACAGAAAACAATAAACTTGGGGAAAAGATGGTATACCGCAAACAAAAGGTGCAAACATTAGTACACCATATCCGGATTTCGACAATTAATGTCTCTTCAGTGATGTTAGGAATCGAAACGGTATTTGGAAGGCCATATAATTTACCTCAATTTAGGATAGACTCTTGAATTTTGAAGAGTCTAAATAGGATGAACGGATCATATAAACCCGAAGGCAAATATAATACAAGCCCAATATATATATATATGTAGAACAAAATAATTTGCTTCTGCAAATTTAATGATCTAACATTGTTGGGCTGTTGTTTAGACGAATTATATATACAGAATGTATTTTCAGCCTTGTATCACCATCACTGCTGGTGATCCGATGGATAAAATCTGTTGCAGAGTCGTCACTGGTTCAGACGTAGTTATAATATAATTATTTCTGTGACTGCATCTTACATTAATTTGTAGGATCCTTTACAATAGATAATTCAGCTGATCTGTAACAATTCTATCTTCATGCCTTATATATCATGTACTGACGCTAGATAAAAACTGACGAGGAAAGGTAACACCCGGCCACCGAAAGCTTTATTATTATAGAGCCTAGGTGGTTGAGTGGTCTAGTGCGTAGTACAAGGTCATTTGGTGCCATGATATCTCAGTAGCATGAGTTCGAATCCCAGCCAGGGAAGAACAAAAAAATTTGCTTCCGCAAATTTACAGATCTAACATTGTTGGGTTGTTGTTTAGATGAATTATATAGATATACAAATCTAAATTGAAAACAATAGCCATTTATTCAAGATAAAAGGCATGAATTTGACAGTGTGAAAAGTGAAAAGTGTGGTACACTTGTGACATGCAATGGCAACAATGGATTTATAATGAAGTGAATAAGTGAAACTGAGAATTTCATTATGTATTTGTAAAATGGTAAAAGTTTTTTCTTTCTAAATATTTGCTTGCTATTCCCTTTTTTTCCCTGTAAAATTTGACATTACTTCATAAGAACATAGATACAAACATTGAACTTTTCTCTCATTGAATATTTCATTATTTGTGATCTGCAATATTATTTTCAAACCTTATTAGTGTTGAAGATTCAGCATTTTCTTGGCTTGTATCTTTTTCCTCTAATTCCATACTTTCATTCAATTTTTCTTGTTCAAGTCTTGTAGCCTACATAAACATGATAAATTTAAGTTATAGAATGTATAAAGTACTTCACATAAGGGATAGTTTATAAAAGTCATTTTATATTTGCATTTGAAATTCTGCACATGGCAAAAAGAAAAAGAAAAAAGTTTTTTTAATGGTTTATTTGATCCTTCTGTTATTTCAACCATGATTAATTAAAATATCTTCTTTATTGCAGATCATTATATTAAATAAAATTCTTATTCAAACAAATATCTAGTGTCTGACTGATTGATCTTTCTAACTTTCAAATTATATACATCATATGGAACTTTTGCCTTTAAAGTCAAATTATTTGATTTCATCATTATTATTGCAGACAATAATCTTGATTAATTCCAATGCAATACACAAGACCACTTTTGATTCAATAATGTCTGCCCTGGCCTCAATTCACAATTAACTGTTGTGGGCAAGGGCAGCAATGTTGCACAATCGAAGTCTGCATTTTCATGATAGTTGAAATGTAATCAAATATTGCACAAACAGGAATGTACAGTACTGTATTTTTAGAGTTGCCACCATCCTGTTTTACTTCTCCATACTGTCTCATGTAAGCTTGCAATTGTGACCCTCAAATCCCTAACTATCCCTAACTAAGGGTGGCAACTCTTCAGTACCGTGTGCTTTTCTTTAATTACTATAGTTACACCATAAACAAATTTCATCTTAATAATTAAGGTAGGCACTGTTGAAATCATCCTACCTGCTTATATGAACAACAGAAGATATAGGTTAGAGGTCAACATGGCAATATCTCCACAAGATTTAAAAAAAAACTAAATACATTAAATTGTTGGTATGAAAAATGAATCTAAAAGTAAATTTTGCCAATCTATCAAACATGTTTTTACCCTCCTTACTTTATGAATTATATGTAAGAACAATAAAGCACATTCAATAACAGTTTATATATAATAGTCTTCTTCTGCTTCTGCCTGATAATGGCCACAATCAACGAGCTGATTATTATGCCATGACTTAGGTGCGCATACAGACCCCCTCCCCCCACCCCTCAGTTTGATAATTTAGTTCAGCTTTGTCAGCAAGGCTTTAAAGGCCTCGACTGACGGTGCTGATGCTACCCCAGGAGGGAGAGCGTTCCAATCCCTGATCGTTCTCGGGAAAAATGAGTACCTCCTGTAATCACTTCTGGATGCTGGAATTTGGAAACTTTTGTCGTGCATGTTCCTCGACAGTCGTTTTGGTTGCATAAGACAACCTTCCTTAGTTACAGCCACTTTGTTGTTTTCAATTTTATAGAGCATAGTTAGTCTAGCGTCTTTTCGGCTTTTTTCCAAAGATGGCCATTCCAGGTGCTCAATCTGGCATGTCGTTGATGTAAAACAAGAATAATGCAGGACCAAGTACAGAGCCTTGGGGAACTCCAGATTCTACATCAATATGTGATGAGCTCTCTCCATCCACTACGACTGCTTGCGTTCGATGGGATAAGAAGCTGGCAATCCATCTATTGATTTTACCACTGATACCGTAATGTTCTAGTTTGTGTACCAGGAGACTAAGACTGACTTTGTCAAATGCCTTTGAGAAATCCATTATAAGAACATCTGTCTGTTTACCTGCACTCATATTTTTAGTGATGTCATCCACGAATTCGATTAGTTGGGTTTCGCACGAGCGTTTACTACGGAAACCATGTTTTAACGGATAGAGGATTTGATGTTGATCAGCATGTTTCATGATATGGCTTGTAACTATATGCTCTATTAGTTTGCAGCAAATACAAGTTAGAGAGATTGGTCTATAGTTTTCTGCCTTATATCTTTCTCCTTTCTTGTATACTGGTGTTACGTTCGCATTTCTCCAGTCAGGTGGTACATCCCCAGTTTCTATCGATGTTTTGAAAATGATTGTAAGGATTGGGGCTATTTCTGTGGCTAGTTCGTTGAGTAGTTTAGGTTTTATATTATCTGGTCCAGCTGCTTTATTTGGATTTATTTTTGTCAGAAGTTTGAGTATACCATTTTCTGTGATGTTGAGTTCCTCTGCTGAGGGATATTGACCTGGCATATTGCATCTGGATTTAAACTCGTATTCATTATATGTGTCCTTGGTGGAAAAGGCAGATTGGAATTGCTTGTTTAGAATGGTTGCTTGGTCTACAGGGTGTGTGTGTAGTATACCTTCACTGCGAAGTGGTG